TTCATTTCTGGCCATTTCCCGGACCTTCACGCCTCCCGGCGGTTGCCCTATATGGTAACGGCAACTGCCTTCGCGCTGCGTTTGCTAAAGCAATATCGCAAGCGCGCAGAGCGCGCGCGCCGGCTTCGTGGGCCGGCGCGCGCTCTGCGCGCGCGCGCGCACGCATTTGGTTACCAGATCACGCACCGGAGACGGCGCCTCGACTTGCCTGAGCCTTTGGGTCGCCACATTTCCGCTCCGCTTCCGCTGTGCAGGTGTCAGAAGGCCTGTTGGCTTCTTACTTCAGAGCCGGCAGGCAGCTGCTCTGTCTGTACCCGAGGCGCCTTTCTGCTTTCTGTCTACAGCTGCTGCCCCTACAACTTTATATAGCGCGCTCACTGATCTCCTGTCGCGCTACTCTTCCTGAGCGCTACCCCTGCCCCGCCCTTCCTCCTTCCCAGGAAGCCCAGCCCAACAATCCTAATGATCATGCTTATGCAAAAAAATCAAGTTCAAGAAAGGGTCGCCCTTCGGGCGACCCGTTTTCTTGTAACAATATAGAAGTCGAGGCTCGTATGTGGTTCTGCAGCTCCTATTGCTACCTTGGACCAGATCGCCCCGCCAGGGTGCTTTGCACTGGCACGATACTATTACTAGTATGACCGAAGGTGTCTACGAACGACGCTTTTCCTTCTACGATGTTTTTATCTTATTAGAGTGGCGCTGCAATTAGTCAATGTATTCTGTTCAGCGGTGTCGCCTTAGAATGTCCTTCGGAGAGTAGCGCTGCAATCATTTGCTTCACTTTGAAAATTCACGTTTGCAGAACGAACAGCCAGCGCAACAATCATGACAGCGCCTGTGGTCTAACAGTGGCGCGTCTTTGGATTGACAACCAGCCGGCTGTACAACTTTCGTCTTTTTGTAGAAGTCAAGAAGTACGCACTCTCTCTACCCTCGTGCTTATTGCATAATACGACACGAGCGAGAAGAAACGCACAATTGAACACACCGTTGCGAAAAGAAAACAAATCCGCAGCAGGGTACTTACATACTCGGCTGCAGCTGTGCTAAGATCTTCTGCGGCTCAATCGTGCCGACACCGACAGAAGTTCTCCTTACAACGAACTGATACAGACCCCAGAAGTTGTCCTATTAGCATTGTAATCAACAGTGGCATGACCTGTTCAAAACTAGATTTCAAAGCCGCACCAGCACGAAACTGTTTTTAGTTCTTCAAGCAGCCTCATCTGATCGCGAGATCATTACAAAAATCTCGATAGCCCACCACCGCTTCCTCCACATTCACCAGATGCCGCAACGTCGGTCGCCCGTGCGGGCAGTTCCAGGGCTGCTCCAAAATCGCGAGATTTCCCACAATCTGCTCCATCTCCCGGTTACTCAATTTTTTCCCGATCATGATCGCCGAGCGGCAGGCCTTGCTCGCCATAATCGTCCACACCTTCTTGGGCCGCGGCACCTCGGCTGTGGTGCCCTGGAAGGAAATGGTTGCGATGTTTTTGGCCTTGTTTTCCGGCCCGTTCTCTACTTCCTGGTCCTCGTCGTCCATAATCTTATCAAATGCAAACATGTCTGGGTCTGGAAACTTGTAAAAATGCTGAGTTGTGAATAGTGAATTCTCTGTGATGCACAGCCAAGCATGAGAAATGTTTGCGCGGCGTAATAGTGTTGCGCTTCCCGCATGGCAAGCTGCGTTCTGCATGACAAGAAACGCGGTCTCTTCTTGGACACGCATCACAAACTCTTCAGTCATGCGAGACAGGTATGACACACCTTGTATCTTTCCAGACATCCAGGGATATTTGCAATACATAAATCTCCTCACACAGCAAGTCCTTGTCCGGATCGTCGTTGTCCAGATCGAAAGTCTATCAAATGCAAATTTCGATCTGGGTCTGGAAAGTTGTAATGTTGTAAAATGTGCATGATGAAGATGTAGTTGAAGAAACTTATTTCTTATGCAGGATGAAAGCATGACAAGATGACAGAACGCTTTCTCATACGCACTCCGCAAGAGATGAAACTGCGTTTTTGTACAAAACAAGAGAGAGTACGACTTTTGATGTCTCGGTCATGCAATACAGATTTCACTTAGATTTGTAAGATTAAGTGTAAAATGTAAGGCCAGCATTACAAGTTCCAGCTTTCCAGACTCATATCGATATTTGCAATGCATAAAGTCCCGCCACTTTCTTCCAAAATCGCCAACAGGTCCTCCACGTCCGCCACGTTGAACACAAACCCCTTGCTATCCTGAGTAAAAACGTTCTCACCCCAGAGCCAAGATTGGAAATCTGCTACACAAATCAACAAGCTACTTTGGCTGGTGCGCATAACAAGTCCTTTCTTGGCATCACAGTGTAATCCTGTCTAGCTAGTGCTGCCGCATCACAGATCTACTAGCATCTCATGCTGATATGAGCATCACATCAAATTTGCAAACACAGCTAGAAACTGCTTCTCATCAGGCTCCGCATGAAAAACATTCGAAAAGCATGCAGATAATTCGACACATGACAACCCTGAGCGGTGGGGACAACTCTGTAGTTTTTGCAAATGATACTTGCAGCTGGGTACCGCGTGGAGTAGGTATCAAATGTAAAAATGTCTGGGTCTGGAAGATTGGAAGACTTGTCATGCATATTTTGCATGACCTATGACACCTGTGATGCATGTCTTACCATCACAGATTTTTAGAACCCTTCCTGATGCCTATTTCGCATGAGAAATGCCCTCTCCGCGTAGCACAAACTGGGCTCCTCTTGCTGGTCATGCAATGCAAATTTTTTTAGAATCCAAAAATAGCATTACAAGTTGCATCCTTCCAGACCCAGACATATTTGCAACGCATAGTAGGCACCTTTTCCCAATTTCGTTTTCCTCCTCAAACCTCAAATCGAACCCGTTTTTCGCAAACACGGTTTTCGCAAACTCGTTCGCGATCACCTCCTGCGCCTATGGGTGTGTCAGAATCGAAATTGACAAAATCGAAAAACTTGTGATGCACAAAATCGATATCAGTTGGAGCCTCAGTTTCCAAGTGGCGCATGGCAAATTTCGGGAGCACCCAAATCCAGTCTGTCATGCTGTTTGGGCAAAAAAGTCTGCTCCTGTCATGCTACTCTGGCAGCGCATTGTATACCCCTAAACAGGCTTGCAATCGGTCTCATTTGCCTGCTCCCCAATACAGGCCATCAGTGCCCTACATTTTATGCATCACAAATCATTTCGATTATGTCGATTTCGATCCTGACACATCCATAGCGCCGGCGGCAGGGATAACTGGATCGGGTTTAACAACTGCTGCGAGTCGATTTTGTTTACGCGGTTCAGGTATCCTCTGCAAAAGTATCGTACTCGTATAATAAATGCAAGTCTTGCATTACAAATCTTGTTTCCAAGGCAAATCTGCATTACAAGTCTTATTTCTCACGCTGAGGAAATTTGTCATGCATTTATACGAGTGCGATACTTTTGCAGTTCATATCAAGTACTCAAAACGCTTTTTCTCATCGCAGGCATGCTGGTCGAAGATGAACAGTTCTTGTTTGTATGATCCCAGGATGAACCCCAGGTTGAACTGCCCATGCACCCGGACGTGCTGAAAACAAGACTATTGTGAGGAAAAATCCCCCCTCCCCATATCGAAAGGCACCCTTTTGAAAATTTGCGATGCTGATTTGTGGCCACAGATCAGGTCTGTCTTGCAGGAGAGCAACGCCAGAGCTTCCGCCGCTTGACGCAGGCGATTTGCAATGCTTTTGCGCCAACAGGGCAGACGTCTGCCATGCGGAGCGCCCACTTCTAGCCTGCCCCTTCCAGGCTTTAGATCTCCCTGCAGTCCTCTACTGCAAGACAGAGCTGATTTGTGTAGACAAATCCCGCAACACAGATTGCCACTTTGACATGGGAAGGGGGAATTTTTCCTGTTCATAAAGATTTGTCGAAGTTCTGGAGTCTGTGCGGGTTGTTTTCCTCGGCAGAGAGGATTTCGAGCTCGCTGCGTATCCCGTGTGAAAACGTCCCCACAACAGAGTCATCAAGATGGGAATACTGCAAGACAAATCCTGGACTTTTGGGGCTACCGCATGACAAATTTGTCTGCGCACTGTATCTATTCGGGCCTAGCTAGTCTCGTCGACGCGGCATCACAAATCCATTCTGTCGTGCTGATTCGCGAATTACAGATTTTATTTTCCAATCACCACTAGAAAACGCCTCTCAACATGGAGAGCCGCATGAGAAACATCCTCAGCATGCAGATTTGCATGACAATCTTGACGGGGTGGAAACGTTTTTCCAAAGGATACCGGGCACGACCGCGTTGTCTTGCCCCGCGAAAAGCACGTCGCTGTCCAATTGCGTCACGGACCCTCCTGCTTATCAACAGGAAAAATCCCCCCTCCCCATACTGAAAAGGTATATTTTTGGAATTTGTGATGCTGATTTGTGTTCACAAATCGCGTCTGTCTTGCAAGAAGACAACTCCACAGACAACCGCCGCGTTGGACAGGCGGTTTGTCATGCTGTTCGGCCTACAGCGCGGATGTCATTCATGCTAAGTGCCCAGGCCAAAACCCCTCTACTCACACTTAGTATGGGCCTGCAGTGCTCTCCAGCAAGACAGCTCGGATTTGTGTACACAAATCTAGCATCAGAAATTTCATTTTGATATGGGGAGGGGGGATTTTTCCTTTCGATACTGCTCCCGCGCCGTTCATGTCGTTGTCAGTGCTGTTGTAGTTGTTCCCGGGGGCCCAGGAGGAGACTTGGGTCAAAGCTCCGCACTGGTCCGAATCAAAACTTTGCTGGGACGAGTCGTGGTTTGATATTATTGCCAGCGAATTTGTAGCCAGGCTCGAGGACGTCGCGGAGGAACCAAACACCGGGAGTGCCAGCAGCCCTTGTTTGAACTTTTCGAGCTCTTGTTGTTCAGAGCAGCCAAGAACGCCAGCGTCTTCAGAAGTAGGTGACAGGAGTTTATCACTCTGGTCCCCTAGTACAACTCCTTCCATGAAATGCTGGGGCGACGGCCGCGCTCCCTCAGGTCCGTTTATTTCGCCTGGGACAAGAAGATGATCCTCTGCGAGTACTTCTACACAGCAACTCGGCCTTTCCAATTCCGCCCCCTCGGCTTGCATGATCTCGGCGAAGAGCTTTTCCAAATCTGCAAAATCAACCTCCGCTGCGACGCAAGATTCATCCACCGTAGTAGAGAGCGCACGGGCGGTGGTCGACGAGGACAATGAAGGCTGTACCACTCCTACTATCGCAAGAAAAAAGTGTTTCACCGTAACGTACTCCATCACAGGTTTGTTGTACATGACAGAGAAAATTTGCCATGCAAGGTTCCTACGGGAAAAGACAGCTAAAAACTCACTGCCTTGCATGTGTAGCAAGACAAACCCTCGTCCTCGGATGCATTTTCTGCATTGCAAGTTTACAGTGAAACAGTTTTTCCCTGCGATACCTACTGCTCCTGCTGACCCAGTTCTTGCACCAGCAACAGCTCCTGCCCGTACAGGTGGCGGCACGAGAGATGAGAACATCATAGCGCCAAATTTATCAAACGGCTCGACGTTCTTTGCACCCGCGTTTTTCGCGCCACTTTCAACATCTTCACCTTCCGGAGCTGTAGGAGCGTTCTTGCGAGGATGAATCATAGCTCCGACGTTGTCCCCGTCAGCAGAGCTTTTTCTCCTCTTCACCCCACTGTCCACCCGCACAGGGTATTCTGGGTAAAAATGTCCCCACGCGCATAATCAAGTTGGTAATTATCTGCAACACCAGTCTGCAAGGTGTTGGGAGCTTCTGCATGACAAGTTTGTTCCATCTGTAGAAGTGTAGTGGTGTTTATTCGCGAGGATAGAAGCCGCATCACAAAGACGCAAGCTGATGATCTTGGTGCTAACAGCATTTTACAAATCCCAGAACACGACTCCAAATTCCTCTCAAGCAGATGCGCATTACTGATGTAAAGTAAAAGTTCCTGTCGTTGCAAAGCTGCATGACACCTGGGGGGTCGACGTGGGGACGTTCTTCCTCACGATACGGGAGTCAAATTTCTCAAGGGAGTCGCCACACGGAAATTTGCATTGAGGTCGCTGCTTGAGCTTGAGGAGCTCGAGTTCAGCATGGAAATCACGTCGGTGAGCAGCACGCCACTTATGGGATTCCCAAACGTTACATTCTCAACTGTTACATCATTTGTCATGCAAAATGAGCGTCAACATTCACATAGTCAAGCTACTTCGCATGACAAATTTTAGAAAGGCTAAAAAGCGCCTAAATCTGTGCGGTATTTGTCATGCTACAGGTGCAACACGGGCGCAACCTCCCCTCTTTGACTTTTGCCATTCTTGCATTACAAATTCATGTAACAGTTGAGAATGTAACAGTTGAGAACCCCATACCACTAGCGTGGAGGTTCGGATCCTTCTTTTTCTTTTTCTGCAGCAACTTCTTGTTCCCCTGAATATCACAACTCGTGGCCCCAGAAGGTGCGCCTCGATTTTTCTCTTTCTTCACCTTCTTCGACTTTCCTTCGCGGCGGCCCTCGTTTTTCTTCTTTTTACCACTCTTCGCAGTTTTATAAAGGTCCTCCCCTTTATTTTTCATTTTCATCTTCTTTTTCACGACCAATTTTTGTGGCCGGATGATCTTCTTCGGGCGGGAGGGCTGTGGCTGAGCTGGCTGATTATCTAGCGCAGCGCCTTGTTTGTCATGATCGAAAACATCGCTTTTGCCTTCTCCCAACAGCTTCTTGTCGTTCTCTTCGAACTGGTCTAGATCTAGATCGAGTTCTTCGTCCTCCTTGGCAGCAGATTTGTTACCTGACGCTCCGCGTTGTTCTACTACTCCTCGCAGTTTTTCATCATGATCTGCCTTGTCTTGTTCGTCGTCTTCTAGAAGCTCCAGAAGATCTTCTTCATCTTCACTCTCCTCTTCCTCGTCACAACTGCTGCCATCACTGCTACTACTGCTACTGCCGTCCGAGCAGTCATCGCTTTCTGGACTGTCTTTGTCAACTTCCGCGTCAAGAAGTACAACTTTTCCGTCTACTCCTGATGTTCCTTCGCTAAGACCCGCGCCGGGTCCAGCTGTGTAGTCGACCGGGTGGTCTGGTGCTTTTTCTTGCAATAAATCCTCTTTTGCAGGAGCACCAGGACCACCACCTGAAGAGGTGGAACAAAAACCGCTAGAAGTAGTACCAGCAGCAACGACCCCAGCTGCACTGTGCGCCCTCAAAATCGCAGTCAGGTCCGTTAGCTGCACTGCGGCGGGGGTTTTTGCTTTTTGCTCTTGGTGCTCTTGTTCTACTTTTCGGTCATCATCTTCGTCGTCCATGTCGATTTCTACGATCGTGTCCTGGTAGCTGCTCTTGTTGTAATTCCCCCCCAGCCCCTCAGAAGTTATTAAGTCAATGGTCTCCTGCACGCCGGGATTTCTGCTACGATTCGGCACGGTGTTGAAGCTTTCTAAAATTTCTTCAGGTTCTTCTTTCACGATTACACTCGGAGCGCGGTCGTCGCTGCTCACGCTTTGCGCATCGTAGTCGTCGCGGAGAGGATGACTGCCTTGCTGATTTACATGTTCCACGTTTCCAGCAGTTGAAGCTTTTGCAACAAGGGTAGTGCTACTGACTGCTGCCGACTCCGTCTTCCCCAGGCTGCTGCTGCTGCCTAAGCCTAACAAACTACTCAGGTCGGTCAGCTTCACACTGCTGGAAGCGGCAGCGCCCGGGCGTACGGAATTTGCTGCAGAGGTAGAAGTTGGAGCGACAGGATCTTCATCTTGCTTCGGCTTCGCGGTACTAGAGGAAGATGCACCATTAGCCGCTGCGTGATCTCTTAAATCCGCGTCCACCTCGACGACCTCTTCTTCCTTCGTGCAAACCTTCGCGAAAGCCTCCAGCACCTCCTCCGGCTCCTCCTTCATAATCACGCTTTCCTCATCGTCGCTGAGGTCATCATTGTCGCCGCCCCGAAGCAGCACAGCTGACGCTTCTTCTGCAAGAACAACCTTTCGCTTCTTCAGCGCTGGCGACTGCTCCTCGTGTGGTCTTCGTGGGTCTTCAATCTCTTCTTCGTCCATCACGACCTGCGGTCGTTGTTGGTCCATTTTCTCCGCGGGGACTTCTTCTTGTTCTACGTCCACACTAAAATAACCGGGCTCCTTGTTCCCCTCCTCCTTCACCGCACTACGCGGGTCGAAGCAGTCCAAGCGCCCTTTATGGGAGGTCAGGGCCGTGCTGGACAAGAACATCACCTCCGCCTTATTCTCGTGCTTGTTCTGCACGCCGGGGGGCTCTGCGGAAACGGAGTTATTTTATCCTGAGTAAAAACGTCCCCACCCCAGAGTCAAGATGCGAAAGCCGCTACACAAATCCCTAAGCTTTGGCTGTCGCGCATGACAAATTTGGGCTCGCAGTGTAGCCGTGTTTAGCTAGTGCAGCAGCATCACAGATCCAGTTTGTCATTCTGATTCGAGCATGACAAATCTCAAGTCACCACTAGAAAACGCCTCTCATGGGTCTCCGCATGAGAAACATTTTAAGCATACAGATTTGCATTAAAACTCTGGGGTGGGGACGTTTTTACAGAGGATATATTTGACGTTTTGTTCATCTCCGGGTTTGGGGAGGACACCGATACCAACGCTGCTGGTGCTTCTGCTTGCTCCTCTGCTTGTACTGCGAGGACCTCCGCAAGATTCAACATCTGCGGCGCGTGGATAATTTTTCCGTCTGCCAGAACTATCCGGAGTAAAAACGTCGCCACCCTACAGTCAAGATGGGGAATCTGCTGAACAATTCAGCCAGCTTTGGCTGAATTGTTCAAATTTCAAAACACCACTAGAAAAATTCTTTCCATGGGTCTCCGCCGCATGAGCAATATTTTAAGGATGCAGCAGATTTGCATGACAAGTCTGGGGTGGGGACGTTTTTACATGGGATAAGAACTGGCACTGCTTCATCTTCTTGTACTATCTTCTCGGGAAGTAGATCCGCGTCGTTTCTTTCCTTTTTCTCGTTGTCGACCTCAAGAACAGCGTCCATAAGCGGCTCCGCAGCAGGTGGACGAGCCACACGACCCTGGCCATCATCTACTTCATCACTCGACGCAGCGAAATTCATCAGCGGGAGCACCGCGTTCTTGTAGTTTTGCCGGTTGTTTAGAGTTCCGCCAAAAGGATAAGCACACCACGATCCGGCCGTCGGTTTTTTCCCCACGACGTCTGACCCCGGGACGTGCAGCTTCATCCAATTCACCACTTCCCGGCAGATCAGCGCTTCGTGCTTTAGGTAAATCGTCTTCTTGTCCGGCGTATCCAGTGCAAATGTGTCTGGGCCTGGAAGAACGCAAGTCTGTCATGCTTATCTCACATGACTCTTGAATCTGTAATGCGTGAGCAGCAGGAAAAAAGCCTCTAGCCTGAAAATGCAGGCTGTCATGCGGAAAGCGAAACATAAAAGAGCCCCGAAACTTGTCATGCGTGGCTGCGTGTCCGTGTCGCAAGTTCTTTCAAGACCCGGTCAGATTCCAATACGTACGGCGTGATGTTCACGTCCACATCATGGTTTGCGCACTCCAAATTCAGAATCGCGACGGGAAAGACCTGGCCCGACGCGTACTTCTTGAATTCTTCGTTTACGGTTTTCAGTATTTTCTTCGTATGACAGTGCACAACTACCCCCCTCTATTTTTGCATGAACAGCAATACAAACGCCAGCGACTCTGGAGCTTGTGCATTACAAATTTATGTAAACTTACTGTACGTACTTTGTGGGCAGCTTTCGAAATTTGTCATGCACAATTAGTGACACACGGAAGCAATTGGAGTTGAGATTTTGCATGAGAAATGAGAACGAGGGGGACTTCTTGTTGTGCACTGTCATACTTCGGAAAGGGGTCGCACAATCGGTAGTTGACGAAGAAAATCTGCCAATTTTTTGACTTCTTCCCACCGTTCGACTGGGAAACAAGCCCGGTGATGCGGAAGTTGTTGTTGTTGGACGGGCTAAAAACTGTGGCTTGCTGTTCGTGTACGAGTGGTGGTGGTAAAAGCGCACCACCAGCAGCCGTCCCGGCTAGAACTAGTTCCTGCTCGGTAGTTTCATGTTGAACTACTTGAGCGGGGGGCAACATCATAGTAGAGTTCACCAGGCCTCCGCCCCCTGCTGGACCACCACCAGCACCTCCACTTCCGACGTTCAAGTCCACTTCGACCGTATTCTGCATATGGAAGTGTCAGGATCGAAATCGACAAAATTGAAATGATTTGTCATGCATAAAATGCAGCCCATAAAGTGCCTGTCTTGCAGAGTAAGGAAGTGAGGCAGATTGCAAGCCTGTTGAGGGGTAGAAACTGAGCTGCTAAAGTAGCATACCAAAAGGCGTCTTCCATAGTACCCAAACAGCATGACAAACTGGGTCTCGGCTCTACCGAAATTTGTCATGCGCCACGTGGAAACTGGGTTACAACTGGCCTCCATTTTATGCATTACAAATCTTTCGATTTTGTCGATTTCGATTCTGACACTCTGATACTGCAAGTGCTCCCCATACACGGCCATGCAGGCCTGTTTAAAACTTCTCGCACATTATGGAAATGCCAGGATCTTCGAAATAGAGAAAAGTGGAAATGATTTGCCAACATGCATAAAATGGATACTAGCTGGAACGACCCAGTTGTTCCTCCGAAAAAAAGTGATACGCATGACAAAACTTTGCAAAACCGAAATCCGACTGGTCATGCTGCTTTGGGAAAAAACACTGCTTCTGTCATGCTACTGGAACAGCAGTTCCATCCCAGTAGACCCCAAACAGGCTTACTTACCATCGGCCCGAAGAATTTTTCCCTGCGGTACAATACAGGCGCTTGTTCGCGTCTTGCATTTCTTGCAGATGACAAATCATTTGAACTTTGTCCATTTCGATCCTGAGCCCTCCATACACAACCGCTCGTCCGCAGCATCTCTTTCGTTTCGAACTTCTTCGTCTTCGCGTTAAATTTTTTGTTGTGGATCACAAACTTGGTTAGGTAGTTACACGCTGCAAATTTCTGCAGCAGCTGCATCGTTTCCTGCAACTGCTGCTTCACGTTTCGCACGAATTCCTGGCGGCGGACCGGGGTAATAGAAAAGAGGTTCGTGATCTCGATTTTCGTGCCGTGCGACGTTTGCAACACCTGTTCCTGCTTCACCAGATTCCCCTGGCGATCGTATGTGGCTTGCAGGGCGAACTTGTTGGTGGAATTCGTGCCTGCACTGTTGAGGTTCCTTTCCGCTGTGAACAAGGCGAGGGCAGAAGTTGCACTACTGCCCCCAACAACGTCGGACTCCAGCTTCGTATTCGCCTTTTTACCTGCGTTTATCATCCCGCGCGGCGCCGCGGGGGCAGGTTCTAATATTTTCCGCCCTAGAACAAGATGTCCAGAGTTGGAAGTCGCCCCGTCATTTTCATTTCTTTCCGACAGCGAGACCAAAGCGCCCGAAAAATCCCCACGCGCACTTTCACCCCCCGCGGTAGTACTTCTTTCCACTATCGGTACCAAACTGGTTTCGTTGCTCATAGGTAAAAAACAGTCCGCAAACTTGGTCGTGACCACGAATTTTTCCGATAACGCGCAGCAAGCCGCTAGTGCTTCCCCGCGGAACCCAAACGTTTGACAGGGGGTGGGGGATGAAGTGGAGAAAGGAGGATCTGCAAGAGGAACTTCTGATGTGTCTGTCATTGTACAACTGATTGATGATGTGGTCGTGGTCGTGGTCCCTGCAGGTAGTTTATTTCCACCGACTTGATGTGAAGTCGAAGATGTCCCGTACAGTTCCTCCACATTCCGCAGTTTGGAGGTGCAGTGCCGCAGACACACGTTTGGCAGATCAGCTTATCCTGAGTAAAAACGTCCCCACCCCAGAGTTGTCATGCAGATTTGCAAAGACAGTAAAACTTGTAACGCGCATCCCCATGAGAGCCATCCCCAATCGTGTTTTGGAATTTGTGATGCTGCAAATAGGATGAGGAGATGGCTTTGTGATGCGGCTGTCCTTGCGAAACTGCACTACAACACAGAGGGGAACTTGTCACGCATGACTCCCAAAACTTCCGGGTTTGTGTTGCATTTTTCCCATCTTGACTCTGGGGTGGGGATATTTTTCCTCACAATACAGCTTCGCAAATCCCGATCCCGTCATCGACGATCACGAGGCCGTATCAAATGCTAGTATGTCTGGGTCTGGGTTTCTGATGCAGGACCTCAAGGACAACAAGATCTGTAATGCAAGAACACCATCGGCCAGAATTTTTGTTGTGTTGGATGGCAGTTTGTAATGCTAAACACGAATGAACCCGCAATAAGCCGAGGATAACTTGTCATGCTGTTATGCCGTAAAAGAAACCAGTCTGCAATGCAAGTATCAGCAACACAAGTTTCCGGACCCAGACGTATTTGCAATGCATAACCCGTCCACTCCCGACTCGAGAAACGTGATTTCGATTTTCCGGGCCCGCGCGTCGAGGGAATTCTCTACGAGTTCTTTCACGCAGGTGTCGAGACTGATGATCACCTGGTTCGTGCAGATCGTGTGGATGGTATCCTGGTTCAACTTCTGGATCCGGCTAGCTGTCTTGATCGGAACTATGGCGGTTGAGATTGGAACATGGGGTGCTGGTGCGGGTTTTCTGCCTAGTACAACCGGAGGCTTGGTTGCCGGTGGTGGTGCGGCGCTTTTCATCGTCGTTATTTCCTGATGTGGCTTTACTGCCTGGAATGTTGACGAAGAAGAAGATGCTGCCCCCTTCGGTCCTGGTCCCGCTGTAGCGGCCTTTGTTGATATAATTTCGCCGCCCTGCAGTTTCTCTTCCACCTTGCCCGCGTGGTCCTGCAGTTTTTTCTCACCAACCCTCGGCGCGGGCTTGGATTTGGAAGCCGAAGTAGTTGCGGCTTTGATCGTGCTCTCACCCTGCGACATCTGCGGTTTCTTCGAACTTGCACCTGCAGTTGCCGACGTCTTCGCCTGCTTAGGATTCTTGTTTTCAATATTTTTACCCGTCTGCTTATTGTTTATTCCACTGGCATTCTGCTTGTTTTCCTGCTTGTTCGCGCCTGTTGTCGTACCCTTTTTCGTTTTCCCGGCTGGAAGGTCATTACCATCCTGCTCCCCCGCGGCCGGACTCGATTTTACTTTCGGTGCTGCTTTGACGTCCTTCTGCCTCTTCATCGGTGCCGCGACGGCCTTGCTCGCCGTCTTCAAAACCGATTTTGTGCTGCCGGCTACTGGTCCACTAGTGGCTGATGCCTTGGAAGCCGCAGCAGCCTTGGACTTCATCTTCGCCGCGGCCGATTTCGGCGGCATGATTTGGTTTTGTGGAGATGAGGTTACTTATCCTTAGACGTAGCCACGTAGTACGGTCGGGGACTTAAGTGCAATAGACTCAGTTGTAGACACTAAAACACTTTCGAACTTCTACCTGGCACACTGGTCTTGTATTAGGGTTTCGCTTTCAGTTTCTTTTTATACATAGGTAAAAAAATCAGGAACCAAGTACTAGAGGGCAGCGACGCCGTGCTTTGACCAATACCCAAAGGCAAAACCAAAATCTCAACTCAACTCAAATAAAGCGGCGTGAAAATAAACATTCAGAAGCTGATTCTGAAAAGGCCTCTTTGCGCCACACGTCACGACTTGGCGTCTGCGTCTATTTTGCAGTGAAGCAACTCCAGTGTTACGATCTGTTTTGCGCGTGACCAGTTCTCCTCGCCGTCTCAATTTGCGCAAGAATCTTCAGCGCGGCCAGTAGTGTGACGACACAGGAGTGGCAGTACGATGAAAACTTTCACTCGGTTAATTAAAGGACAAGATGAAGAACATACACGCTGAAATAGAAATTGGACCAGAATTTTTATCACGGTCATCTTTTAGCACCCTGCAATTCCTGCCGTGCGCGAAAAAACCGGCTCTTTTTGTGAAAAGGTAAAAGGAAAACGACAAACAGGTAGCAAGCGCAACTGGTTTTTTCTATCGGTTTTTAGTTGTAATATCAGTTTCTAGGTAGTAAGTTTGCTCTCATGATTGTATATTCTCTGTGATACGCTAGTATTTGTCCCTTGACTGATGAAACCAAAATCCAAATATCGTTGGAAGCTAGGTGAAACTGCAAGAAATTCTATTGGTAGGGTGGAAAAAATGGCTAGAACGATAGAATGCAAGAGGTTGTACAGATGAGACCCACTATAACGAAGCACGTGAGCTACACAACGTGCTGATGAAATTATTATTTTTCAGAAACGAGCTCCTACTAATGCCTTGTATTAGAAGCATGCGTATTCGGAAACATAATTGGAAAAATGCGTAGCCAAAAAAAAAAAAAACTCAGCCGCCGGGCAGTAAAATTCTACTGCCTGAAAGGACCTTTATTTCATGATCTTCATTCTATACGGAGTAATAAATCGTACAAACACGATGACAAATAAGGAGCACAAGAACTAAAGTCATGCACATTTGTGAACAAAAAAAAATCAGATCTTACAGAGCACAATTATAGACAAACACCGTAAAAAATCGAAATCGTACATAAGCTGTCCGCGGCCGCGTAGACGAGAGTCTAAATCTTAATCATTCACACACCGCCCTGGGAAACCACCTTGCTTGCGATCCAGGGCTATCAAATGCAAATATGACTGGGTCTGGAACTTTGCTAGTCTAGTCATGCAGGTTTTCCATGACCCATATGATCTGTAATGGAGGACCTAGCATGACAGGTTCCGTGAGATCACTATCATGCCTACCCTGCATGAGAAACTGCCTCTGAACTTGATCAAAATTGGACAGCATTTGGGAATCATGCAACACAGATTTTTGCATGATTCAGATTTAGCATGACAAGTTCCAACCTTCCAGACCCAGACATTTTTGCAGTGCATAACGGCAAAGCGGTCATGGCCCCGACGCAAGCGGTGCAAGAGGTCCAGATGGGCGCTTGGCGGTAAAACGGCCGTGCAGCTTGCGGATCTTCCGTTATTTCCTGCGAAGGATCTGGATCAACATCTTCATCATAGGCTGATACTTCCTGCCGTGGTTCCAGGGCATGGCCTTCCCCTTCGTCCACGTCCATATCTACAACTGCATCATCAACCTTCTGGTCTCCTTCTCGTGCAGCCTCCGGCGCGTTCGTGGTTGAGCCTGCTGCTCCACGACCCTCACCAACGCCTCTTCCACTTGGCTTTTCCTTATCTATTCCCTCTGGCAGCACAAGCTCGCTCCCTGCGTCCGGGAAAGTAGATAAGCAGCTTGTCGTCCCGCCCGAGCATAATTCCCCCTCTATCCACGGTGTCGCAGGCGTATTCTCACTTCCGGATAAGTAACAGGAGCCTGTCGGACAGGATGTAGTTGGGAACATCATCGTCATCGGCTGCAATATTAAATGCTGAACACCACTCTGCACGCCGCTAGACACTCGATCCACCACCGCGCCGTGGAGCAGACAGTGGTCCGCCGCAGCTGCAGCCAGCACCAACGGCGCGAGAACGGTTTTTTTACTGGGACAACGTCGTCGGGCGGATAGCATTTGTACGTCGTCCATGGACGAACCAGAAGATTTGTACGCCCCCGCGGGTGCAGGCTGAAGTCCTCGCGTGTTTTTTCCCGTCTCTCGTATCATGAGGAAAAACGTCCCCACCCCAAAATTGTCATGCAAATCTGCATGCCAAAAAAGTTTCTCACGCGGAGCCCCATGCGAAGCATTTTCTAGTCGCGTTGTAGAATTTGCGATGCTCTAATCAGCACGATATGCTAGATCTGTGATGCTGCTGGAGCTAGCTAAACAGGATTACACCACGGGGCCAAATTTGTCATGCGAAACCACCAAAGCTGGTGGATTTGTCTAGCAGATTTCCCATCTTGACTCTCGTGTGGGGACGTTTTTACTCAGAATATCTTGCGCGCCGTGTTCTCCTTCTCCTCGGTTGGACTCTGGTTCGACATCCATGGAGAAGCAAAGGGCTGTACTTGCACCTCCCACTCTACTACTGCCCCGCGAACGAAGTTGGTACGACATTCGACCACTTCTGCTGCCTGTTGTACTACTCCCAGCGCTCGAGAGAGACTGGGAAGCTGTACTACTGTCGCAGACCGAAACAACATCTTCCACGGTGGTGGAAGTTATCGCGCAAGAGCGATTTAGCACATATGATGAACTCGTCAGGCAGTTCTCCGCCTCTCGCGGCTGCAACCTATAGAGCTGCGGCGCAGAAGTTGTCTTATTGGCTCTTTTTTCCACCACTTCCGAAGTGAGAAACCGCAGGCCTTCGAGAGCCTTTCGGAGCTTTGTCTCACGGCTAACAAATTCACGGAGCAATCGTGTCTGTGGTTCTGGTGAAACCTTCACAAGTTGCTCTTCAAAAGCACTACCACTTGCGTCCTCGTGGGGTGTATCCGAGAAGGCATCGAGGAACATTTTTCGCACCACCTGTTCCACTTCCGGTTTTTCGTCCTCGAAGGAATCATCGCACGAAGGGATCATTGCGCACGGAGGAAGTAGTAGGTCCGCGGAGTGCTGGTCTGCATGATCCTCCTCCGTGGGCTCTAATTCTGCATCAAATAGTACTCCTGCTTCTTCATCACCTCCACCCTGTACTTCTCCCTCCATTTTACTGCTCTCCGCATCACTCTCGGCGTCCTCACCGCTGTTATTAAGCAGGCTTTTGACAAACTTCAACCTAGCCTTGTCCAGGTCCGCTCTCCTCTTCGCCGCATAGCTTTCAGCCGTGCGAAACGCGTTCCGGTGTCGCACAAAATGAAGGATGGAATCCTTCACGAACTGTTGTTGCAGGAAACTACCCTCTTCACGATGGTGATCCTGCTCGGTAGTTGTACCTTGCATGAGTAGCCCACCTGAAGTAGTTGGTGTGTAGTTATCCAAGGGAAAAAATAAATGGTGGCTGTCTTTCTGTTCTTCCTCATGATCTTGATCCCCCGTTTTCTCCTGCATGGCACTTTCCACCATATGCAAAATTCGGGCCGTGATGCTCTTTGCCGTCGACGACGTGTCCACAGAAAGAGCCTCCTCCTCCTGCCCACTTTCGGTCTCCGCGTCCTCTGATTTTTCTGTCAGCGCGTCTGCTGCTGTTCCAGTGGTGCCGTCCGTTTTTACAGCGCCGTCGGACCTCCGACGCCAAGTAGAAGGTAGAAAGGCGCGGAAGAATCTCTGTGCCATAGTACCAGATGATGCAGTGGCTGCTGATGAACTACTGTGTTTAATATTCATCGTCGTGCCTTCAGCCTCTTCAACTTCTTCTCCCTCCTCTTCGTCGTCAGTCTCATCTTCCAGCGCGGAGGTTCTCGTGCTGGTGTCCTCCTCAACGTCCTCCGCAGAGGTAGTTGTAGCGTGGAGTTCAACATCTTCTCCTTTTCGGCTGAGTTTCTGCTCAAGCAAAAACGCCGCGAATTCCGCCAACCTCTCGGAGGAAGTACTGAAGAAGGAACCGTCAAAAAGCATCTCCTCCTTCTCGTGGAACCAGACCGCAGCGTCCTCGGTAAGTGCAGCGAATTTATTGCTCTTCTCTGTATTTTCATCCACAGGCGGGCCCGTGCGTCGAGGACTCTCCGGGGCTGCGGCAATGGGTTCCAGAAGCAGCTTCCACTCGTCCCTTTCGCTTTTGCTCACGCGCTGAATCCCCACCCCGAAAAAGAGAAACTTGGACTGGGTAGTACTAGTTGTAGCACGACCTGCCGCGGCCTGGGTCGCTTCTCCTCCTTCTCTCCGTCCGGACAGCGGGACGCTTCCAACATCGAAAGATCCCGGCGACCGCGCTATCTTTAACGCCGCACCACCACCAGCCGGAGCTGCAGACTGCGCTGTAGTCTGCAAAAATCCCGCACTCTGCAGCCGGCGCGCCGCTGGGGTGAGAGCTCTTGCAGGAGTGGAGGCGGTCTCTGGCTTGTTTTTCGCCACTGTATCACTACGCAAGAACGGCGTGCTACTTGTGGAAGATGAGTACACGAGCTCCACCCGTAGTGGCAGCCACACTGTATTGTTGCCGCTGGAGGAGGTTAGAAGCTTCGTAGCTGGTGTTCCACCCTCAGCCAGTACCTTCACCTCATTTGGTGGCCAGTTTTTCTCGATTTGCTCCCCAAACCGGGTTGGTAACGTACTGCCACCTATGGATTGCAAATATCACTGGATGTCTGGAAGAGTGCAAGGTTTGTTATGCTTGTCTGCTATGACTGAGGAGTTTGTGATGCGTGTCCAAATAGAGACCCATTTGCTTGTCATGCAAAAGCGCAGTTTGTCCTGCGTAAAACGCGACCCGTGGCCGCGCAAATATTTCTCATGCATGGCCGTGCATTCCAAACCACTCACTTGCAAACCACTCACTTGTCACAGCCCAGCATTACAAGTTTCCACACCACCCAGACATATTTGCATTGGATACGTTCCGACTGCAACCGATTGGTCAATTTCGAAAACGTCAAGGTCGGAATGGCATCGAAAGTGGATGCAGGCGGTTCTTGCTGTGCAGCAGCTTCCCGCAACATTTCTTGCGGCTGCCGAGCAGGTGGTTTCGGGGTTGTACTAGATGAAGACCCACCAAAGCTTGTTTTTGTTGAACCTTGACCAGATAAGAAACCACGTGGCCTCGTCTCCCTCTGCGCCACGGCACCGGCCATCCAGGCTTTCAGGATCGGGGATGCGACCTGTTCGTCTTGCAAAAACGTCAAATGATGTTGCCCGGAATAGGCGGTGCTTGCCGTAGTACTGCAGCCGGCTACAGGTTGCACTATACAGCATTCAACATCTACTTCGCAAACACGACCCGTAGCTGCAGCGGAGGCGAGAGGTGGTGTCTGTGTTGCTGATCGACAACGTTCTTGGTTTTCTTCTTGTTCTACTGCTTCTTCGGTAGAAGTTCTGGTAGAACTAGACGGCGCGCCGATCACTCTGGGATCAGCGGTGGAGCTGGTGCTGCATAAACGAGTGTCATTGTTCCTAGTACCCAGCTGTGCAAGTGCTGCGCTCCTTTGTTGAACAAGACATGGCATTACAGTCGAGCGGCCCGCTATCCAGGAAAAAAACAGTGTAAGTGTAACTTTGTAGGAAGAACAGCATCACAAATTCGCTTTGCATTGCAGGGCAAACCTGTCATGCGCAGCTAGTATGTGAAAACACGTGTGAAAATAGCCAATGACGCAGATCCAGCATGACAAGTGTAATAGTTTTCCATTTTCTGCATCACAGAGTTACACTTACACAGTTTTTTTCTTGCATACCCGCCCTCGAAGAGGATGTTGACCCGCTGCTGCTGCTCAAATTGCTAGCCGACCGCCCTAGAACCTTCGGCCGCGGCGCGTATTGATGCGGCCACGGGTGTTGCGTGGCTGTTTGTGTTGGATGGAATTTGTCTCGTTTCTCGGGAAAATTAGTTTTTGGCTGGTCAAGTGCGACGTCGCCGCTTGGAGAATTAGATGATTGATGGTATTGCGAAGATGACGCGGCTTTCACACCCACACTACTGCTCACTCGCACGGCAAGTGCCGAGTACAGGAAGCGGAAAGGAAACTGCATTTTCAATTTCTCAGTTCTTTCTTGGGCAAGGAAAATGTAAAAAGATAGATGGTGAAAGTTGTAGAGTATTTTACAGTGGTGGAGCTGGTGCAGAAAGTAGCACAACATACAACGCTGATGCAGCTAAAGTCAAGAAAAATGAATGTTCGCCGACGTAAAGAGGATGATTGTACAAAATAACATTTTCATTTCCGGATTTAATAATTCATCGAGCCTACGGTTTCTCTAGTAATCCCGACTGGAAGAGATCGAAAAGCGTTGTAGGTTTTCTCACTTTGTTTATCCAACTGGAAGATCCATTCAAGTCATGTTAAATCGATCTGCCTGCGGTTGCGCAAAGGGGATGAGACATCCAGTTCGCGCCGGTTGGACCCGGTATGAGTACTGCTAAGGAACAACATCGAGAACCACTTTCTGGCAAAAGGCCTTTAGTCGCGCGATCTAGTTTGTGCCATCATTTTGTTCTACAGAATTATGAGATCGGTTAAAATAGTACAACTAGATGGATCAAACTCGTCTCTGAGGGAACACTCAGAATAAATGCGACGGTGTTCTTTGTGCGGCAACAAGTCATCGCGCCCACAAGTGGAACTCCGCTCGCTTTTGTGCTATACATGGTCTTTTTTTTTTTTGGTACTTACAATTCAGTCGGCCTCTGGGGTCAATTTTCTTCGAAAAGAACCTTCGATCGGGTTTGGGTTGTAACCGCTTCAGGATTTTTAGACAAAGCTCTAGTCTTTATTGAGAGGAAAAATCCCCCCTCCCCATATTGAAAAGGTATGTTTCCAAAAATTTGTGTTGCGGATTTGAGGTCACAAATCATATCTGTCTTGCAAGAAGACAAGGGCAGAAGCTTCCGCCCCATTATGGCCGCGCTTTGTCATGCTGTTAGGCCTAAAGGGGAGCCGTTTGCCATGCTGAACAACTAGACCCATACGCCCCTACCTAGCCTGGAGATCTGGCCGCCATGCCTCTCTGCAATACAAAGCTGACTTGTGGCCACAAATCAGCATCACAAATTTCCGCTTTGATATGGGGAGGGGGGATTTTCCATTTTGATAGTCTTGTTTCCAGGGATTTGGCATGGGTTCGCTGGTCGGTTTGTTTTCAAACTGCCGCAACCTCGCCTGCCGTATCAAATGCAAAAGTGTCTGGGTCTGGAAGATTGTGAGACTTGTCATGCAGATTTTCCATGATCCATGTCGTCTGGAATGCAGGACCTAGCATGACAGATTCTGTGAGAGCCCTATCATGCCTATCCTTCATGAGAAACGTCCTCTCAACTTGGTCAAAAGTGGACAACTTTTGGTATTCATGCAGCACAGATTTTTGCACGATCCAGAATTAGCATTACAAGTTGCATCCTTCCCGACCCAGACATATTTGCATTTGATATGCCGCATTGCCTCCCGCTGCTCCGCTGTTTGTCCTCCGGCGGAGCTGCTGCTACCTGTAGTGGCGGTTTTTTTTTTGCGACATGTTCTTTCTGCGGATTTGAGTTGTGTATGACAAGGAAAAAGCACGACTTGAGTTGTTGTGCACACCACGCGGCGGTTGTAAATTTTTTTTTGATAATTGCGTATTGACATATTACGCAACACAAATTTTGCATAGCACAAATGGTATTCATCGCGTCCGATAGTACCTGCGCTCGCCATCCAAGAGCTCCCGGCGCCTGTCCCCTGCTGCTGCAGGTACTGATTGTTGGCACCCGCTTATCACAAGAAAAAAGTGTTACAGTTACACATTTGTTGGAGTTCCTGCATCACAAATTTTCTCGGTGTGGCAGGGAAAACTTGTAATGCGAAGATCGCAGGGGAGAACAGGAAGGAAACGAGGCTCCCAAGCATTTCCTGCATGATAAAGGTTATCTGTGTTGCCGGTCTTGCAACACAATGTGTAACTGTAACACTTTTTTCTTGCGATACCGCTGGTGCACCCTGCCCCAAGCCAGCGCCGCCGTTCATATTTCTGTTCGCGTAAAAGTGCTGGTAGCCCAGAAACGCTACGACCAGCAGAATCAGGCCGAACCTCTGCGTATCCTTTGCAAAAGTATCGCACTCGTAGTTATGCATTAAAAAACCTTTTGCTAAGTGGTGAAAAACCATTACAAATTCCATTTTTCATGCTGAGGCAATTTGTCATGCGATTTCTACTAGTACGATACTTTTGCAGTTCATACTGCAAGGGATAGGAACCGTCCGCATCGTCGTCCTCGGGTTCCTCCCAGCTGCTCCCGTGTCTTTTTTTGCCCGATTTTCCGCCATTCAGTTGGAACATCATCTCCTTGTACCGCTGTTTCTGCTCGTCGCTCAAGCTCTCGTAATCCACAGACTTCAACTTCTCCCGCATGTTGCTCCGCCACTGCTAGTATCCACTGCAAAAGTATCGCACTCGTAGTAATTGCGTTTATGCATTATAGAAATCTCTTTCTCGAGGTAAATTAGCATTACAAATTTAATTTGTAATGCTGAGCTAATTTGTAATGCAATTCATACTAGTCTGATTATACTTTTGCAGTTCATAGCTCGGACTGGGGCATGTCCGCCTGCTCCGAGTAACTTGTCCAAGATATCACACTGAAAAAAGCAGGCCGGCCACATTTGTAATGCAAAAACAAATACACAAAAAAACCTGTACTGCATAAGAACCCAAACAGCACGCTATGGGGCCGCCCCTGGCATCAAATTTGCGTGTGTATTGATTTTTGCATATACAAATATAATGCCCTGCTAGCTTTTTCTCTGGGTGGATACAAGACGCGTCGAGCTGCGCGGCGACCGGCGCAGTATTGAATACTGTGGTGGTCACCGACGCGAGCAGTGCCGCTTTTGTCGTCAACAGGGCCATCTTCACCCCAGCGGCTGACTGGTGCAAGAACCCTCCTCGTCCTCCTCGCTGGTAGGTCTTAACGCAGCTGATCCCCGGGAAAAAAAAACTGCCGGCGGCGGCAGCAGCAGCCTCGGTGCTGGCACCGAACATCAAACCGGAGCAAGCTGCGCCCCAAGTCAGCAGCTTCGTTCTGCCGAGTCTAGTACTGCTGCGGCGGTCCCTTGCCCTGCTGCTGCACTTCCAGTTGCTTATGGCTCTCGCGGCGAGGGGCTGGCTGGAAGAGGTGGTGGTCATGATCATGCTTTCACTTTCTTTTGTTTCGCCGCGTGCTACTTATTTTGATTTACCCCAGTTCGTTTTCTACTAGTAGTGACTGTTTGTCATAATTCTCGAGGACAATCAAAATGCGGGTAAAGTTTTGAACTACGGTATGTAAGTACACTTTGTTCACGATCGCGCTGTGGATAAGGCGGCTCGGCTTCATAGGGGTAAGCTTGTGTCAATCTGAAGGAAGAGTAACACTACAACGATCGGAAATAAACTTCAATACAGCACACAGTCTGTAGTGGCGTGCGCGTTGCAGCAAGAACCTAAGTGGGGCCACAGCAAAGGGGGTGCTGTTGTGAGTTGGTTTCTTTTGCTGGTGTGCGGATGGTATTCTTTTTCCATATACAAGGAGCGGGCAGTGTTCTGCGCGTGGAGGGATCTTTGATGCAGGCTCAGTGTCTAAAATTCGTATCGGATTTCCTTGCTATTTTGCAGAAGGTTCAACGTAGAAGTAGTTGTTGCGCCCACATAAAGCTCGGCGAAAGGCCGCGGGCGACCAACTTCCGCGCCCGCCCCGTTGAAGGAAAGGCAGGTCTTATGCTGAGGAAGCTCTCGTCGAGCCGCATGGCCTGCGATTCTCTGAAAACCCGGGGCGCCGCGCCGCTTCGAAGTCAGTGCGGCGGGCTTCCCGGAAAAGCAGCCCTTGCCCGTGCCGCGCCGGGAGTGCAAGGGGGGCGCTTGCGAGGTTGCGGGCTCGCGCGTGCGGGCCCCGGTTGCTTGGGATTTGCGATATTTCTCAAAATTGAGCGCAGCGGACCCCGCGCCGGGGAAAGGCCGCCGGCGGGTCGGGCCCCTCCTAGCGCAGCGGGGCGCCGCGCGCGCATTTCCGAAAAGCCGCTATGGGGGCTCCGGTAGGGGCGGGGTTGGCAGGCGACGGAGCCCTCTCCAGAATACCAATCGCGAGCGCGGTTGCTGTAGCTTTGCACGCACCCGGGGCCGGCGGAAGCAGATTCAGCCCGCCCCGCCCCTATTTGTCTTGCCAGTTTGGGGCATAGGGGCCCGGCGCGTGCGCATACCGAGGCCGCGGCGCTGGCGCCGCGGCCCGGAGCAAATTCGCCGCGGCGGGGGGCGGCCCAATTTCCAAAAATAGCAAAAGGCTGCCGAACTGGCTCGCGCGGGCCGCCAAGGCCAGGTCCCGGGACCCAGTTCCACCTGGCGTCGCAGCGCGCCCTCCTTGTGGCACCAAGCGGTCCGCCAATCGGCGGGAGGCGACCAGGCTCGGCCCGGCGGCATCGCGCAAGCGCCTGCAGCCCCCGGAAGCCCGCCGCGGTGGCTTTTGCGGGCCGCGCATGCCGGGCCCCGCGGTCGGCCGGAGAAGCGTCGCGGGGCGTCCTGCTAGTGGCGATCCGCCCGGCCTGCCGCGCAGCTTCGGGCGCCGCCCGCGCGGGCGACCTGTCGACCCGGCTACCCGCCTCCCATGCGGAGGTCTGCCCGGTGCCGCCTAGCGAACTAGGCGGCATCGGCGCGGCCCTTTCGTGCCGTTGGTCCACTGCATAACCAGCGCCGGCCCGCGCGCGGAGAACCGGCGCCGGGCCCCGATGAAGCGCGACGATAAGGCGCGGCGTCTATGGTTTTGCGCTCCTACTTCATCAACGGAGGCGGCCCAGAGCCGCCCTGTCGAGGGTGGCGCGGGGCGAGAATCTTGCGCAGTGGTCCTATGTGTACTATGCTGGGCAGGCATGTCAATCCAGTTGTGGACGGGGTTAGGACATGGCCCTGCTCTAGGGTGTGGGCCTTCTTTGATCGACGGAGGTCAATCTAGCCCCTATGGGATAACATGGCCCACTGCTTGACAGTAAGCAACTTTTTCTAGATTTTTTAAAATTGTGCCAGGGGTAGGGGTCAGGCTTTTTTGGCTTTACGGAATAGACGAACGACACAGCGTGAGTGTGTCAGCTCTTTTTCTTACATACTTGACAAGCTTTTGAATAGTATTGATCACGTGCGGCATTTTTCAAAAATTTTAAAAAAATCAAAAAATGACAGAAGAACTGCAAGCATTCACTTACTTTGTTTCTATTACGTCCACAAGTGCAAATACTTGGAAGGCATCCCATTCATATGAGAACTGAAGCCATATACTACGGGAAATTTCCACCATATGCAATTTTTCAATATTTTATCCTCAATAAATTTTTGCGGAAGTTTCCAGATTTGGGGCATTTTTTTAAACAAAGTGAGTTAGTGACATTATATACCATCAGTGTTAAACAGCTTACGTTTTTTTTTTATCTGTAAACTTTTATATATAGCATTTCAATTTTCCAGAATTTTTCAAATTTTTTGAAACTTTTAAAATATTAAAAAAAGTGAATCAATGGCTTATAAAGCAGCCGAAGTTTTAGTACGAAGACACGACGTGCCTTTTATATTCAATATAATACAACTTCTCTAGTGTTTAGGGATAATTTTTCAGATCGTAAAAAATTAAAATTTTTTCACATTTGAGAAACCCCCAAAAAAGTTGATAGTATAAGTCTGATTTTTCTTGTAAATGAAGCAGCATAGGAATAAAATATGCGTATATGCATACACTTGCTCTTTTTTGTGTGTTTGTGACGCTTTTTGACCATGATAGCAATTTTTAAAAAAATTGCAAGTTTGGAAAGAGTGGTCAAATATAATCTATCCTAGAGAAAAATGGAAGTAAAACTGTCCAACAGTGCTTCATTTATGCATTTTAGTGGATCTGCGGAAGTCGATAAACACAGTTTGGATACAGGATGATTTATTGCCCCTATGGGACAAAATGTGAAAGCAAGATCCTCCGTCGTCCCTGTGTCCAATAGTGAAGCAGTGCGCGGCCCCCTCTATGGTGTGGCGCTCTTCTTAGGTCGTCGCGCATTCCCTGCGACGGCGGGACGCGGTGCATTACCGGCGGAAGCGCCCTGCGAAAACTCTGGAAATGCGCGGCGATCGCGGGCGAAGAGGGCACATGCCTGGCCCTGCGTCGTCCAAACGGGCGCCGTACAGGGCTCCTTTGGAACAGATTCCCGGGCTTGGCTTGCGCTGTCGCGGCGGCACATCCCCCCCCCCCCCCCTTTTGCTTTCCCCCGACCGCCGGCCGGCGGAGCGCTCCTAGTGTTGCCCGCTTGCGGCGATATAAAGAAGGCGCGAAAACCATACGGAGGGCGGCCCGCGCAGGCGCTTTTTCTAGTGGGTGAGCCGCCGACGCCTGCGGAGGCCCGTATCCTTACCTAGCCGCGGGTGCCTCGGCCGGCCGCGGCGCACCGGTGGCGCTTTGTTCTACGGCGCGACAGGCCCGCCTGCACATAGCTTCCTGCGCATCGGCTCGCCCCGGGGGCTCCGGGTTTCTTTCGAAGCTTCGGAAAGGGGCCGGCTTCCCGGCAAACCCTCCGAGTGCGGCAAAAGACCGGCGCTGCTGGGGGCCCCTGTTGCTGCGTCTGGCCCGTGGGGCTTCGGGTAACCGTCGGAGCGTCGGGTGGCCGCCGGCGCTTCGACCAGCCGGCGGCACCCCGGTTCTCTACCGGCGCTTCGGCTCCGCGCCGCGCTAGGCTAGCCCGCGGGGCTTCGGGTAGCCGTCGGAGCTTCGGTCGGCCTCCGGCGCTTCGGCTAGCCCATTGGGGTCGGGCAAACCGGTGGCGCTTCGGGTAGTCGGCCGTGCATCGGTTCGCGTATCTCGCCCGGGCTTGCGAGCGGCGCCTCGGCCAGCCCCCGGCGCAACGGCGAGAAGTACTCACGCCAAGGTCTGCGCGCTTCGTGCGTTTTGTCGCGGCCCGGACCCTGTACCAGCGGTGGTAAAGAGTTGAAATCGGTCTACTTCTCCGACAAACATATGGACATGTGCTTTGCCCCAGTGTTCATCATTCCGAGTCGACAATGGGAACAATACAAAAGTGCTTTATTTCTGTCTTCATGAGGGCGCCCGGGGTTTTTACCGTGGCGTGACCGGTTAGGCATGTGAAGATATCACACAGTTCATCGAAACCGCTCGTCCGTTACATATTAAAGCGGCATAGTACTCAGTGGTCTTCAAGAACACAGCATAGGTCTGCAACGACGTTATACCAGATCTTCCGTTCTTGTTGAAACTACATGCCAGGTCCCTATCAAAAACTTGCGACACTCTTTCAAAAAGAAAGTTCGAAATAAAAGGAGCACCGCGTCCGCTCTAGTACTTCTACTGGTCGCACAGAAGCTTGCGGTGTTTTCTATACCTGTGGGCGGTCTTCCTCCTAGGGGACACCACTTTGATGTGAGAGCAGTTCTTGTACTCTTGTAGTGCCTCCAAAATATTTTTACACTGTAAAAATTACAATCCATCGGTGCAGCTTCATCTCCAGGTCGTGTGGTCCAAGAAAGAGAACAAGTCTTCTACACGACAGCAGAACGTCGAGAGAAAAAAATTTCTCCCCGAACACTAACTCACGAAACGACCATGCAGACCCCAGCGCAACAACTCCTAGTTCGCTCGTCTCTCCCGCTGCGCCCGGCCCGAGCAAGGAAGGCGCAGGTGGTTACGGCCACGTCCAGTACTGCGCACATAGCGGCGGCGGGGACGAACAGTCACGCATATTGTGAGGAAAAATCCCCCCTCCCCATATCAAAGCGAAATTTCTGATGCTGGATTTGTGTACACAAATCCGACACGTCTTGCTGGAGAGCACTGCTGGCCCATACCAAGTGCGAGTAGAGAGGTTTTGGCCTAGGCGCTTAGCATGAAAAACATCAGCACTGTAGGCCCAACAGCATGACAAACCGCCGGCGCAATGCGGCGGTTGTCTGTGGAGTTGCCTTCTTATGCAAGACAGACACGATTTGTGGCCACAAATCAGCACCACAAATTTCCAAAAGTGCACCTTCTCAGTATGGGGAGGGGGGATTTTTCCTTCGGATAACGCGCGGTCGTTCTTCGGATCCACAGAACAACCGTCTGGAAGGATAAGACGTCCACCACGGATCGACAAGAACATGATGATGAGCATGGGTATTGTAGTGCCTGCGACGTCGTCAACAATGACCGCCGTGCCGCTGGTTCGACGACGAGTGACCGCGGCCGCGGTTTCCTCCACACATTCGCTTACCGCGCGACCCCCGTCCATCTCGTACAGTACTACTGCTACCCGCTCGTTTTCCAGTCGAACGCCGCTGCTGTTCACGCCGGGCCCTCTGACAACGAGTGTACAGGTGAAGAATGCGCTGTTGCAAGACGTCGGCTTATCGATCGCAAATATGTCTGGGTCTGGGAAGAACTTGTAAAAATGCGGGTTTGCGAATTATCGTAAAGGCACTGCATGAATGGTCCGCCTCGCATGGGAAGTTTTCGGGCGCGGCTAGGTGTAGTTCTTGCGTACTTTTTTGCATGACAACTTGCACTTTTGCATGATAAGGGAAATCAAGACCTTTTATTGGTGGACATGCATCACAAAGAACGATTACGATACGGCCATAGCACACAAGCATGACAAGAAATCTCGCAACTACCTTGCAGACCCAGACCTTTTTGCAATGCATAGAAGTCCCGGGATCCGTATTTTCTGGACCAGATGCATGCGGTTCGGGAAAAATTGGTGCTGGGCGCGAACACCACCACGGACACGCACTATCAAATGCAAATATCTCTGGGTCTGGAAAGGTTGGGCCTGTGTTGCGTGTCTCGCATTTCTGAAACAGCTGTATTGCTATTGCATGAGCAGCAAATAAAGCGCCACACTTTCGTCATGCAAGCTCGCGGTTCGTAATGTGAACTACGGATGAGAAAGCGCTTGGAATATTTGTCATGCTCCAGTGCGACTGCACAACTTCGTTCGAGGCGCACAAACTCATGACCATTCGGCGTCACAAGTTTCCACACGCAGACATGTTTACACTTGATTTGCGCGATTCGGTTTTGATTCAAGGAGCGGGGACACACGCCATCGAGTCCGTGCTCGGTATGCAAGAGAAAAACTGTGTAAATGTAACTCTGTAATGCAGAACATGCAAAGGAGTTACACCTGTCATGTCAGACAGCCATGAAGTCGTCTTTCCATGTGTGTTTTCCCTCACAAGCCACGCATGAAAGGTTTTTTCTATCATGTAGAGCAAATCTGTGATGCTGTCTCAGCCAAAGAGACTTACACTAACACAGTTTTTTTCTTGGATACTCGGGTCGGCTTGTGTACTTATTTCTCGGTCTCTATTTCTTTGCTGAAAGTAAGCTGCTACACTGATGGCTGATGATGATGATGGCGATCATGTGTTTTTTTTTCTCTATGCATGTTGATGCTCAGTAGCTAGCTGGTAAAAATAAAGGTCAGCATATTTGTGGATTCACTTATCTCAATTTTTTGTTTTCGCACAATAACCTCCAGTCCGGCCCCAACGACAAAGTGTTGATTCTGAACAACGGCGCTTACGGGGAGAGGCAGAAGCAGATCTGCAAGATTCTGAAAATCTCCTTCGAGTCCCTGGACTACAGTGACGATGTGGCGGTGTCCGCAGCGGATTTGGAAGCCCGTTTAGAAGCCGACGGGCACTCGTTTTCGCACGTCAGCTTTATCCACCACGAGACAACCGCTGGCGTGCTCAATCCGCTCACGGAGTTGTGCCAGGTGGTGGAGCGGTTTAACGCAAAGACCACGACCGGGAAACAGCTGGAAATTATCGTCGATTCCATGTCTGTATGCATTGCAAATATGTCTGGGTCTGGAAACTTCTCATGCTGATGTGCGAATGATACGCAAACTGTATTGCGGAGCTGCGCATGACAAGTGTCTGGGTGGCTACGTCTAGCGTTAAGCGCATGACAAATTGCCTTTTTGCATGACAAACAAGTAGCGTTGTAGCGCAACAAGCATGACAAACTCTTCCGCATTGCTGGCCGAGCATGACAAACTTCCATTCTTCCAGACCCAGACGTATTTGCAATGCATAGTCCGCATTCGGCGCGTACGAAGTGGATCTACAGAATATTACAGTGAAAAGTCCCCCCACCGCAGAATTTGCAGAAGTTTCTCATGCAAAGTTTCCAAATGAAAGGTCTTTGTCTTGCATGAAAGGAGCACGAGCATTTCTGATGCAGAATCTAGGTGCGCAAGGGATCTTTTGCATAAGAGAAACGCCTGCTGTTGGGGTTCTTTGCAACACAAATTTGAGCTATTCAGAATGGCAAATTTGTGATGCTAATAGATGCAAGACAGTGAGTGTTTCCATTGGAAAGGTTTGCAATACAAATGCTGCCATGTGTTGGGGCGTGGGCATTGTTCACTGGGATACAGAAAAAGCACAAAGCGGTAAAATACCTGATTTCTTCCGCCAATAAGTGCATCGAGGGCGTGCCGGGATTCGCTTTTGCGATCTACGAGAAAGAGGCTCTAGAGCGGCTTGCGGAAAGAAAGCCGAAGTCCCTCGCGCTCGACCTGTTTGCGCAGGCGAAAGGTACAAGGTTGCATGATATACTACCGATCATGAAGTAGTACAGTATCGGACTCGAGGACATATTAAGCGACAGTTTCTATGCTGCTTTTTTATAAAACACGGACATATTCATACCACCCTGCTATTTTATCGCATGACAATAAACCTTACAGGTCTCAGCACGGGCAACCGGCAGTTCCGCTTCACGCCGCCGACGCAGGCGATTCTAGCGTACCACCAGGCGCTTTTAGAGTGGGAGGAGGAGGGCGGTTGGAAGGGGCGGGGCGGTCGCTTATGCACTGCAAATATGTCTGGGACTGGACGACGAGTGTGATGCTGTTTCTGCATGACACAGGAGGTCTGGCATGCAAGTCCTAGCACCACAGGTTTTGCGCAGGTTAGGTGATGCCTAATAAAGTCGCATGACAAGAAGTTCCCTCTTTTGCTGACAAGAAATGACGAGCAACTTTTGCGGTCCATGCATGACAGATTTTTTTTTGGTCGCAGATGCGCATCAGAAGTTTACATGTTTCCCGACCCAGACAGATTTGCAATGCATATCGCTATAGAGAGAACTACGACGTGATTATCAACGGGTTGGAGAAAGTATCGTGTGCAAAAGTATCGTACTCGTATAGATGCAAGTCTTGCATTACAAATCTTTATCTCAAAGGAAATCCGCATTACAAATTTTCTTTCTCATGCTGAGGAAATTTGTAATGCATTTATACGAATACGATACTTTTGCAATTCATAGAAAGATTTCGGGTTGGAATTTTACGTGAAGCCGGAATATCGCGGTTACATTATCACCACAGTCCTGTCCCCGACTATGGAACTGCCAGGATCGAAATTGACAAAATCGAAAAACTTGTGATGCATAAAATGCATGCCGCGAAATACGTGTGTTGCAGAGGAGGCAAGTGAGGCCGATTGTAAGCCTGTTTGGGGTTATAGCTTGAGCTGCTAAAGCAGCATGAGAGAATCAGTCTTCTTTGCCTAAACAGCATTACAAACCGGATTTAGGCACCACCAGAATTTGTCATGCGCCACTTAGAAACTGGGTTCGAACTGGAATCCATTTTATGCATGATAAATTACCAGCCATGCTCCGGCTGCCGCCGGAGCGCAAGGCTGTTCGGCTGGGGGTGAAGGGTTTGCGGACCGGACCATAGCGGAACAGCTCGGCGCGCAGGGGGGCCCGTGGGTTTCAGGGTCCGGCTTGCGCCATGTCAGCCTGCAGGCCCCCCTGCGCGCTTCCTGCGCCTTTAGGCGCTATGCGCAGGGAGCAGCTGCGAAAAGCCTTGGGGGCGAAGCGAAACAAACTATCTGGGTCGAGGCGCCGAAACAGGAGGGGGGCCAGGCTGCGTTTCGTGTATCACCCCCCAGCCCCAAGCCAGTTGACTCCCAGTCAGGCAGAAGAGGTTGGCGCGGGAGGGTGGCGCGAGAGGGTAGCGCGAGAGGGTGGCGCGAGAGGGTGCGCGAGAGGGCTGCGCGAGAGGGTGGAGAGGGGCTGAGCAAACCAAATGCTTGCGCGGATGGACTGCAATGCCAAATATGGAGAACGCCATGCGGATTCGCGACCGCCACTTTGCGTCTTTACCCTCTCGCAGACCTCTCGCAGCCCCTCTTTTTGACCTCTTTTGGGGGTCCCCGCTAATAGTCCGGCTATACTCGCGGGTAGAGGGCGACAGAGGTGGCCGAGAGGTGGCCGAAAGGGTGCGCGAGAGGTTGGTCCTTATTCGCACCACCTCCCGCAACCTCTGTCCCCCTCTCGCGCCCCCTCTTTTTGACCTCTCTGCACCCTCCGAGGCGCTTCAGCGGCCCTAAAGAGTGAACCCTTCGGCGGGCTATACTCGCGCCACCTCTCGGCCACCCTCTCGAATGACCTCCCGCGCCACCTCTCCACCTCTGTTGACCTCTTTTTGACCTCTTTCCACCTCTTTTTGACCTCTCGGCCACCTCTCTCCGACCCTCTGTAGACCTCTACTTTCGCATGAATATAATAGATAGTAATTTCGATTTTGTCAATTTCGATTTTGACACTTCCATACCGACAAACTTGCTGAAAAACAAGGAAAAGTGGGACTTTCAGTTTCTCTACGACTTTTTAGCGACCAGGGGGTTTGTCATCTACCCCGGCAAGTTGGCGAAGGCGGACTCCTTTCGGATCGGGACGATTGGAAAAATTTACCCGGAGGACTGCGAGAACTTCTTACTCGTTTTGAAGCAGGGCTTCGACAAAATGGGCATCACGAAACAGGAAATTTTGGACGGCCGGGCCAGGTTGCTGGAGAGTGATGTGAGCGGGAAGAGTGGTGGAGCAGGACCGAATGTTGAAATGGCTGGCCAAGCTGGAATGAAGCAGAGCATGTGAAGAGGATAATGTAGAAGTCTCTGCTTGTTGTTACGTATCAACATCGGCTCCTACTTGTTTTGCAATGCAAAATTTGTTTCCGATGAAAACAAAAAAGAATTTCCAAGCGAAAGAAACCGCACACTTAATAGTTGTGTGCGGTATCAGGGTTCTTTTGTCACCGCAGAGGTGCGGTTTTGTAGTTCGACTTGGACGAATCCATGCCATTGATTCTGGAATTCATCCGGCGATCGAAAAATAAGAAGATCCAGAATTACTGTATGTAGTTGCTCGATGCTGTCACAGAGAAAATTATCTCTCGAAGATCCACACCACTGTCGGTGAGCTTGCCTCCGTCCTCGTCGACCAAAACGCGGTTTGTGACTTGCGCCAGTTTATTGGTGGAAAAGTAGATAGCCTAGCGCTAGTATTGTACGACCGAACAGAAGCAAGGAGATAAAATTCAAATTCCTTTTGCCCAAAGTAAATCGGCTTCTTCTTACGCAGTACTTTCTTATCAAACCATGGCCGCCCAGAATATCTCAGCGGTCCAGCTCCAGGAAACGCTCCTGGTCCCTCCCGTCCCCGAGGTGGAGCGCGGGACGGTTTTGCCGATTGACTGTTTTGAACTTTCGTCTGCAGATGGAACAGCCGGCAATATGAAATGTAAAAATGTCTGGGTCTGGAAGAATGCAAGTTTGTCATGCTTGTCTGGCATGACTCTTAAATCTGTCATGCACATTACCAAAGAGCCCCACTTTTCTGTCATGCAGAAACGTAGTTTCTCATGCAGAATAGGCAACACCTAGAAGCTCAGAAACTTGTCATGCTGAGCCAGCAATTGTGGCCTCCTCATGATACGCCGCACAGCATCACAAGTTTCCAGACCCAGACATTTTTACATTTGATGGGCAAAACTAAAATACAGCTCGCCTACCCAGCCGGGAATAACGTGGTCCTACGAACTTATCAACTGTAAAAATGTCTGGGTCTGGAAGAATTCGTGATTTGTCGTGCTGCCTTTCCATGACCCATGAGGTCTGGAATGCAGGACCTAGCATGACAGATTCTGTGAGAGTTCTATCATGCCTATCCTGCATGAGAAACTACCTCCCGACTTGGTCAAAATTGGACGACTTTTGGTAATCATGCAACACAGATTTTTGCATGCTGCAGATTTAGCATGACAAGTTGCAATCTTCCAGACCCAGACATTTTTACATTTGATAGAACTTTGGCCATCACAACTGCGGACAACCAAATCACTGATGAAGAGGTTTTTCTCTTCACCAAGCACGGGTCAAACAATGTCACGGCCGTCAAATTCAGTCCGTCCGGAGCGTATATCTGCAGCGGAGACAGCAGTGGGAAAATCCGTATCCTGTGCAAACGTATTGCACTCGTACTAATCGCCGTCTTGCATGACAAAGTCACCAAGTAAGGTAAACCAGCATTACAAATTGCATTTTTTCTCTTGAAAAAATTTTTTGTGATGCGATTTATACTAGTACGATGCTTTTGCATTGCATAATCCGAGTGTGGGGAACGAAGGGCGAAAGACTACAGAAGTGCGAGTATCAGCTTTTTGGGGCGAAAATTATGGACATCGCCTGGTGCCCCGACTCGCAGCGGCTGGCGGTAGATATTTGTGTTTTGTGTTTCAAAGGAAAGTGATGAAGTAAGTGTGTACGGGGTCCTCGTGATGGCTTTTTTCAGTTTAGGTGGTTTGCGTTCGCGAAAGACTTAAGCCCGTTCGCGACGGACCTAAGCTCCTAAGTCGTTCGCGAACTACTTAATTAACCCCTTAAGTCGTTCGCGAAAGAATTTTGCTCTCGAGGCAGCCAGGAAGGACGAGTTGAGGTTTTAAGTCGTTCGCGCAGCACTTAGCTCTTAAGTCGTTCGCGAAAGACTTAAGGGCTTAAGTCGTTCGCGAAAGATTTAAGGGCTTAAGTCGTTCGCGCACAACATAGACTGTTAAGTCGTTCGCGAAAGACTTTAGCTCTTAAGTCGTTCGCGCACGACATAGGCTGTTAAGTCGTTCGCGCACGACATAGGCTCTTAAGTCGTTCGCGCACGACATAGGGTCTTAAGTCGTTCTTGCACGACATAGGCTGTTAAGTCGTTCGCGCACGACATAGGCTGTTAAGTCGTTCGCGCACGACATAGGCTGTTAAGTCGTTCGCGCACGACATATTAAGCTCTTAAGTCGTTCGCGAAAGACTTAAGGGCTGAAGTCGTTCGCGAAAGACTTAGGGGCTTAAGTCGTTCGAGAAAGGTTTAAGGGCTTAAGTCGTTCGCGCACGACTTAGGCTGTTAAGTCACTCGCGCACGAAGTAGGCTCTTAAGTCGTTCGCGAAAGACTTAAGCCTGAATCGTTGTTCACGAAGGACTTAGGGTTCACTTGTTTGCGCAGGGCGTAATCTCAAGTCCTTCCCGAACCATTTTCAAGGTCGTTAAACTCTGCAATTGAGGTTGAGCGCTGAAGGTGGATTCCTGCGCGGAGCACGACTTAAGCGTCAGTTCTTCCACGCCAAAGATGTAAAAGTGTCACTAAGTCAGTACTTTGTGCACCGACCACGTAATATAGTCGCAATAAGGAACAACTTGTCAGCACACTTGCAAGTGTGCAACTTGCGGGAAGACATCAACCCAGTAAAAATATCTCCCAAACCCCCCTCCCAGGTTTCCGGCGGCGGCCCCAACCAAGCGGTGTGCATTCTCATGGAATCCGGCAACACGGTGGGTGCCATCAACAACCACAGTAAGCGGATCAACACCATAGCGTACAAGCCTACCCGGCCCTACAAAATCATCACTGGCGGGGAGGATTTTCAAGTGGCGTTGTCCAAGGGCCCACCTTTTGCTTTTGAAAAATCCCAGCCGAGCCTGCACACAAACTTCGTGAACGGCGTGCGGTATGCACCGGTGAAAGAAGGGGATACGGGTTCCTTTATCCTGTGTAAAATAAACGTCCCCACCCCATAGTCAAGTTGGGACTTTGGCAAGACAAATCGAGCATCTTTGGGACTCGCGCATGACAAGTTTGGCTACGCAGTGTAGTCGTGCCTGGCTAGTTCTTCAAACGTATCACAGAGCCAGTCTGTCATCCTGATTAGCGCATGACAGATTCCCAAACGCCACTATGTAATGCCTCGCATGGAGAGCCGCATGACACACATTCTGGGCGTGCAGATCTGCATGACAAGAACTATGGGGCGGGGACGTTTTCCCTCAGGATATCCTACGCCGTGTCCTGCGGGTCGGACTCGAAAGCGATCGTTTTTGATGGAAAAACCCTAGAAGTGGTGACCGAAATCGCGAAGGGAACCGGGTTCAACAAGTGCAGCCTTTACGGGGTTGAGTGGTTGAACGAGAATTCCTTCGTCACTATCTGCGGGGACAAGTCGCTCTGGCTCGTGACGCTCGCGATGGCCGACGGGGTAGTGGAGGTGAAGGAGAAGGAAAGTTTTTCCCTTGGGAAAGCAGTAGAAGAAATGCCGCTGGGCTTGGCGACGACGAAAACGACAACTCTAGGAACACAAACACTAAACGGCGGGAAGAAAAATTTCGCCTTCGTCCTCTCGTTGGATGGCGCTGTGAAGGTGTTCAGCATCGATGTAGCGTCTTCAATCGCGGGACAGCAGAAGTTGACCAAACCGATCGGCATTTTGAAAGGCGTGGTGAACAGCGTCACTGCGGTCGTTTGCGCGAGGGGTTGTGGTAGTAATCCAGCCGCCTCCTTTTACTACATTTCCGACGTTGCGGGGAACATTTGCAAAATCAATTCCGAAACAAGAATCGTGGAGAAGCAAATCAACCTGAAAACCCCGGCGATATCGCTGTCCCTGCTAGTAAACGGGGGTGGAATCAATACAAACAACCCAATCCTTCTCGCGATCTGCAAAGACCAAACGGTGAAGGCCTTTGACGCGGCGAGTCTCGAGCCGGTGGCCGGTGCGAGCGGAAGCAGTGTTGACTTCAAGCAGATCGGATTCGCGGTTAAGGTGGAAGGAGAGAAAATCCTGCATGCGGGAGACACAGCACCAGCACAGACAATCAACAAGATTCTGGTACTGACAAAACAGAAGCAGTTCAGCGTTGTTGAGCTTAATTCGCCTGCGGGATCACTGTCCCTCCACCCAGCGGTGAAACTGCCAAATTACTCTTCAGACAACGGCGCCGAAATCTCCGCCGCCGCGGTCTACTCCTCCTACCTGTTTTGTGCCTTCACAGTGCAGGGGAAATTCGACCAGAAAAAATCCATGATTGCAATCTTCTCATCGAGTACAGCAGGCGGAACATCAGCACCAGGTAGCTTACTGTACGAGTTCGACTACAATGAGTCTGGAGGGAGTAAAAACGGGCTGGTAACCGCTTTGACAGTGTCCGGGAAGAGCAGCAGCAGTAGTAGTACAGTGGGCCGCCAGGGAATATCAAGTGCAGTGGATGGTGAAATTTTCCTAGCAGTGGGAGACGACGCGAAGGCGATTCGGATTTTTGAGCTGGATCTGAACAACCTTCACCAGCAGGCAAAGCTGGTGGATATCACAAAAGACTGGACGGGCATGCACACTGCGAAGATCACGGCGCTAGAGTTTTTCTTCGCCGCAAATCCGATGAACAAAATCTACCTGTGCTCGGGGTCGTTAGACCGATCGCTGGCGGTGTGGGACGTGGAGAAAATTCACCCGGTAGAGCAGATTCGGGAGGTGCATAAAGAGGGGATCACGGATTTGATAGCGGATTCGGCGAGGCAGGTTGTTGTCACCGTCGGCGCGGATGGGTGTTTAAGGGAATTTCGGGTGGGATCATAGCGTGGAGAAGTCGCGCATTAGAAAACCAAAAGTTGTGAATTCCAGCGTGACAAATAAAGCTTGCACAAGTAGCGTTGGCGTGTAAACAAAATAAACAACGTCGCACCCCCCCCACGGTGCGACCTGATGAAAATTTGCTGGCAATTGGGCTTTCCCTTGCGCTGGCAGACAGACGCACTCCTTTGCAGGGACCGCTGTTCTGACCCGTGAAAGATGCGTGGTGCAATGTTCGGTTTCCTGGATTCTGTCTCGTTTTTTGAAAGTGAACATCGCAGCTTTCTTCATCTACATGCCTGCAGTTCCTTTCGAAGATCACTTATGGTCAAGTATCCTATGAGTGATCGCGGTTGGTAAGATCACGCTTTGATCATCCCGCCCAAGCGGTCGACCCCCCTCTGCTGTTGAGGCGTGTTTCCCCCCCCCCGTCGACATTTTTCACTCGGTTTTCAGGTTAGTTGCTCGTCGTGGAAACACAGGTAGGAAAAAATAAACGTAGTTCATCAAATAATTATGGACCTTGGAAAATAAGACCATGCTCCGGCCTCGCGCAGCCCCCGTTTGTGCTTTCCTCCGCAATGGCAGGACTCCTCCTTCTCCTTCAAAACGCAATGTCGCCACCACCGCCGCAGCAGCTTTCCGTCCTTGGAAAGATGGTTTTTCAGCGGACCACACGTTTTCCAGTGCATCAGCGGCAAAGTATCATAGAGTTCCCAGTGCTGCAAATACTAACCCGGTTCGCAACCTAGCTGCAGCAGGTACTACTTCCCCCTGGTGTCGGGCGAATGCGGTTGGGAATCCGAAAACTAAGCCGGATTCATCTTCGCTTGTTTTCGCGGAGAAGAATTTTACTGCTGGAACTGCTGTTCCGAAGCATAAAAGTAGCGGCGCACATGTGGAGGTGAAGCCGAGTACGGGTAGTTTTGAGGCCAAGAAGAATGAGCCCCCGTCGTGGAAGACGCAGATACAAAGTACAACACCGCAAATCATGACGCAGAAGTACACCTACCCGGCCGGTGCGGATTCTTTTTTGAGTGGAAAGATCGAAAGTGCTACGCAGGCCAGATTCAACGCGGCGGACGCTGAAAGCACTACGAAAGAGGAGCAGGAGGAAGATTTTGTAGTACCGAAATATCCTGCCCGCGATTCTGCCGTCGTGGACAGCGGCGCGAAGGGTGAGAAGACTTTTCCAGCCGATAATAACACCAAAACTATCCCGCTGCCGCCAACGCAGGAGTGCGGAAAAACTCAAAAAACCACCAGTGCCTCTCCTGTCGTGGCCGACTCTTCATCAATTCCAAAGCACTCTGATGCCCCTACTACCCTGACCGACCGTTTTTCCACTCCGAATTATAAAACGGGCGAATTTTCTGTCAGCAAAATGATCACCGGTAGTGCAACCGTTCCTCCTGCTGCTGCACCAGACGAGCCGCTCGACAGCCGCTCCCTGAGCGAAGACGGAGTCTTCGCGAAGCTGTTATCAAATGTAAAAATGTCTGGGTCTGGAAAAGTGCAACTTGTCATGCTAAATCTGAATCATACAAAAATCTGTATTGCATGATTACGAATAAAGCTGTTCACTTTTGACAAGGCCGAGAGGCAGTTTGTCATGCGGAAAAGGCATAGTAAAGATCTCACACAGAATCTGTGATGCTACGGCATGCATCACAGACCTCACACGTCATGCAAAACCTGCATCACAAGTCTGGCATTCTTCCAGACCCAGACATTTTTACAATCCATAGCTGTTACACCAGTACCAGAAGAAGCCGCCGTTGGAGAAGGAACGCATTCTCGAATACCGGGGTAGAGAACTTAGAATCGCTATTGTGAGCAAAAATGTTTCCACCCCAGAGTCAAGATGGGAAATCTGCTAGACAAATCGCCGAGCTTTGGTTGTTGCGCATGACAAACTTGGGGCGCGCAGTGTGGTCGTATTTCGCTAGTGCAGCTTTGTCACAGATCTAGCTTACCATGCTGATTCGAGCATTACAAATCTCAACACACGACGAGAGGCTGGCTTCTCATGGGTCTCTGCATGAGAAACATCTTCAGCATGCAGAGCTGCATTACAGCTCTGGGTCTGGTGGGGTGGGGACGTTTTTACAAACGATGATCGCCAAGGCGGTGGCGCGGGAGAACCAGTTTATAACCTGCTCAGGTGTTACAATCTCAAACGTTACTTACAATAGAATCTGGAGTTTGTATTGCATGACGAACATGACAGACTCGTAGCGCGTTCCACTTGCTGCAATACAAATTTCGGCAGATTCTAGCGCGGTTTGGGACTCGAGAACTTGTCATGCGCAATCCTGTAGGAGTAGGCTAGATCATGCACTCTTGCATTACAGATTTCCAGATTCTATTGTAACGTTTGGGATTGTAACGTTGGAGCAAGTCATACAGTTGTGCTGTAGAATTTCCGCTTTGGAGGAGGAAAAGAAGACCACGAGTAGTACTTTTAACCAGCATGTAGTTGACAAAGACGATGTTGCTGAAGATTCCCTTCCCAGTATCAAGAACAAAAATCCCCCCTCCCCATATCAAAACGGAAATCTGTGATGCAGATTTGTGGTCACAAATCAGCTTTGTGATGCTAGAAGGCAAAAGATGCGGACTGTGGTGCTACCTAGCGTGGGAAAGTATTGCATCTCCAGCATGACGCGAGGCAACTGGAAGTGGGAAACAGCATGACAAATTGCCTGCAATTCAGGCCAAAACTGCGTCTCTTGGCCTTCTAGCAATGCAAGTCGATTTGTGTACTCAAATACAGCATCACAAATTTCGTTTCGGATATGGGGAGGGGGGATTTTTTTTTTTGATACCCAGCAGGACCACCACCCGCACTGCAAGTCCAACCACTATCATCCCGCGGTCCAAGCGGATTCAGATCTACGGGCACACTGACGAGGAACTGTTGCAGCGGGTGGACTATGAAATGCAAAAGCATCGTACTAGTATAAATCGCATGACAAATTTTCTCAGCATGAGAAATAAAATTTGTAATGCGGATTGAACCTGAGAAAGCAACTTGTACTGCATGAACGCGATTAGTACGAGTGCGATACTTTTGCACAGGATATGGACTGGTTTTTCGACGAAATTGCGCCAGATTTTAAAATATCAAATGCAAATATGTCTGGGTCTGAGAGAATACAACTTGTGATGCTGTCTTTGGATTCTACAAAAATCTGTGTTGCATGAGCAGCAGAGGGAGCGTAAATAATTTTCGCTACGCGGAGGGGCATTTGTCTTGCGGAATAGGCATCAAGAAGGCCCCAAAGCATCAGTGATGCTGGGGCATGCATCACAGACATCATGGCTCATGCAAAACGTGCGTGACAAGTCTCAGAAGCTTCCAGACCCAGACACATTTGCATTTGATATAAAAATACCAAAGCGAAAAGCAAGTCGTCTCCAGACAGTACGACAACTGGAGGTACTCCGCCCGCCGCTCTTGAAGCTGCGACAACAACGGGCCTGGTGGTGAAGCACTTCGAGTATTTGGGTCACCGGGTAAAGATGAGCTACAACGTAGGTCGTGCGGGTGAATCTTCTGTGATGCAAAACAACACTACTACCGGACTGTACAAAACCTGTTCTAGTAGTAACAGCACCGGAATGACGCACGCGTACGCTCTGGTGCAGAAAATCTCGACGTCGAAGCAGCGGAATGTGGGGAAGCCAAATGGAGCTGCGACATCGCAATCAGCAGGAAGTTTGTCATGCAACAAACCCAACAGCAGCATGGAGCCCGTCCGAAAAGTCACGGCGCCGTGCTTCCGAATTTTGTGCGCTTACGTGGAGGACATCGTACTGGAGCAGAATGTATCAAATGCAAATTAGGTCTGGGTCTGGAAGGATGCGAACTTGTAGTGCGCATTTCATAACACACGCAAATCTTTCATGCACAGGCAGCAAAAGATGCCGACTTCCTGTCACCAAAATGGGGCATTTGTCATGCGGATTAAGCATTGCGGAACCTTCTCGAAACCTCTGATGCTAGGGCGTCCATGTCAGACCTTCTGCGTCATGCAAAAACAGCATGACAAAAGTCTGTAGCTCCTAGACGTTGCCTGGCCCGCGAATGACTCCAGGGCAGCCGGATGGCCGTGACCTGGTTATAAAGGGCTCCGTCGATCGATTGCGCCCCTAGGGCCTTGTGTGCCGGCTACTCCGGATCGCAATCGATGGAGGGCGGGACCTGCACCGGCGACAGGCGCTATCCACCCAACTAACCAACCAACCAACCAACCAAAATTCTGCATTCTTCCAGACCCAGACATTTTTGCAATCCATAGAATGCGGATGAAGGTAAGGTTGGAAATGATGACGTTTGTCATGCAGCACAGGAAGGGAAAGGAAAAAAGAACGTGTTGACGCCGGAGTTGGTGGAAGCTTTATGCGGTACAACAACTACGACCTCCAGGGCTGCTGCTAGCCGTGTCAGTGCTGCGACAACTGCGGGTGGAGGAAGTTCCCCGGCAGACGAGATGGATGCATCTATTCATCCAGATGGTCGTGCTGCGGGAGCAAAGACGGCAAATAACATGAACAAGAATCAAGCCGCTACTATAACCCATCCAACAAGTACCTTCCGCGCCGGGGGGAAAACCGGAGCCGGGTTTTTGATGAAGGGAACGAAACAGGAAGCGGCAAATGATGTAGTTGACCACGGCGCCGGTGTTATCTCTGCCGACCAACAGCTTAATTCCCAACCAGGACGACAAGAAAAGCAAAAAACCATGCCAACTACAATGACTGTCCCCACAAAACTTCAGGAGATTGACTTCGCTTTCGAGATGTCCAAGCAGATTCGGAAATTTCGGTATTTGAACCACTTGATCAAAATCGGCATTGTGAAGTCCATATGAACTGCAAAAGTACCGTACCCGTAGTACTATTGCAACACAAATTAGCTCAGCATGGCAAACGGAATTTGTCATGCTGATTTAGCTTGAAAATGAAATTTGTCTTCTGCATGATTGCGATTAGTACGAGTGCGATGCTTTTGCAAAGGATATTCCACCGGGGTGCGGGACGGGTGGAGCTACTGTACGATTACCGGGCCGATGGTAACTAGTACGAATCGAATGTACAAACAATTTTTCCGGGTGGATATCAAATGTAAAAATGTCTGGGTCTGGAAACTTGTGATGCTGGGTGGCGTCTCATGATGAGGCCACAAATGCTGGCTCAGCATGACAAGTTTCTGAGCGTCTAGGTGTTGCCTATTCTGCATGACAAACTGCGTTCCTGCATCACAGAAAAGTGGAGCTCTTGGGTAACGTGCATGACAGATTTAAGAGTCATGCCAGACAAGCATGACAAACATGCATTCTTCCAGACCCAGACATATTTAATTTTGATAGTGGATGAGACTTCTTTATTCAACGCGATTAACGACTTTTTCCATCCGCGGGTCGGGGTGGTGACGGGAAGCAGTGGGTTGGGATTGGCTGGAGCTGGTGGACCGACAAGTAGTGCAAGTGCAACTACAACAACACCAGGAGGGGGCGGGGAGGGGAAGGATATGAAAGCGAGTTGCTGTGAAAAAATATCCTGTTTGAGCAAAGACAAAATTCAGCAGTTGATTCAGGAGTTCAAAGAACAAGAACCGACAAACGCGGTGGCGACGCTGGATGTGGTTTCTTCAGCATGAGAAACTGAAGATCAGGATGATTGTCGGCGTGACGAGCTACCACGCATGACAAATTCACACACGACCGCGGTGGTACCGACCACAGCGGAGACGATGGGTTATACTTTTGATTTAAATGTAACTTGACTAGATGAAGAAGAACCCGATTTACAAATGAAACCTAAACGCAAACGGAAGGAATGCGGTTGAAAAACGTTTCTGTACAACTTTAAATGCACATGGAACAAGCCGTCCGATCATTTTTTCACTGAGAATGCTTACTGTATTACTTACAAATGTACGTCCACACTATTGCCGCTTTTGTCAAAAAAATAAGAACTCGCGTCAACGCCGGCGCTCCTCCTGCTGCCGTTCATGATGCAGATTGGTTACGGTCGCCGGTTCGTGCCGAAGCTTGTTGTTTCTCTCCATTGGGCTTGGGCTTGGCCACGGTTTTCACCGGAAGTAGATCAAGGTCGTTTCCGCTCAGAAAGATCAACTGAACGCTCAGGAAGACAGGAACTCATTTCACCTTGGATTTTTCAGGCTGGTGATTTTTTGTCAAGAAAAGCGAAACACTCTCTCGGTCTACTCCTCGGTACTCGCATGGCGTGTAGAAGCTTTCCGGGTGCTGAGTGAGGATTATTCCCATCCGAAGATCCTTCGCAACTGCTTTTCATAGCATTGTTCTTCTAGAGCTGGCGTAAGAGCGAATGTATGGAAGTCGGTACGGAGCCTTAGCCCCTTATCTTGTCTAACTCTTCTTCAACATTTTGCATTGACTCCTCCATTATTTGCCATGTAGTTTTTGATACGGTAGCATGAGAAAAAATGGAAGCCAGCGACCAGCTAGCCACAACCGTCTACGACCACCTCCAGGAGGTTCTCCAGTCCATGTACTCGGCGGAGGAACTTGTCATTGAGAAGAACTTTCCAAACGCCACGACGCACGACACTGATGTTCCCAGTAATTATGTAACAGCCCGACACGAAATTGAAATCCGGATCACAGAATCTGGCAACGGAGTCAGCACAGCGTGGTGCCTCCGCATCGGATTTGTTCCTGACACCAGCAGCAAAGACACCAGCGGCGTTTCCTCCGGCCACGAGAGATGGAATTCGAATTTTGGAAGCTGCGACGTGACCTTGGATATCGACAGTTATGGCAGCACATCATCTGCCGTCGACACAAACAATAACAAGGGTGCTGGTATCGCTTCAGTTTTTTGCGAGCACTTTCCCCTCGCGGCTGGAGAGGTGACAGCGAGGCCGGAAGGTCAGTCGAGGACTTTTCGGGGACGAGTTCCCGTAGCCAGCTGCACGGGTCCAACAGGCGTTGAAGAGTTGCAGGATGCGGTCCTTGCGGGAATTCTGGCGGTGCAGGAGGAAGTGCGTAATGTTGAAGCGATGCCTGCTCTGTCGGTGGCGCCGGCAGAAGGCAAAAAAACCAGAAGTACAGGCGCCTCTGCTTCTGCAGTATCAGCAGTAGAACACCCTCGTCCCACTGGCGTAGCCAGTCCCGCACAAGAGGTCTACCGTGCCTTGCTCGAAATCGACCACATGAACGATAGAGACCGATATTTCCAAAACCTGGATTCCCTTGCCGCCCGGAATAACTGTGAACTATTTATCGCCTACAAGCAGAAACAAGGTCAAGGTGAAATAAATGGGACGACGAGTAGTAGTGCTGAGACCGGTGGGAATGTTGACCGTCTGCGGTTTATCAATGTGGTGGTGCAGAGTGTGAAGAATAAAGAGCAAGACGTGAAGGCGTTTTTGAAGGAGTTTCGGGAGGAGTATCTGGATGTGGACAAAAATGGGAATAAGTGCAAGGAACGGTGCGCGAGTGTGGTGGTTCCCGTGCGGAAAGTGGTTGCGGCGACGGATCCATCTCAGCATGAGCCTCGTGGTGGTCGCGCTGCGGTGCCGCCGCTTTGCTACAAGTGCATACGGGCAGTCACGACTTTCGAAAACGACACGGGAAGGCAGGCTCTCATTCAGAGGTTATTTGCGCCATCTGAACAAACTGGATGAACGCAACGACGTTGGACCGTTGCGAAGGGGCGCTTAATGCAATCCGTGCAGGGCGCTGCGCGACATATGCACATCAAGTGTCCTGCGAATGAAGATCGCTTCAGTGGCCGGAAGTATTCGTGCCAGGATCCGCTTTGCTGGCAAGTTTTGAAGTGTGTGAGCGTCGAAACAACCGGAATGGACCTGCGACGAAGAATAGGTACTCATTGAAAAACCTCCCGGCATATCAAGCCGAGCGGCCGTGCTTGCTTTGGTCATTGACTTGTTTTCTCAGCTCTCTTTTCATGGATCTAGAAAAGGTTTGTGAAATCGTATTCATTGGTTGGAAGCCGCCTTGCGTGTTATTGGCTTTCCCGTATCGGCTCTCTCGCTCTGCTGTTTCTTCCGTATATGAGTGAGACCCATGCGAGCATGCGATTGTTGTGGAGACACAAACTCCTGATTCTTGTCTTGCTGTCGCCGGACTCGGATCGTCTTGTGCAGACCGTGAAATTGATCGCTCGCAGATCGCTGGTAAAAACATACAGATGATGGCATTTGAGACGAGGGTGTGCACACGATACAGCAGCCAGAGTAAGATTGACAAAAGCGAGCGGTCAGAAAGAGCGTCGCGTGTCGAAGCTGTTGTGCATGTTCGATGAAGCTATCCGCTTTGTATTGCGTCGGTGAAAAAAGAGGCAGCAGCGGAGCTGTACCAGGGACTAGGTTCGCCGGAAAAACAAGGGGAATAAACAGTAAATTAATACCATATCTCTTTTGGTCGTTCTAAAAAATGGGTACAACAACTTCTGCGCCAACTTCTGCGCCAACTTCTGCGCCAACTTCGGAGGCAAGAAATCCTGTCAGTACTGGGTTGAAAGCCTGCGCTTCGGAAAACGAGTACGCTTTCAGAGAATTGGCCACTTCAGCAGCAAAACAAAACGACGAGGCAGGAAGAAGTGCAGAAAGTTCGAGCGACGCCAAGAAGAAGGTCTTCCCGAACGACCCCGACACGGTAGCTCAGGCAATCAATTCTTGGAAGGAACTCACGCCCTCTGGCAGAGTCGATGCAATTAAGAAGGCGAGGGAAGGATTGGCAAAGAAGGCCGAGTCGGGCGAGCAGGACCAGCCAATAAATTCGAAAAACGAAGTCTGGTTAGGCTTCTTCAACAACGAAAACGAGATCGCGGATTTTACAGACGGTAAAACACTCAACATGTACTATCGACCTGGTGCTGTCGGGACTAAGTGTTTCCTGCACTTGCAACTCGACGAGACTGGCCCGGACAAGAAATCTGTGAGTGCGATTCAGACTGTCCGAGTCGGTGAGCTGGAAGTCGTCAAGACCGAGGTGGCGAAAGAACAACCAGATGCAGAAGGTGGCGGAACCGCCTTCACTGAAATCACGCCTTCCTCCTACTACAAATCGCATCAACATTCTGATTCTACTTCTTCCACATCCTCTTCCTCGGATTTCCACCAGCAAAACTTCATCGAATCCAGCAGCAAAACCTCTTCGCATCAACCGACCAAAAACCTCGAGCTGTTCAACTACTACAAGCAACAACTCTACGACAACAACGCCCTCAACTATTCCACTACGGAGCTCGCCTTCATCGCCGGGATCATGTCCGTGCTCGCCATGATCGTGGTCGTAAGAAACTGCAGAACTCCTTCTCTTCCTCATTTGAAATGCATGACCAGCAACAGAAACACTGGTATGCATGGAGCTTCGGCATGAGGAGTCTATGCTCTGATTGTCGCTACTTCTAGTGAACATTTAGGCGTCCGTCATGGGTCATCGAGAGTTGTGCCGCTAGAATGCGCGTGACAAATGAGTGCGAAGGGGAGTTCTCCAGTTGTATAAGCCATCATTGTCGTGTACTTCACCACCGAGTACTGTGCAAAGCGCTTTCAGCGGAACAATACCGGGTTGGCGAAGGAGACGAAGTCGCACAGAAGATCTTCGACGAAGCAGGGTAAGAGAAAGAAAAACCGTGGTTCTGGTGCCGAACACCTCCAGAACGAGTATGCGTTGCAAAAATGATGTCTCAGTCTCGAAGAATGCAGCCTGTCATGCGAAGTCTCGACCACAACAGAAATCTGTGTTGCGTGAACCCCAAAAGGAGCTGCCTAAGTATTTCTTGCCCAGCAAGAGGCGGACTTCTCATGCAGGATGGGCATGGAGAGTCCCTCGCAGTAAAATCTGTGATGCTTCTGTGTGCATTCCAGACCATGTGTGTGGTCCCTGAGAGGCATGACAAATCCTGCATCTTTCCAGACCCACGACACGGCAACATATTTGCAATGCATAACGGTCTCTCCACCACGATTTCCTGCGGATCCAGCAACACAAGTTCCAGCTCCAATCCAGCTCGTCTGCATACCTCCTTTATTGAGGAAGAAGAGGAAAGCCTGCTCTCCTCCCGGTCCGGTGAAAGTGACGTGGACGACGAGTCTGTGGAGTGCAGTAGCGGGGTATGAGAGTGCACAACTCGAACTTCCCCTCATTTGTAATGCAAAATACCAAAGCCATGCCTTTTGCCTCCAGGCTCTCTCTGCATGACAGAATTCCTCGGGAGCGCAAACAGTACTACTACACTAAGCGCATAAAGTTGTCATGCTGTTGGATAGATCGGAATCATAAATGACCTAGTGACGATCAGAAGCATACTACGATGTAAATCGCGATGCAAATCTGGTCTGATGTCAAATCCCTCGGGCTTGTAGTGCCCTCGATCTGAAATCCATGATCCTCCTCCGATAGCCGTAGCCATCCTGTTTGTCATGCATATTGTCCATCCTCTTGATATCTCATCACACCCCTGCAGGTTGCGACTAGTACCCATACTAGTGCGTCGATAACAGATAGTAAACACACAGTGACTCGTAGTCACTTAGTACTGCTAGCGCTTGTTCCCATCTCGTTTACCTCTGTTGTTGCTATCGTGCGTCTAGGCTTCTAACAATCTAGTCGCACCTTTATTCAGCCAAAATTTTAGTAGTTTTCTTGATGTTTAGAAAACTTGCAACTACAATTTTTACTGATTTTCTTGTGTAGAAAATTTGAAAAACAGCCACTACATCTTGTAAGATTTACTTGTAAAATTGCAGAATTAGCATTACAAATTTGAACGCATTTGTTGAAAACGCACCCCCACAACTTCAAGAAGTCTATCTGCAAAATTTAGAAAAGAAATTAAATGTCATGCAGACATTTTGGTGCTAGTTGCGTAGCTAGAGAACTTGGAAAGCATAGAGATTTGTGCATTTTAGGCGCGAAGTGTTACGGCTCCAAAGGTTGGAACGTTGAAGACCTTAGCGACCCACAATTTGCAAACTATTTCCACAATCTCGATTGGGATACAAATTGGGAATTTGTATTTAAGCGCGATTATTGTTTTCTTTTGAACACAATGGTCGACACTAACCAGGTGGAAAAGTACTCTATTCCGCCCTACGACGGGAATCCGAAGGGATGGTCGGACTGGCGGTTTAAGGTGCAAGCCTTGTTGCAGATGTTGGGTATCTTGACTTTGATCGAAAACTTCTTGAAAACGCCTTCTATTGACGGATGGAAGGATGACACGAGGGCCATCGGTGCGCAGTTCTTCGCTCGCTTGTGCGTGGCGTTGACTGGGGACGCGCTGGAGGTCGTGAAGAAAAAGACAGTCGTTTGCATTAGTACGGCTTGGGGTGCGTTGTTGTTGGAATTCGATAAGCGGACCAAATTCGCCCGAATGCGGTCGCTTAAGGATTTACTAACCACCCGGAAGGACAAAGACCAAACGGTAAGGGAGTTCGTTCAGCGGAAACAAAACATCTTTCGAGATGACCTGGGCGGTGAAGTCTTCCGCAGCGAGTTGATGACTTTCGGATGCTTCTACAACCTCGGGAACGCCTTCGATTCTTTTATCATGCCGCACGTCATTCAGGACAAGCCGGACAATGATAATTTGTTGAAGTTGGCGGAGGAGTGCGAATCCGTCTTGAAAGACGGGGGCACCGAAGAGGACACCGCAAAGCCCGCTTCTCTCAACTTGACGCAGGCCGATCACAAAGCGATCGCTGCTGAAGTTGTTGCGCAGAAGGGGAAGAAGGGTGGACGCTGGGTCAACAAGAACCAGCACCCGTACAAGAACAACAACCAGAAGAACAACAAGGGCGGCGGAAAAGGAGGCAAGGGAGACCAGCAGAAGGGAAAAGGCGGCGGTGGAGACAAATCCAAGATCAAATGTCACAAGTGCAAGCAGCTTGGACATGTTCGTAAGGATTGTCCCAACTGACGAAGCTGGCCGGGTTCCGATGAGAATTGTCAAATTTCTCATGCTGCTAAACGTCGAAAAACCGATGTTGCTAATGTTCATGTTTGTGAAACAGGCTCTACTTCTGGTCAAAGTAGTAATGTTACATGCAATCAAAAACTACAATCTCCCTCTGTGTACAATGTCGAAGTACTTGAAAGCAAAACAAATGTATTTGAGACAGCACCTATATCCAATCAGTGTGTACTTGAGACTGCCTCTATTTCCGATGAAAAAGCATCTATTTGTAAGATTGAAGATTTGCCGTTCGCTCGTGATTCAAAATTAAAAGGTACTACATGTAAGATTGAAGCTGAAAAATCTCTACTTGATTCCGCTCGTGTTAAGAATGTGAAAGTACCTAAAATGAAAGAAAATCCATTACAAAAAATGCCTATTCTGCATGGGGTTTCGCGCTTGTATGATCCTAGCAATTTAAAAAGAAAAGCGAACCCGCATGAGATGGCAAAGAACAAAAATTACGAGGTGGCAGATTCCGCCCGTAAAGCAGAAGGAAACTGCATGGATTGGACTTATTTTAACTTGTGCAAGTTTGTAGGGGAATCATGCAACGGGGTGAAAGATCAGCAAATTTTTGATTTTGCCGATACTCCTAAGGGCTTCACTGTCTTGGTGCATGGTCACCACCAGGGCAGGGACAAGAAAAACGAAAACCAGGAGGCACAAGACTGGTTTGGTGATTGGTCAAAAGAGCGGGAAAAGGGTCAAACAGATCAAAACGGCGAAAAGTCCGCCGGCGCTGTTTCGTCTTTGACATTTGCACTTTTGTCGAAGGGAAACGGGAAAAGCGCCCATGGGATTACCATCCGCCCGGATGGTACTCAAACAACGGCAGTTGTTGATAGTGGTGCCTCGCACCACATGACAGGGGACTTGAGTTGTTTTCAGATTGTGTTTTGGGATGATCCAGTAACGTTAACGGTTGCCGACCGAACGTTAGACACTCCCGCCTACCGTGGTTACTTCCACCATAACTCTTTAGGTTTAATGGGTGGTCTATACCATCCTGACGCAAAGTTGTTTTTGGTGTCGGTAAGTCTTTTGAACGACGAAAATGACTGCCGGGTAGTTTTTGAGGGGAGAGACGCGCTCTACCTCCAAAAGAAGAAAACAGGTTTCAAAATTCCGATGCGCCGGGACACTTTAACAAATTTGCCGCAAATAGACTTTGCGTTTCACAGCTTGAGCGAGCTGGATACGGCTGGCGATTTACAAAACGGAAAGAGCCGGGCCGCGTGGTCCGAGCCAGCATTTGTGAATCTGACTCGTGCCGATCGTCTTCGACAACATGAAAGGTTTGGGCACTTTCATATTGACGGTCTTGAATATGGACGCTGTCCGTTGTGTGACTTAGCGAAGTCGAGGCAAGAAGGGTGTAAGTCAGAACGTCCGGAGCACTGTAAGCCAAAGGCTTGGCTAGATCAAGTGGATTGGGATCATACCTACGGTTATCCTTTGGGTCTTGATGGGGAGAAATTTCTTTTGTCAGGGGTGGAGACATTCCATGGCTGGGTAGAGAATTATCCTCACCGGGAAAAGGATGAAGCGTGGAAAGGTCTGCGTGAGTGGTGTTTAGAAGTTGGAAAGCCCAAACGGGTGAGAAGCGATAACGATCCTACTTTTCGAGGCGAGAAAAGTGACTGGAGAAAGTATTGCTTGAAGCAGAGTCCTCCGATCGAGCCAACTACGTCTGCGCCGTTTACGCCGCAACGTAATGGAGTCGTGGAACGGTGGAACCAAACTTCGAAAAATGCCCTGCGGGCGAATATGATCGGGGTTGATCCTCGTCTTTGGCCATATTGTTCAAAGTATATAGCCTGGACTTGGAATCGGTTAGCCCGGAAAGAGCAAAAGAGTCCATTTGAAAAAGTTCACGATCGCGCGCCTTCGCTCAAGTATTTCAAGAAATTCGGAGTCCTTTGCTATGCTCGGAAGCACGTTACGAAATCGACGGACTTAGGTGCGCTCGATGTTCGGTATGAACGTGGGGCATTCTTGGGGTATTCGAAAAACTCTTGCTATTTAGTGGGTGTTTGGCGTGACGACAAACGAACGAAAGTTGGATTAAGGTTCACTGTGATCGAAAATAGATCCTGCAAGTTTGACGAATCTTGTACGATCGCCGACATTGACGATCTTCGCGAAAAGAACCGTGGCACCTTTGTACCCTTTGCCGCACCCGACAAATTGCGTGTGTCGAACATGCCTGATCCGTTGGTGGCTCCCTCGGGAAGTCATGAGCCCGATCAGGATGCTCCGCGTGACCAGGGTGATTCGGGGCCCAATGGGGCTACTGGAGACCAACAGGTCGAGGAAGGGGGCAAAGCAGTGGAAGGGGGCAAAGAGGAAAGTGCTGCGCAAGCAGAGGAAGAGGTAGTTATTCCCGAAGCGGAAGAACTTGACGAACCTCCCGCCCGCCCAAAGCCCAAGGTCGTCAAGAAGAAAAGAAAGCAAAAGCCGAAGCCTGCAGTCGTGGTCAACAACAAAAAGGGTCGCCCGAAAGGTTCAAAGAACAAACCGGGAAGCAAAAAGCCAGGTCCTAAGCCAAAAGCAGCAGAAGCTGGAAACGTATTTCAGTTGCCTGATGATTTTGACTTTGGTCGAGACTTGGACGAGTACCATGCCAAGCGCATTGAGGAAGAAGGTGAAGAAGTTTTTGCTCATGTGGTGTCACTCACCAGAGCGCAGATTCTTCGAGATCCTGATGCTCCGAAGTACATAGAGGCCGACGATGTTGAACGACTCAGACTTTTAGCAAAAGAGTGCTGGACAGTAGACGAGAAACCACAAAAAGGCGACGAAGTTGTGCCGTCGTGCGTGATCTACACGAAGAAGAGATGTGGAACATACAAAGCGCGGCTGGTGGCACTAGGAAACTTACAGTCGAAAGAACTCTGTGGCGAAATTTACAGTCCTACCATTTCGCACGCAGCTAGTAGAGCCCTACTTGTTGACGCTGCTGCAAATGGGAAACGGATCAAATTTTTCGACATTTCAAATGCGTTCATTTGTGCGAGTTTAGGTGACGAGCGAGTTTTCGTGCGTCTTCCGAAGCACTGGAGCACTGATCCGAGAGGTGATGTCGTGCGCCTACTGAAGTCTCTTTATGGTCTTCGAATTAGCCCGCGTCGTTGGTTCGATACCTACAGGAAGACTTTGGAGGAACTAGGTTGGAAGATGTGTGAACGGGAGCCGGGGTTGTTCCGTAAAGGCGTTCTTACGTTGAGCGTGTACGTGGATGACTGTGTCATGAGTGGTGACACGGAAGAAATTCTCGACAAAGAGATGGGGAAAATTTTGGACAAATTTCCTGGAAAAGTGATCCCGCCGAAAGCGAAACCAGGTGAAAAGGGTTGCGAAGTTTACGACCTCCTGGGGGCCACTCTGGAATACAACGCATCGAAAAAGACCATGAGGATCCACATGGCAGAGGCTATTGACAGAGTTTTGAAGAAATTCAATATGGTTGATTGTCGGGGAGTTGCTACGCCTGTACTTCCTGGAAGACAGTTGCCAGAAATTCAGACTACTGAAGTTGATACTTCTGCACCGGAAACAAAATTCCCATTGCGTAGCCTCGTGGGTAGCCTGCAATATATCGCTTGTATGTGCAGGGTAGACATTGTCTACGCGGTGCAGCGTGTTGCAAGAGAAGTAGCAAATCCGACACCCCAAGCGGTGAAAGCAGCAAAACGGATTTTGGCCTACTTGAAAGCAACTCGGGAGATCGGTTCAGAATACTCGCCAAAAGCTGAAGAAGATTTTCGCACGGTTTACACCAAAGTGACAAAGGAGGCCAGTCGGGATTGTCCTGATTTGTGTGCTTTCAGCGATAGCGACTTTGCAGGGTGTACAGTTACACTGAAGTCCACCAGCGGTAGTATCCTGTATTATCGTGGTTGTCCAGTCGCTTGGTCGTCAAAACGACAGACAGTCCGTGCTTCCAGCACGTGTGAGGCTGAGTATGTTGCGATTCATGACACGATCAAAATGTGCTTGAGCCAGGGCTGGTCAGATTGGTTTATGGAAACTGAAGGGGAAACGCTTCCGCTCATTTTCACAGACAATCAAAGTGCGTTAAGTCTCAGCAAGAGTAGTATCATCACTAAGCGTTCCAAACATATTGACTTGCGTTATCACATTGTCCGTGATCATTGTCAGGATTTGTGTTTTGTGCCGACAAAAGTAAACAAGGCCGACCCCCTGACCAAGGGCCTGCCTGGTGAAAAATATTTGTCTTTGTTCAAGACGGACCCAAAAGCAGAACTTCACACAGTGCGCGCGTTTCATGTGTCGACTGACCTTCGGCCCATTGTACTAGAGCCCGCCACTGTTATGATGTTGACTGCGAAGCTAAGTAAAGCATCTGGATTGACCATCCAGATCGAAGGAAAGCCCTACGACTTTGCCTAGTCGTTTGTGCCAAAAAGGAAGGAGGAATGAGGTATATGCTACAGGTGAACAGTGGTTACTATAGCTTCGGAAGGGGGAATGTTGGATAGATCGGAATCATAAATGACCTAGTGACGATCAGAAGCATACTACGATGTAAATCGCGATGCAAATCTGGTCTGATGTCAAATCCCTCGGGCTTGTAGTGCCCTCGATCTGAAATCCATGATCCTCCTCCGATAGCCGTAGCCATCCTGTTTGTCATGCATATTGTCCATCCTCTTGATATCTCATCACACCCCTGCAGGTTGCGACTAGTACCCATACTAGTGCGTCGATAACAGATAGTAAACACACAGTGACTCGTAGTCACTTAGTACTGCTAGTGCTTGTTCCCATCTCGTTTACCTCTGTTGTTGCTATCGTGCGTCTAGGCTTCTAACACATGCATAGGCTGGACATGTGCTGGTGTTTGTATTGCTGTTCATGCCATACAAATGAGGGGGAAGGGGACGAGTTGTGCACTTTCATATGGGGAAGAAGATCAGGCCACCGTGTTGGACATCCGCGACGAGGACCAAGAATCCGAGGAGGAGCTGGAATTGCACGACGGGGCGGTTGTGAAAAATGCTGGTGAGGATGGCGTGAAGATCGTCCGGCAGAAAGTGGATGAGGAGGACGAAATCATGTATAGAATAAAGTGTTCTTTTTGCTTTCAGCTTATTTGTCATGCATCATAGACACTAGTGATTTTTTATTTCAAGCTGTCTGCATAGTGACGCACGCATGACAAACTCAACACTTCTCAAGGTCGCCGCCGCTCTCGCCGGTTTTGGCAGCGGGGGATGTCGTATGAAGTGCAGAAGTATCGTACTAGTATAAATTGCATTACAAATTTTCGCAGCATGAGAAATAAAATTTGTAATGCTGTAATGCTGTGGCGCCACATCCTCTTCCGCAAACGGAAGCGCAAGAACGAAAACAACAGGCCACGCCAAGATGTAGGTCAAGAAAACCAACCGCACCGAGGCGAGTCGAGGCGGCTAGATATTCATCCGAACACCGAGCTGCTGAGATGTCGATAGATCCTGATATTGATTATTCTCAAATAGAGATTGCCGATTTATCCACATCGTTTCTTGATTCAAGGTACAGACTCATCAATATCTTGATTCTCCGCGCTCCAGTATGCTGCCTGTGTGGAAGAATCTCAGATAGTCCGCGTGCGAAGGTAAAGGCCACATCTTAATATAGTAGATGTGGACTTTGTAGAACAAGACGAAGGTCCGGCCAGATCCAACCGAGAGAAGGCGCTAGTGGGTCACAAAAGCTAGCACCTTGAAGCGCCTGATCGTGACAAAAAACGGGAGGTGAGCTCTGCCGCAAGCTGCTCCAGGGCGGAGGCAGCGAAGTGTCTACAGAGTTAAGGGACAAGCACCTAACATATATGGTGCCCGATATGACCCTAAACTCGCCCAAGCCCCGGACCGTCCCAGAGTAGACAGCCGCACCACAGAGGGTAAGCTTGTGAGCAGACGGAGCGCACCCGGCCGCGGCTCGAAGAGAAGAAGCTGCAACAGTGTACCTCAGTGCCCGCGACTCGAAGAGATGTAGTTGCATTATGGCGCGATTGGTACAAGGAACGGGAGACAATGCTGGCCGATTAGGTGTTTCTCCTGAGAGCGGTGCCTCCCTGCTCGTTTCCTCCGGGTGGTCTGCGACATCATGTTCCACTTGATAGCAATATGTATAGCTAAAAACAGGTGTGAAGGATCCTCCTCCTCCTCTAATGCTGTTTTACCTTGGAAAGGAAATGCGTCATGCATAATTGCAATTAGTACGAGTGCGATACTTTTGCACAGGATATGTCGCCCGGGTGGTGTCGCCGTAAGGTCGGAGTGCGGAAACTGAGAAAGAATATCAACTGTAAAAGTGTCTGGGTCTGGAAATTTGTGATGCATGTCAGTGAAAAGAAAGCACACTGTAATGCGCCGCCAGGCATTACAAATTTATCCTTGGCTCCCTGTTGCGTATTCCGCATGACAAACAGCGTTTTTGCATGACAGATAAGAGGAGCTCTTGCTGGCCACGCAATACAGAGCTCCGTGTCATGCGCGACTAGCATGACAAATCCCGCCTCCTTCCAGACCCAGACATTTTTGCATTTGATAAAGAACGGACTTGATGAACAACATCGTCAAGGGATTGTAAGGAGATCAGATGAAGATGAAATTAAAAACCGAAGTCAACGAAAACGGAAATTTGAAAAGCTGGAAAATTAATATGGATGTTGAAAGCACGGAGGATAAGAAGTGTTGTGAACGAGGAAGTGAAGCGCTGCTCTGGTATACTTCTGTTTTGCCGCATCAACAAAAGAGCGCATCGATTTGTCTACAACATAATCGGGGCATGGAACGCCAGTTTTGAACATTCGTTTTGAGCTAAGAGCAACCGGCGATCTTTGTCGTGCATTGAAAACACCAAACATAAAACATCGAACAGGTACGTTACCTCACCCTGGTACCTCCATCGGGGGAGCTTCATGCAGACAAGAAAACCAGACACGAAGTAGAGTTATTGCGAGGAAGAAGAAATACGGTTGAAACAAGAAAAGAAAAGCTTCCAGTTTGTATCAGGTAATTGCGAGGAAGAATTCCAGTTTGTATCAGGTAAAGCTTTTTGCTTGACGCGACCATGAGGTTTTTATGCACGACCTTCTCCTGCATGCTCTCAGTAGATCACTGTCTCTTCCTGTTGCTGAGCATGAGAAATGCGAACATTTGAAAAACAGGTACTGCTACTGAAAAACGTCGTTACTGACCTGCGGGGGAGACGCAATTCTCCGGTATAGAAGTTGTTTTGCTGCACCCAAGCGCATATCAAATGTAAAAGTGTCTGGGTCTGGAAGATTCTGGGACTTGTGATGCATGTTTTGCATGACCCAGGACGTCTATAATGCACGCCCTAGCATCACAGATTTTTAGAGGGCTTCCTGATGCCTACTCCGCATGACAAACGCCCTCCCCGCGTAGCACAAACGAGACTCCTCTTGCTGGTCATGCAATACAGAGTTTCTTAGAGTCCGAAGTTAGCATCACAAGTTCCACTTTTCCAGACCCAGACATTTTTGCATTTGATAGCGCATTTGTCCACAACTGAATCGGCGCGTGGAATGGCGGTTCTGAACATTTGGAAAGAGCTATCAGCAACCGATCTTCGTCGTGCATTCAAATAAACATCAAAAATCAAACAGGTACAGTACCTTACCCTAGTACCATCGGGTAACTACTTGCAGACGAAAAAACAGACACGAAGTAGAGTTGTATATTGCGAGAACCCCAGCGTCAGAAGAGGAACAAGAAAAGCTAGAAGAGAGAATTTCACTATGTCTCAGGCATACTATAATTTGGGTTGACACCGACACGCATGAGGTTTTTATGCACGTGCATACTCTCAGTCTCAGTAGATCCGGTCTTCCTGCGCATGAGAAATGCGAAAACTATGAAAACAGGTCATGAAGAAAAACGTCGCTACCTACCTGCGGGGGAGACGCAGCGAGACGGAAAAACCTATGGTGTGACGGACAAGTAGTGGGGAGATGAAGATTGGCTTCTGCACTTCTGGAGGATGTTGAGTGGGAACAGCCGAGCCGGAATTTCTGCTACTTGTCAGCACTCATTGAACTCCATTTGTACGATGCATTGCTACTCTGTCAAATAAGAATTGCCACGCAACTGTCACTATGTTTCGAAAATCAAAATGTACCTTACAAAGTCTGAAATTAATAACAGTTTCTATAAAAAAACAAATAACGTACACTATGACCATGTACCAAATATGACGAATTTACAAAATTTTGTTTCTCTTACTACACCTTGCTTTTATCACGATGCCAAATAAAAAATGGACACTACACCTTTGTTTACAACTGTAAAAAGCTGACTTCATCCTTGATGCAAGATATCGATAAAACCCTGTACCAAAAATTTCAATGAGCGCACCGCGAACAAAATTAAAACTTGTATACGACCTGCACTACTGTAGTAGGGCGGAAGACGGATTGGAAATAACTGCGACCAAAGTATTCTTGTACGATTTGGAGGAAAAAAAGAAACAAGAGCCCAGCTCCTTACTTGGCCTCGCGTCCTGCAAAGGCACGTATTTGCTATTGCTTCTGTCGCATCCGTGTCTGCTTTGTTCCCTGAGTTTTTTCCCTGCGATTTTTTCCCCTTTCGATCTGGTTTCGGGTGACGCGGTGCAAGGCGAGATTTTCGAGGTTGATCATCCAGGATCTTCACAAGATTCGCTTCGAACCTGCGTCGGTCTTCCACATGTCTGTGCAGTCTGTTTTAGGTAGAGAAGTTTGTGGAGGCAGGTAATACACGCTGCTGCAAACAAGATCTTGATCACTGCTTTCGTTGTCTACGCCTAGTAAAATTGATTCGGCGGAGGTCTAGGTCTTCAAGAAAAACTTGCGATCTCGTACCGCCGGTACGCATGCAACACTTGTATCTTCTTCGCACGAGGTTTGCAGTTCATTTCGCCCCGGGATTGGGTCGTGAAAAAGAAGACGCACTATAGTAGGCTCCGTGGTCATGATGCGCAATCAAACATAATTAGAATTAGACTGGAAATAAATAAGCCTTCCATCATGGTCGTCGTTCGCAGAACCCATAGCCGCCGAGGCGGATCGCTTTCTTCGGCCGCGAGATGCGCCGGGGCTTGTCACGATGATCTGCAATGTCGTGGTCGACGGGTTCTTCAGTTGCTTGTGTGTCTGGTCGTGGTCCAGCAAGGCGCGGCAGAACCGGCCAGCAGTTGGAATGGCAAAGGAAACATCGTGATCCCGGTTCACTTATCAAATGTAAAAATGTCTGGGTCTGGAAGGATGCGAACTTGTGATGCGTGTTGCGGATCATACAAAAATCTGTGTTGCATGACTTGCAAAAGGTCCCCATTTCTAGCCATGCCGGGGGGGGATTTCTCATGCAGAATAGGCATCACCAAGGGGCTGCAGAACCTGTGATGCTAGGCCCTGCATTCGAGACTTGGCGGAGCTTGGAAAAACTGCATGACAAATCTCAGAATCTTCCAGACCCAGACATTTTTACATTTGATATCACTTTGCGAAGGAGAATAAATCTTCTGGCGTTCTTTTCCACGGAACCGCACAAAGACCAATACTACCGCAGGAGAGACAACAAGTATCGGAGGAAAAGAACGTTGTGGCCGATCTCCATGATCCCTCCCATACCGCCTCCACCACGCTTTTACTCGACCAAGCCCGGCCGCTGGTCCAGGTGACGGTATTGCAAGGAAAAATCCACCCTCCCCATATTGAAAAAGTACCTCCTGAAAATTTGTGATGCAGATTTGTGACCACAAATCCTGTCTGTCTTGTGAGAAGGCAAATCCAGGCTTTGTGCCACGCTATGCAGGCGATTTGTGATGCTGTAAGGACTACAGGGCAGCCGTCTACCGTGCTAGGTGGCTACACCAAAAGGCACCTAGCCAGGCTTGCGATCTGCGTGCAGTCCTCTACCGCAAGACAAATCTGAGCTGTGTACGCCAATCCAGGATGACAGATTTCCTTTTCGATATGGGGAGGGGGGATTTTTCCTTTTGATAGACGGTGGGCACCAACCAGAACCTCTCCCTCGTTCTGGACTCCCTGAGTCCGAGTGTGACGCTTTTCACGACGGAGAGCAAGGTGAACCAGTGCGGGGTGAAGGCGGATGCGTGTTTCCAGTTCGCAGGCCGGGGAAATGGCGTCGAGGATGAGAACGACCAACAAGGGGTGCTGTGCCACTTGGAAAAAGACACAATACCGTGCAGACCAGGTACTATTTTAGTAGAGGACACTGTATCTGGTACTGAACACCGGCTGGTGCTCTCCGTGATGCGAAGTGCTGCATGACACTCACGGTCTTGCATGACAAATTAACAGGTTCCGGTGTTTTTCTCTCCTGCAAGGAGCCGTTCCTGCCCCCGGACGCGTTTTTCACGGACTCCCACTACGGCGAATCCTAGCCATTGTGAATATTTGTCAGGGTGGTCCTCTGGAAAGTTGAAATGCTTCTTTAAGCAGGGTACCTGTAGACGACAGTATTTACTACACACAACACTGTCACAGAGTTTCTACTGCATGGGTCTGCAGCGGTGCCGCTGTGCCCGGGGTCTGCAGCGGTGCCGCTGTGCCCGCAGCCCCGGTGCCTGCGTGCACGAGAAATCGCGTTTGTTTTCCCTGGCGGACCTGCTCTTCCGCAACCTGCATATTAGACAAACACAATTTATTGCAGTCTTATTACACTCGCATTGTACAACTCTATTTCCAGACCCAGAGACGTGTTTCCACGGGATAAACCCATAACCCTGCCCGTCGACGGCAACGACTTGACAACCACCAGCGCCGAGGGCATTGCCGGGAAGTTTTCTCTCCGCGAGTCGGTTTTCACCATCGCAAACGCGCCCATGAGGTTTGTGAAGGGCTTGGACGTAGGTAGTAGTTCTGACACGGTTAGTATGACAGGAAAAAAGTGTTACAGTAGTTACACATTGTGTAGTTGCAAGACCGGCAACACAGACAACCTTTCTCATGCAGGAAAGGCTTGGGAGCCTCGTTTCCTTCCTGTTTTCCCTTATGATCTTCGCATTACAAGTTTTCTCTGCCACACAGAGAAAATTTGTGATGCAGAAACTACTCCAACAAATGTGTACACTTTTTTCTCGTCATAGTTAGAAGTAGAAGGACTTCTTCGGCGACAAGAGAAACCGCAGAGGGTACCGATTCTGGCGAGTATCAATCAAACCCCTATAACCTGCTCAGGTGTTACAATCTCAAACGTTACAATAGAATCTAGAATTTGTGTTACATGATGAGCATGACAGACTCGCGCAGCGTTCCACCTTTTGCAGTACAAATTTCGCCAGATTGTAGTGCGGTTTAGGGGTCCGGAACTTGTCATGCGCAATCCTATGAGAGTTGGCTAGATCATGCACTCTCGCATCACAGATTTCCATATTCTATTGTAACGCTTGAGATTGTAACACCTGAGCGGGTTATAACCCCGAGCCCAACTTTTTCGCCGGTTTTTTCGGGCTCGCCAAAGCGTCCGCTGGCTGCCGCGACCGGGGGTCGGGAGTCTGGGAGAACATTTTGCGGGCGGTGAACGGCGAGAAGCGGAACTTGCGAAACGAGGATCCGGAGTGGCGTTTGAAGCTGGTACCGCCGAAGCATTCGCTGTTTTACGAAGAGAGGGGGAAGGAGAACTCGTATCTGGAAATCGTAATGAACAAGCAAGTTCCTCTACTCGAAGATCAGGAAGAACAAGATCGCCAAAAACATCGTCCGGCCATTTCTAGCAAGAACAACGACCCAGTGGTCCTCCTCTACTCGGAACCCCGACAGCAAGACAAGTACATTCATTCTGCCCGGTTCGGGGAGTTTTTGATGTACAACCTCCAGATTTGCGGCACGATATCAATTGCAAATAGGTCATCTGGGTCCTCTGGACGATTGGTGCAAGGTTTTTGTCATGCAAGTTTCGCATCACCGCACAAGGTTTGGAATCATGCGCCGGGTTCTAGCATCACAAGTTTTGAGAAGTAGCCTTTTGTTTCTCGATGTTTATTCTGCATGAGAGATTTTGGGTTATCGGGTAACCAAAAGTAAGTGGGCATTCGCATTTTTGCTGGTCACGCAATACAGATGTTTGAGTCGAGCAGACCTAGCATAAGAAACCTTGGAGCGGTCTTGTGCAGACCCAGACGTATTTGCATTGAATACACCGACATTTTCTACAACCTGTCCTCCAACTGGCTGGTGCAAATCGACACGCGTTCCGTCGTATCAAATGTAAAAATGTCTGGGTCTGGAAGAATCCGAAATTTGTTATGCTGTTTTTGCATGACACAGAATGTCTGTCATGGAAGCCCAAGCATCACAGATTTTTAGAGGCCTTCCTGATGCCTAGTCCGCATGACAAAGGCTCTCCACGCGTATGCGGCTGCGGATGCGGCCGGGTGGTAGTTAGGAAGTGGAGCAAGTATCCACCTAGGGGTATTGGCAGAGGCTAAATCTGTTCTAACGCCCAGGTATTGGCAGAGGCTAAATCTGTTCTAACGCCCACCCGCCAGGAGTAAAATGGTTACTACTACTACTACTACGCGTAGCACAAACCGGACTCCTCCTGCTGGTCATGCAATACAGAATTTTTTAGAGTCCAAAGTTAGCATCACAAGTTCCAACCTTCCAGACCCAGACATTTTTACAATTCATACGTCGGCGTGACTCTGCCAAAAATCCTCTACGACCGCGTGCTAGCGCAGTTGGATTTGGCGAACGTGTTTGATTGCACGTCGACCACAGGTGAAAGCAGCACTCTAAAAATATCTGGAGCACATATTAAGCCAATTTTCCCCTGCCGGATACGCGACGGTGTGACGGCGCAGACGGGGTACCGGGAAAATTTGAAGCAAAATCTCCCGATTTTGTCTTTCGCGCTGGAGGATTTGGGCGAGGAGAGTTTTTATCAAATGCAAAAATGTCTGGGTCTGGAAGAATGCGAGTTTGTCATGCTTGTCTGGCGTGACTCGACAATCTGTGTTGTATAGGGACGAAAAGGCCCCCTTACCTGTCATGCAAAAACGCAGTTTGCCATGCGGAATACGTAAGACATGGCAGCCAACAAATTTGTCATGCATAGGTGCGCATCTTTGCAGTGCGTTTATCATTCACTTTTAGCATTAGACCCAGACATATTTGCAATCCATAGTTTTCTCACCTCAACACCAGCCTCGGAGCAGCTGCAGCCGTCTTCTTCTGACGACGGAAGAAATATCGTCGGAGATGAAGTTGAGGTGGATCAACATCACCATGATGGCCATAATCAACATCTGCTAGATGAATATTACCAAACCCCCGCAACTAGAGGTACATCAGCTGCAACTTCTTCTACCCGATTGCAACTCCCGCTGGCTCATTTGGTGCTCTGTGACGAAAGCAGTGCTAAAAGTGGAAGCGCTTCTCCTGCTCGTGCTATCTCTTGCTACCTCGCGCTCAGCTGCGCGGGTGGTTGTGAAAGAAATAATGGGGATCATCTTGTTCACAGCGGAATAAATGACGGCTCTAGAAGAAGAAGTAATGGAGGTGACAGCAGCAGCGGTGCAGAAGCAGATACGCTCCAGGACAATGACAACGATGGGATTCCGCAGACCGGGTCTTTTCTCTCCGACGACGGCTCTGTATCAATTGCAAATGATATGTCTGGGTCTAGAAAGCTGTGATGCTGTATTGCGCATGACTGCAACGCTTGCAGTTGCAGCCAAGCATGACAAACTTTCGGGCCGCTTTCTGCTGCCCGACGCGCATATACGAGTTGCGTTATTTTGCGTAACAAGGGAAGGAGCTGCTCACTTGCTGCTCATGCAACACAGGTTTCCCAGGAATGCAAGACACGCATTACAAGTTCCACCTTTATTGCAGACCCAGACGTATTTGCAACGCACACTTCGACGACAGCATCGATTTGTCGGCGCAGCACATCTCCTTCGGCAGTCTCGCGGTGTCCGCATTTGAGAAGCTGGTTTTCAAGCAGAACTATCGAAAAGAAAAATCCCCCCTCCCCATATCAAAACGAAATTTCTGATGCTGGATTTGTGTACACAAATCCGAGCTGTCTTGCTGGAGAGCACTGCAGGCCCATACCAAGTGCGAGTAGAAGCGTTTTGGCTTAAGCACTTGACATGAAAAACGTCCGCGCTGTAGGCCCAACAGCATGACAAACCGTCTGCACAGTGCGGCGGTTGTCTCCGCAGTTGCGTTCTTATGCAAGACAGACACGATTTGTGATCACAAATCAGCATCACAAATTTCCAAAAATATACCTTTTCAGTATGGGAAGGGCGGATTTTTCCTTTCAATAAGAACCGGGTAGGGTTTATGCTCCTTACTCGACAAGACGAAGGAACTACATCGAGTTTCAACGACGAGAACGCGAAGACCAGTCAGTGGGGGCACACACGACCAGGCGCTGTAGTTTCAGTGGCCGAGGAGCACCACCAGGATCTTCCACGTGGTACCAGTGGTAGTTCTCCAACCGCGTCTACCGTCGGTATTACCCCCTCATTCGACTTGCAGCAGGAGCAGCAGCCAACAGAAGGACCAAGAACTTTTCACATCCCCATCGCGGCGACGCCTTTCGCCGATCCTCGTGGGGAACAGTCACGACCAAAAATGGCAGTCACTCGTCGTCCGTGGCAAGAACAGGTTCAAGGCACAGGGCAACCTCCTGCTCCTGCTAGTGCTCCGACTTCCACAGGCGGTATGCAAGAAAATAACCGTGTAAAAAGTGTAAGTATAGTGTATCATGATGCAGAAAGTGCAAAACTGGTACACTTTTCATGCCACGAAGTCCTCTTTTCCTGTAAGTTTTCACGTGCTAGCTGTGCATGACAACTTTCTTTTCTGTCACGCGGAGCAAGTTTGTTATGCTGTCCTTCCAAGACGCCTACACGGACACATTTTTTTTCTTGGATAAGCGGTGGTTCCAGTGGCCGCGAGGACACCGCCAGCGCGACCGTATCAAATGCAAAAATGTCTGGGTCTGGAGGATTTCTAAATTTGTCATGCATATTTTGCATGGCCCATGGTGTCTGTGATGCATGCCGTAGCATCACAGTTTTTTAGAGCGCTTTGTGATACCTCTACCGCATGAGAAATGCCCTCTCCGCGTAGCACAAACTGCAGTCCTCTTGCTGGTCATGCAATACAAATTTTTTTAGAATCCAGAGACAGCATCACAGGTGTAGAATGTTCCAGACCCAGACATATTTGCATTTGATAGGTCGAAGATCCCTACAAAAGCCTCTTCGATCGGCTGTTTGGAACGAGCGGGATTAGTAAAAGTTCCGCAGACCATGACCAGGCACCGAGCGACAGCTTCTCCTCCGGAAGGAGCCAAAATGCTGGCTTTAGAAGTAGTACCAATTACGCCAGCGACGGCGCTTTGGACGAGGAAGAGCCTGTACTAGGTATCAAACAAAAAAGTGTTAGCCTTAGCGGTTTGGGTTTTCACAAATGGCAGTCATGCATAATAAAAATTTTGCCTTCCATGCATGCTACGCAATACAACTTTGGGCACCTTTTCTGATGCGTTACTGCATCACCAATTCCGTTAACGTTAACACTTTTTCTTGTGATACTAGGACTCGGGCCGCAGCTCTCGTCGAACGTCAACACCCTTGGGCGGCGGAGAACGAATAGGAGGGACGAAGAGGGCCTGCATCAAACTTCTAGTAGACTAGCCACTGATGATCATATGCAATTACAGAAATCTTCCGTACATCTACATGTACAAAATGCATCACAAATTTCACCAACTTAGAAGAAGCAACTTGTCACGCTGAAAGGGTTATTTCAATGAAAAGTTTGGGATGCAGGAGCTCGATTTGTACTTAGTTGTACGTGTACAGGAAATTTACTGTGGATAGACCATACTACGGAAGAAGAAGATGCAAGAATACAACGCTCGCTGTCGCAGTTGCGCAACGATGATTTTGCAACGCTCTTTCCCAAACACCTAAACGACTACGGGCTGAGCTCTTGGCGGGTGCTGGTGGTGCAGTATGCTGGCACTGAAAAAGACAGGCAAGAAGGGGGTTTTGTAAAATGCAAAAAGAAAGACCACTAAGACTACGCGACAGCAAATCAAAATCGATCTTGCGTATACTAAAAAATGGCATGCTGATGAGAGATTTTTCTGTTATATTGTTTTTGCATTGCAAAAACTTCAATGTCCTGCCTGCTTTTTTCTGTGCGATACACAGAAGCTGTTCGGGTTTTTTCTCGAGAGAAGAAATAGCAGCCACCGGCGCCTGCAGCTCGGAGTGTCGGACCACCGGGTGCGACATTATGATCATGGGATGATCAACTTCGCAGACCGCGGCCGTAGAAGCGATCGCACTACTTCGTCTAGGGTTCCGTCCTTTATACCCCTCGCGGCCGGCCCCGAGATCGACTTCAGGAATCCTATGGAAAGCCTGCAGAAGATGCTGGCGCAGCTGAGTCGGCGGGGCGACGTCGAGCCGGAATCCACAATAAGTGCGGGGCAGGGCCAAGGCAATGCTAGTCCACCCTCGCCAGAGGTGGTGGACGGGGCTAGAACAACAGTGTTGCCGTCACAGAAAGACGACGACGACGAGGATGATGCTGCGAGAGAAACAGAACTCGTCTCGTCCCACGACCCGCCTGTGCTCTACTACACGCGGGGGCACAAAATGATCGTGCGAGAGAGCACGAAATTCTGCAGCGCGACGGTTCACTGTGCCGAGGCGCCAAACGGCGTATCAACTGCAAATGTCCCTGGACGTCTGGAAGAGTGTAAGCTTGTCACGCAGGTGTTCCATGACCCATGAGGTCTGGAATCATGCGGGACCTAGCATGACAGACTCTGATGTGAGGTCTCTGTCATGCCAATCCTGCATGGGAAACGCCCTCCCAACTTGGTCGAAAGTGGACAGCTTTTGGTACTTTTGCAACACAAATTGAAATTTTTGCATGATTCGGATTTAGCATAACAAGTTACAACCTTCCAGACCCGGACTACATATTTGCAATGCATACGGCGACGAAATCTACGACGCGACGTTAAATCGGTGCGTTCTATTGCAAGAAAAAAACTGTGTAAGTGTAACTTTGTGTTGCAGACGATGCAAGACACTTAGACCTGTCATGCTGGAGATGCATCAGAGGCTCTCTTCGTACGTGTTTTCACGTGCTAGTTACGCATGACATGTCATGCAGAGCAAACTTGTGATGCTATTCCTCCAAGAAAGTACACACTTACACTGTTTTTTTCTTGCATACTTTCCAATGCCTATGGATTGCAAATGTGTCTGGGTCCACCTCTGGAGTAAACTTGTGTTGCTCGCGCTTGCATTGCAGAGTAGCCACTTGTACGGCATACGAGCATGGGAAATCAGTATGCTGGGGCTCACGGCAGATTCATTCCTAACACGGATGGGAAACTGGCGCCCAGCAGCACAACAAAGATGTAGAAGAAGAACTTGCTCACTCGTACTCAGGCACTACTACAGATCTTGTTGTCCATCTCTAGAATTGGAATTCGCATCAGAGCTCCAGACCCAAATATATTTGCAGTGCATGATGCCCTGCGCGCAGTTGTACTTCTTCGCGACATTCAACGGTGACACGAAGCGCTGCGAGGTACGGGGCAGTGTGTACGTGGTGCTCGGGGTGTCACTTTTTTTGCTCGTTGCGTTTGAGCTGTTTGGCTACTTCGGAATTTACCGAAAAAGGGTTCTGGGGCACAGGAGCATTGTGAATCAACATGGGAGATAAGTTTACTAGGGAGGCGGCTTTTTTTCTTTGTGCTTTGTGAACACGACTGTAATATGCTCTTCTGATCATGAGGAACGAGAAAATCGCCTAGGTACCGAATTTTTCTTTCTTTGAATGTGCAACATCCTGTGAATCTGTATCTACTAAACTCAGGCTGGCTACTGTAGTTGCAACTGGTTATCTGGAAGAGACGCGACGGAAGTCGGAGCGAGAAGAAACACTCCTGAAAAACGATCGGATGTTTTTCGTTTTGCTGTTGTTCTCTTCAGACGTCTCGATCTCGTCCCAAGAATCGTTGCGCAGGTGATCATTCCAAGTATCCTGCAGAGGATCTTTTAGGAACGTACGAGAAAGAGCAGATCTGATTCGCTTTATAACCCCGCGGAGCTGTTGATGAACGCAGTCGCGGAAAGGTAGACAGTATGGATCGATGAGATCTTTTGTGCACCAGTAGAGAGCAAGATCAAACGAAAATCTTCACAGGAGCGACATCTTTGTTTCTCTTCTGGTGCAGGTCCTGAGTTCACGACGCACGGCAGTTCCGCACCGTTAGCAATACGAAAGAAGGTGATGACTTCCAGGACTTGTATAGATAGTAGATCCGAGCGGATTCATGTCCGCGCCGACGAACTACTCCAAATTTTAGTTTCAGCCTTGTCTGATAGGTAAAGCAATCAAGGAAGGATAGCATCACAAGTTTTGAATTTGCACGTAGTGAGTCGCTTCTTTTGCGAGCATGCAGGCAGATAACTACTTATCATGATGAAGGAATTTTTCACGTTCCTTTCGGAGATTTTTCGAAACAAGGACGAGAAACGAAAATTGGCAAGTATTAGTTTCTGATGAAGATGAGCATAATGTGCGGTAAAAATGGTCGCGTACAGTTGTAACGCGCACTGTACAAGAAGAAGAAGTGAGTTGCAGCTCTTTTTACTCAAATAGCATACGATATAAAAATTCACCATGATGACTCGTCCTCTTATATCGCAATGCTTTGTCATGATTCGTGTTTCTGACGGAGCTGATGCAAAATGGGATTCCCCTCCTGATGAAATAAGCGCTTTGCAGTTTTTGATGTGCAGGTCTGCATGCAGGATCAAGCCTAGCCGCGGCCGTACCCCGACTAGAGAAGATCAAAATTCAAGCGACCGCTTCACCGACGAATGCACCTGAATATTTAGTACAAAACAAGTCTAATGATGATTGTTCCAAACTGTCTTTTGTGCTGTGGTTTCGCCTAGTGCACTGAGCCCGCCGCCGGGCGGACGGTTTTTTCGCTCGGCAAGAAAAGGGCTCTACTGCCTGCGGAGACCTTGACAATCTGAAGACTTGTGACGCAATCCAGGATAAAGCCCAGCCTTGTTCCTGCTGGTCTGGTGCGGGAGAGAGTACAAAACGTAAATACAGGATGAGCACATTTTAGGTTTGGTGAGCTTGGTCCTCTTCCGGAGGCACCATCACTGAGCAACGCAAACTCATGAGATTTCTGCCTGATAAAGCCTAGGAGGATCTTCATGTGCAGAAACAAACTTCAGCCATTTTTGTGAAAAGGGTAACACGAAGCGGCTACAGGTGTCGCATCGGAACTGCAAAATGTCATCTCCTGAGGATCGATAAGTAGCAATGTGTACTGTGATCATGTGACAAGGAACATCAGCGGCCATGGTACGTTGGTGGACTCAAAAATAAATATCGCCGCCATTCACTAGGGTGCACGGCAGAGCTAGTGTGAGCTGCTTTCCGCAACATTATTGCGTTGATGTTCTCAAGACGGCGGGACTGGCCCATCGCGCGCCAGCGTAGTAGTTTTTGACAAAACATTATAGAAAAAAGTCCTTCGTTTCGCTACAATATGTGAGGCATCGTATCGTGCAAAAAGAGGCAAGGGTAAGTATCACTCTACGCAGACTTTGTTCCAGCCTGAAAAAGAAAACTCGTCAATTATATCTTGCAACTGGTGTGGTCTCTTGTCCTTCATCGTGCGGGTGTCTATCTTCTTGCATCGTACTTCTGATCTCTCGCTCGTCGTCGAAGCACCTCGTTGCCCAGCAACCCCTAAACGAATGACCACTTTTTGAGCAGTCGTAAGTATTCATTTTTGATTGGATGTATCCTGAAGGCCACTCCTCGTGTTGGTCAGTTCTGCACGTGCACCACATCTTCGTTCTCGTTTACTGGTAAGGGAAGGCGATGTCCTTGTCTAAGTACTTATTTCTATCTCGACCTCCTCCCGTCTCGACCGGGTGACACGATTTTTCGAAATGTCGTTTACTTTATTCGAGTTTCAATTTCCTACTTCAGCCGAGAACGTGTTTTTGTTTCGAGTAATATATAAACTACAGGGTTGATAAGAAAGCAGACTACCTACACCCAGGTGGTCCAACATCATCACTACACAACTTGAAGTCGCGGCTTCTTTTCAAGCAGACGTTCTCCTAAGACAACAACCACTCCCTTTGTGGTTCGAAGTAAATTTGTAGCGGAAGTAGAACACGAGCGACCGCTGTGAACAAATCATGCCGAAGAAGACTACCACCTTGCTCGCCGGCGCGCAGGTCGCGGCGGCTTTGAAGCAGGCCGGCGAAGAGGGCGACGGGCAGTTGAAGACGGCGAAGAAGTCCGTCGAGGGAGGGGCGGTCGGCGTCGTCCATTCCCCGCGCACTGCGAAGATGCTGGAGGACCGGGCAGGTACAAAGTTTTTTTGTTCGGATGACTTTCATCATGGGCGCACGCTCTCGACGCGTATTGAAGACTTAAAAGTACTATATTGGGTACTTAAAATTATTGATGACCTTAGCGTTGTCGTGGTAGCTCTACTTGCCAACGTGGGCTTGGCCAGATCGTTTGCTTTTTTGTGTACGACCGTAGAGTTTATTTATTTCCTTCTTTTCCATGCTCAGGTAAACGCAAAACGGCGGGAGGCACGAAGACGCAGACGTTCAATGGCCTGGGAAGACCCGTGGCGACTGGCGCCGATGGAGGGTTCCTGCAGGTGGTCCAAGGAGAAAGCCGGACACGCTCCGGCAAGAGGAAGAAGAGGGACTGCAACTGGGGCCCTTGGACGCATGTCAACTGGTTGCGGGGGAGTTTCCTTGGAGAGGCGGAGCAGCTTCTAGACTGTGGTGAAGGTCAACCGCTTTATTGGAAACATGCCGACGATGGCCTGATGGTTGTCTGTCTCGAGTCTTGCGCTGCAGTCGATTGCGAGCCAACGGACCAGGACCTTGAGGACGCGCAAATCGATAGGAAAGGTTGGAAACCGTGGTGCGCAAACAAGCATTGGTTTGCGGAGGGTGGCAACCCCAGCAGTGGGATTGGTCGCAGCGAGCAGCAGTGTGTTTGGCAGGACGAAAAATGCCAGGCGTGCGACTGGCACGCCGCAGCGTGCACGGTTCCTGGTGACGACGGATTATCTGGCGATGCAGAAGCAGCTGCTCAAGAAGCAGCTGTTTAGATGGATGGACTTCTAGAGATGGTGCATTTTACGTATTTTACCGGAAGCGTTATATTTTCAAAGAGTTGTAATTACTTTCACACAGTCTCGAAATTGAAGATTTCCAGCTTTTCTTAAGAGTTCCATGATCAATTCATTTTTACAATTTCACAGTTTCCGCTTCGAAATAGAAGACTTCCAGCTTCTCACGTCAGGTTGGGTTCCGAATTGCCAACTTGCAGCCCTTAAAGTCTAAAAACAAATGTACAAGCCGCAGCATATTACAAGAGGAAACACCCAAAATGCAAAATGCCGAAGCGTTCACATTTTTGGCTATCGCCGGTCCCACCCAGACTGAGGGGTTTTGCCCTAAAGTCGCAGCCTACCATCTTCTAGTCAAAAGCAGGCGCGCAAGCTATACAAGTATCACACCCGCCACCAAAGGAAAGATCCGGGCCTTTTTGTGATTGTGTCTTTCTTGCTGGTCTAGCGCACTGCGTGTTTTTTTACCACCCTGCTCGGATTGATTTCATTTCTATGTCAGCTTTAGTACGACCACACGATTTCCGTCTTTTCATCTTGCCACCACTGCAGCTACGCTGATAACATTTTTTTTGTAGGCTACTAAATCATCAGGAAGAGAAAAGTAGCACACAACAAAAGCAAGCATCTTGGCAGCTACAGTGAGTATAGCCTGTGGAATGCACCAGAGGCTTAAGAGGATGGACGAGCCCGGTGTTTTACATGTTACCACCTTCAGATTTCTACAACTTTGATATAGTTTTTCTTTTTTGTCAATCTACGTCTAGCATGTTATGTAGGATGTTTCAGCCCCACCTGAGTCGGCTCGAAGAAAAGTCTACCCTTCTGACATTTGCGTACAAGAGCCTTGTAGAAACTTCTTTTCGTATTTTGCAACAAATTTACTTGCTACTACAGAATGAGGCGCGTTTCTAATCATGACACCGCCTCGCGCCTTAACCTGTAAGTGTGAAAGTACGAAAGGAAGAACATTTTTATTTATTGCTAGCGCCCCGCGGCACGGTCCGCGGCCTCCGCGCGCTGGCCAGAAGATTTTCATCTTCTCGGGATCTTGAGCTAAGTAAATTTCTACCCTTCAAGATATATTTTTGTCCGCGCAATATCCTTGCAGCAAGACGTTGATGCTTTTTTACTAGCCGTGCTTAGAAGACGAAGATGAAGCACAGGAAGTACTACTTTGCAAATCCTACTGACGCAGGTGCTGAAGAAACGCAAAAAAATTCCGTCGAGTCAATAAGTACTTCTGCACACCACCTTAAGCCAAGTGTTACTGTAGGCGAAGAACAAACTCAAACAGTATGAGGCTAGTAAAAAGATAAACTGTCACACCGGAACTGCAATGAATTCATCGCGATTATTTTTGCATTGTGACCATGCTACTTCTACATCAGCATCTTGTTGGACTCGCGATTTTGAAAAACATTTTTTGTACTTACTTGGGAATAGAACTAGAAGGTCTGTGGCATGGCAGTTCCACTGTGAGCTGTGTTGGTCAGCTGCACTTGTCCTGATTACACCAGGAGAAAAGTTGATGTTGTGTTCCGTTTGTTTCCCACCAGCGTGGTGGTGTGCTCGGTGGCGGGCAGCATGGCCGTAGATCATATTGTCGACGGTAGTTCTGCTATAAAAGGGGCGCTATTTTTTCGTTTGAGGCACGAGAGCATACAGCATGGTAATTGCAGGTGACTGAAGAATGACCTACTGGAAAGTGATCACTTTGGAAGTTGTTCTTTGGTGAGTTTGTCCGTGTACCGGATGCAGCATTGATCACCGCAAACTCGTGTTGAGATTTCTAGTACCTCGTTAAACTTTGATTGGCGCAGCTGCAACATCAAGAGCGAAATCTGCGTCGGTTTCTGTTGGTTTATTGCGACTGAATAAAAGGGTTGGGTCCAACATCGAGTCGTCATCCACCTAGACGACGGAGCCGCAGCTCAAGTTGTAAGGATCCATTTCTTGTACCAACATCGCGCACTTTTTGTCGGTCACTGCAGTCTTAGTGTATGGCCCACCGCTACCACGAGATCCGAGACCCGTAGTGTACTTAAATTGCCAAAGAAGAACGAAAAAATTTTGTTCGTTTCTTGACCCAGATCCGCAGCAAAAATCTTTGATGATCCCTCGACAGCAGTCGCATTTTTGTGGCCCACTGTCAGTGTGAAAGCTACGACTTTGTCTTCACCCTTGTTGTGCATCGCGATTTGCTCCATTAGCAGTGCTTCGCAGAATTGGTTTTGCCTCGCACCGATTCACTTTATTTCTCTTCCTTGAGTACATAAAAGCTAGTTTGTAAGTATTCCAAGAGTGCTAGTGCTTCGCCCTACTCGGCGTGGTTTCTATCCAGTCAAAGTCAAACCAGGAAAAATGACGGCTCGGACAACCGTTTCCGTTTCTCCTCCTCGCGAAACCAAAGCGAACGAAGTTCGCGCTGCAGGAGAGAAAGCAACGCCCTTTCCGGCGGGTGGACCTCATGCTGTGGAAGAAAAAACCACCGTACTTGAGCCGAAAGTTTACGAATTGACACTACCTACAACTGCGTCCGCTTTCAGCAAGAAAAAATCCGGTGCGAGCTGCAACGACAGCACCAGCAGACCGTACCAAGCCATCCTCCGCGTGTCCAACGTTGGCGCACGGTATAACCTGCTCAGGTGTTACAATCTCAACCGTTGAAATAGAGTCTGAGACTTGTTTTGCACGATGAGCATGACAGACTCGCAGAGCGTTCCACTTTCTGCAATACAAATCTCGCCGGATTGTAGTGGGGTTTGGGGCTCCCGCTGCGGAACTTGTCATGCGCATTTTATGAGAGTTGGCTAGATCATGCGCTCTTGCATTCTATTCGTAACGTTTGAAATTGTAACACCTGAGCGAGTTATACACGGATTCTGGACCTTCTAGTGGAAGACAGAAACGGCGACCTGGTGGACGTGGCGGTGGGGCACGAAGATTTTTTGGAAATATCAAATGCAAATACGTCTGGGTCCTCTGGAAGAGGGCAAACTTCTCATGCAAATTTTCCATGCCCCATGAGGTTTGGAATGCAGGACCTAGCATGACAGGTTCATCTGCGACATCATCTCTATCATGCCTATCCTGCATGACAAACTGCCTCTAAACTTGTACAAAAGAGGACAGCTTTTGCTAGTCCTGCAACACAAATTTATGTACGGTCCAGACTTAGCATGACAAGTTCGCGCCATCCCAGACCCAGACATGGTTGCAATGCATAGGAAAAGGCGAAGAACCATTTCAGAAGGACTCAGAACCCTCGTACCACGAGAACCGCAGAAGGAGCCACGGCTGGTGGTGCTAGTAGTGGCTCTTCTACAACTTCTACCTCTAATTTCGACCTCCACTCCGACTACCAAATGCAAAAATGTCTGGGTCTGGAACTTGTCATGCTGTTTTTGATTCGAGAAAAATTTGTATTGCGTGACCAGCAAGGGGGTCCAGTTTGTGCTACGCAGACAGGGCATTTCTCATGCGGAAGGTGCATCAGGAAGCCCTCTAAAAGTCTCTGATGCTAGGTCATACATTACAGGCACCATGGGCCATGAGAAATATGCATGACAAATCTTGCATCCTTCCAGACCCAGACATATTTGCAATCCATACCGATTACTTTGGCGCAACGTGCGGCCGCGTCGCGAACCGCATTTTTGAAGGGAAATACCTTGATGTATTGAAAGGAAAAATCCCCCCTCACCATACCGAAAAGGTACACTCTTGGGAAATTTGTGATGCTGATTTGTGGTCACAAATCGTGTCTGTCTTGCAAGAAGGCAACTCCAGAGACAACCGCCACACTGTGCAGACGATTTGTCATGCTGTTGGGCCTGCAGCGCGGACGTTTTTCATGCTAAGCGCCTAAGCCCGAACCCTTCTACTCGCCCTTGGTATGGGCCTGCAGTGCTCTCCAGCAAGACAGCGCGGATTTGTGTACACAAATTCAATTGAGCATCAGAAGTCTCGTTTTGATTTGGGGAGGGGGGGCGTTTCTTTTGGATATGATGACAGTATGGATTGTCACCGGCCGGAGGTGGTGGAACTGACGAAGAACGAGGAGCGGGTAGACGAGCGAGCAACAGGGAACGACGAGAGGATGAAAAACCGCCCGCATTACTATTTCGGGCACCTGCACGGGGGAAAGCGTGGCTTTCACGCCGTGGTTTGGGAAGAAGTGGTGGACGATCACGATTCGCCGGAAACTCAAGAACAGAATGGTCCGTCCTCGTGCCGGACAAAAATTACCTTCAAGCGTCTGAGCGAGGACGGCGAGGAAGGGTACCCTGTGCAAAAGTATCGTACTCGTATTGCAATCATGCATTTTACAAATCGTTTTGTTAAGGCAAATCCGCATTATTCTCATGCTGAGGAACTTTGTATTGCATTTCTACGAGTGCGATACATTTGCAAGTCATCAAGGGTACCCGGGGGCGGTGTTGTGCTTCGTGACCTACGAGTTGGCGGCGGTTACTCATGGAAAGGCCGATGCAGAAGCTTGTCTGAGCGAGATCGAGAAGGATAAAAAGAGCCAGCAAGAAGAAGAAACAACGAGTAGCGTGGTCAGCGTCTCCATCTCCTACCATGCGGAGCTTGTGAACGACGGTAGAAGAGTATCAACATCTGCTGGCTCAGTGAATTATAAGCGGAGAAAGAACAACAAGGAAATCAACCTAAAAACCCCGATCAACCTGACTAACCACATCTTCTTCAACTTGTCCAAAAGCCACGACGAAAGTGTGCTGGGTCACGAACTGCAGCTGTCGGCGGATACTTACTATCAAGTGCAAAAATGTCTGCGTCTGGAAAAGTGTAAACTTGTCATGCAGATTTTTTATGATCCATGAGGTCTGGAATGCAGGACCTAGCGTGACAGACTCCGCGAGGTCTATGCCTATCCTGCATGAGAAAACTCCATCCTAACTTGGTCAAACGTGGACAGCTTTTGGTACTCATGCAACACAAATTTTTACATGATTCAGATTTACCATGACAAGTTGCCACCTTCCAGACCCAGACACTTCTGCATTTGATACTTACCTCCCTGTGAATCCGGTCTCCCTCGTGCCGACCGGTATCAAGTACAAATATGTCTGGGTCTGGAAGATCATTGCGAGGTTTGTCATGCTAGTCTGGTGGCATAACTCGGGAGTCTGTGAAGATGCATAGACACGAAAAGATCCTCTTACCTGCCATGCGAAAAGAACGCAGTTTGCCATGCGGAAGACGAAACACATTAGCAGCTCAAAAAACTTGTCATGCGCGGCGGCGTATCTGCCTATAGTTGATTTTTAGCATAATTACATCCTTCCACACCCTCCAGACATATTTGCAATGCATAGCCGGGGAGAGAAAACCAGTTGCCGGCACGGACTTTGACTTTCGTAAATTGCGGAAAATCGAGAAGCCAGGCCTGTACGACCACTGTTTTTGCTTGAACATGAGAAATGTGGCCGCTGTCGCTGGGTCCACTCTTGCACATGCGGACGGACAAGCGCCTGTGCCTCTTTCTGGTCCAGTTGCAGCCACTACTTCAAGAATCTCAGTTACTCCGAAAATAGATACCCACACCGCGCAAGATGAACAAGCCCCTCGTGGAGCAGCTGATCCACCACCAAGTGCGGTTTTGAAAAACGGGAAAAGTGGGATAGAGTTGCAAGTTTTCACGGACCAGGAAGGGTTGCAGGTGTACACGGGAAATTTTCTGCAAGATTTCCGCGGGAAGAAGAACCAAATCAGCCAGCCGGGGTGTGCGGTGTGCTTGGAATGCCAGCGCTTTCCGAACTCTGTGAACCTGTTTCGTGAAATATCCTGAGCAAAAACGTCCCCACACCAGAGTCAAGATGGGAAATCCGCTACACAAATCAACTAGCTTTGGTTGTTTCACATGACAAGTTTGCCCGCGCAGTGTAATCCTGTTGAGCTAGTGCAGCAGCGTCACAGATCTAGCGCATGACGCTGATTGGAGCATGACAAGTTCCAAAACGCGACTAGAAAATGCTTGCCATGGGACTCCGCATGAGCAATATCTTCAGCATGCAGAATTGCATGACAGCTCTGGGGTGGGGACTTTTTTACTCAGAATATGAAAATTTCGAATGCGAAGATCCGTTCCTGAAGGTGGGCGAAAAATTATTACACTGCACAACTCCCCCTCCCCCTCATTTGTTATGCAAAATACCAGATCCAGGCTGTGCCTCTTGGCACTACTTGCATGGCAAACTCCGGAAGCCCGAACAGTACTACACTCCTGGGCAAATTTGTCATGCAAAACCGGCATTCTTGCTGAAGCTTGTAGTGCCGTTCATGCTATACAAATGAGGGGGAGGGGGAGTTGTGCACTGTGATAAAAGTACGAAAAGAGAATTGAGTTCCGCTTTTCGACGTTTTGATGCGAAGGAGATGAACTAGTTGTCTATCGCTACACAAAGACGCCAAAAAGTGAAGTAAAAGTAGCCTTGTTTTGGCGTTTTGAAGAAAATGAATGCTACGCACTCCGAAGAATAATGTGTGATTTGACGTTCAAATTCAACGTACTCCGCATTTGTTTTTCATCCCGCTTCGTGTTGAAGCCAAGTATTCAAAGCACTTCTTTTCAACGGCTGTTGCTGTTCCGCCACGTGTGGCACGACCAGCAAGGCGAAACCATGAAAGTGTTTTGTTGTGAGCTGTCGATCTCGATGAGTGATGTTGCATAATGTTTTTTTTTGCACACGGAGGTCTATCTTTGAAAAATACACCGGCTTTTTTTTTTTCCGGCCCCCCCGGGTGGTCATTTGATTCTGCGCAAGCAGCCCCTTCCCTCTCCCGATTCTGCCGCTTGGGTTTTTCTTCCTCTTTTATTCAACAGCTCGACTTAGTTAGTTTTTTCTCACGAGAAGTTCTTGCAGTAGAGCAGAGTTTTTTTTTGCCCGCTTTATTGCGCAATGGGATCTCATGCTTTTCGTTTCGCTGTATTTATCTTCGCAAGCAGTTCGGCTCACCTTCAGTTTGTTTCTCGCTACAGGATAAGACATTAGCATCACAGTCGTCTGTTTTTGCTGCTCCTACGAAAACATGAGGTAATCAGATTGTAGGGAAGATATTCTCGTCCGAAGAATTTCGCAACAGGAAATATCATGTACAATCACCGTAGCGCCCTTGGTACGCTGAATCAGCAGTCAAAGCTGGTGGACTTGACCCTGAAGCGCGCGGACCGCGGTCGGTACCTCGTGAAGATAAACGAAGACTTGGACGTCATTTGCAACACCAAATCCTACGCTTACGCCGCAATCGCAAACGCCTCCCCTGCTACTACTTCGCGCCACGGGCCCGCCGGCTACTCGTCCGGTACAGCGACCCAATCGCGGGCCGAAGCGGAGAGCCGACGAGTCCGGTATCAAGTGCAAAAATGTCTGGGTCTGGGAGAGCCAAACTTGTGATGCTGCATTTGGATGCTAAAAAAACCTGTAGTGCATGACCAGGAAGAGGATTCAAATTTGGCTACGTGGAGAGGGCATTTGTCATGCTGAATGCGCATAGATAAGCACTCAAAAAATCTGTGATGCTATGGCATACATCACAGACATCATGGATCATGGAAAATGTGCATGACAAAGTTGTGCTCTTCCAGACCCAGACATTTTTACATTTGATATCCGGCCCCACGGGGCGATCGCCCGGTGCGAACGGATGCTGGCCAAGTTGCGGAAGATGCACGGGGAAGTGACGCAGAGGATACTATCCTGAGAAGTAAAAGCGTCCCCATCCAATAATCAAGTTGGCAAATCTGCAACACAAATCTCCGAGTTTTGGCTGTCGAGCATCAAAAGTTTGGGCTCGTAGTCGTGTAGCAGTCCTGTCTAGCTAGTGCAGCCGCATGACAAATTGACTCTCTTATCCCGCTTCCAGCATGACAAACTCCCAGATAGCATTAGGAAATGACTGTTATGGGGCTCCGCATGAGAAAAATTTTGAGCATGCAGATTTGCATTACAGCTATGGAGTGGGGGCGCTTTTACATGGGATAGATACTGCTGTTGGATTTAGACTCTTCATTCTCGGACCGGAGCCATGGCAGTAGTGGTCACAGCTCCTCTGCGGACCGAAACAAGATTCAGCTCGCGGAAAAGGAATTGCTCGCGAAAATTTATGAGAAAATCCAAATTGCCGAGAAAGAACTACTGTGCCTGGTGGCGGGGTAGCCTGATGTGTGTTGAGGAGAAACGGAAGTACTACATCGACTACTACCCGCGGGCGCTAAACAATGTTTTTTTTTTTTTTTCAAAAGGCAGTGTTGCAAAGAACGTGTTCTATTAATTTGTTTCCTATTAATGAGACACGACCCAAAGCCATTTTATTGTACATTTCATTGTGCTCGACTTGAGCTTCTTGTCATCGTTTCTCAACAAATGTCGAAAATAAAGTTGGAATATTATCGCCTCGCAGCGTCTGAGCTTTGCTTCTGCAACGTCGATTTCCCAACAACACTGGCGTCTGTTCGTCCCATTGGATGATATAATCGTTGCGCCGTCCTGGTCCTCATAACTAAGTAGTTGTACCTCGAGGTGGTGATCAATCGCTCGCTCGCATCATGCTGTAATTTTCTGAAGATAACCGCAACAAGATGAATAATCAGTTACTGTTTCGAAACCTTCTGGTCGCTTGTGATTCAGAGCGATCGATGAGAGAGCGGGAGTCGTGGTGGTTTCATGAGCATATAATTGGTTCCGTCATTTGTTCGTGTTGTGAAATTATTATTCGCGGTCGTAAAAACGGCGGCGTCTTGGAGAGGAGAGGCATGAGGGCTCGCGTCGTACAACTTAGGATCTTTTTTCGGAGGCATCAGTTCTAGACTCTTATTTCCAAGGTTGTTGTTTTCGTCGAGGATGTAGTACACTAGTAGAGAAGTAAGCCGCCCGGAAGCAGGTTTTTTCATTCTGAACCCGGAAGGGGCGACGAGAAACCACAACGAAGAAAATTCTCGCGAGCTAGCGTGCCGGAGTAGGAAGGAACAGCTTGTCTCCTAGCGCGGCGTGGATTTCTTGCGAAGAGGAGCTTTTGATTGGTAAATACTGGTACCACGCGGCCCAGAAGCATCTTCTATCTTCTTTCGGGGACGAGACAACAATTATTCCGTTATTGTGATACAGCTGCGACGCGAGCCACACTGCAGATAGTTTCTTCCCGACAAAAACCGCGTGAAGAACGATAGCAGACCGAAGCGACGTCGTCGACCCGTTGGTTCTCTTTGCAGTGGGATGACTAAAAGAGGTCTCTAGCAGCAGCAGCAGCATCACTTCCGACTTCGTAACCAGAAGCACTAGTGTCCGCCGCGAAGGCCCTCAACAGAAGAAGGGAGTTATTTTCGAAAGACGGTGCATTTATTGCGGTTCGGAAGAGGAAAAGGTCGACGAGCTGCAGCACCCTCACGCAGCTGCGTACTAGGTCGACGAAGGTAGTACTACGTCCACGACGCAGCTGCGTACTGGGTCGCTGGTGATAGAAGGAACGACCTCCTTGTGCGGCTGAAAGGACTTTCTGTGCTTGAAAAACGCTGGTCGCAGGACAAGAATAATTAAACCCGTCACAACGAAGGTCTTCACAAACGCCAGGAAAAACCACGACGTGGCCTAATTCCATCGGCAAATAAGCGGACGAAACTTCTACCGGATCGACGTTGTCCGTCGTTTCCAGTCCCGGGGAACCAGCTGATTCTCGGTGCACTCCTGGTACTGCGCGAGTCGAGGAGTAGAGGGCCTGTTTGATTACCACCACACATCAGGAGCTACAGCAGTAAGTACAACCACGTACAACTCTCGAGTTGTTCATCACTACCGTTTTATTCCAACGCAGAACCAGCGACCGCCGGACACGCGGTCGGAGAGTCTGTCGGAAGAACAAGAAGCCGCAAACCTTCAACTAGGCGCAGCAAATATATCATAGGCGGCAACAGGGACAAGGAGTAGAGCAAGCTCCTGGACGAATTCCTCTTGTACGTGTGCTGTCGTTAACTGTCGTTGACTTCATCCTTCTTCGCCGGTGTAAGTAAGTAGACAACTACAACGCGCCGGTCGTCGCATTCTACGAGCGGATCGAATCCGTCGAACTGCGAAGCGCGACCGAGCAGGAGTACGTCCGCGCCAGGAGCAGCCCGACAAGAACCTCTACACGAGTGCTGGGCGGGAGAACAACCCTTCTGCCCTCCACGGCGCTCTTAAATGTCGGAGTTTTTCGACCTTCGCAGAAGGAACCTTCTGGAGGACTACTTCTGGACCCTGCAACAGGCGAACGACCAGGAGCCAAAGGAGCGGGCAGCGGCCATAAAACTCCAGTCCTTCTACCGAGCGTCGAACGTCAGGGAAAGATGGCACGCGGTGCATTTTGCCGGGCTGTTTATCCAGCGAGTAGCAAGGGGAATGCTGGGGAGGCGTATAAAGATTTAGTCGATCTTGTTGATGCGGTCTTTCTTTTGCGTAGCTAGTCAATGTGTGTGAAACTGAATGAAAGTGAAACTATGGCAGGTGGTGTTAGTAGTTTTGCAGCGGGTTTGTGAAATGCAAAATCTGAACACGAAGAAAAATATCACATTGTACACTTCATCAGTGCGAGCGAAGGCGCAGATATGGAAAGAAAAAAGTTCGTCATGTTCACCACTTTGCAGGTTTTGCATACCAAATTATTCTTCTAGCTCTATTCTTGTATTGCACAAAGGACACAAGGGAAGATATAGTCGTGTAATTCGACGACTGTGATGGATGTCTACGCTTGACAAAACAGTTGTGTATTGCAAAAATGCGCAGGACGAACTTTTTTTTGTTTGATAGCAGATGATTAAACGAGTGCAGGAAATGAACATGAACTACTTCAACCACTGCGCAGCAACGGTATAGGTTTTGTGTAGCAAGTGTTTGCATGACAAGTTTCTTTGTGTAGCAGGTTCTGCAGGACAAGTTTGGTCATATAGATTTTTCTTGTTTAGCAGGTGTTTGCATGACAAATTCAATTTCTTTCAAAGTCACCTTTGTTTGTGATGCGGCATTTTTCGAATTTACAATGTGGTAGCTGCTGTTATCTGAAAAATTTAAACCAATTTATCCCAGATACAAAAAGTTTTTCGAGGGTACTGGAGCAGACAATACACGCACTGCATGCTATGCTACAGCAAAATCTACTTTGTGCCGCAAGTCTTCTTCAAGGCTGTTTCTGTCATGCTGCACTGGTATGAAAAAGATGATTGGATATTAGTGTCGTAGTGACGATGGTAGTACGACACGTAGGAGGTACTAGCGGCAACCACGCCCATGTTGCTAGGTCGATTTCGACCTGGGTCGTGGACCTTCCAGGGGTGCCCGTTGACGGACCTCCATGCCGAGGGTCGAACCGCCGTCGAGGTCCTCTTGCATGGCAGGTACTTACGCCGTAAACGCGTACTACTTACTCAAGAAATGATCACTGGCAACACAAATTTGCACCTTGGCGCGTGGTTTTTGCTGGGATAGACGCACAGCAGAAAAAAGTTTCTCTCCTATCCAAAGTAAAATAAACGTCCCCGCCCCATAGTCGATGAGTGGGATGTCTGCAACACAAATCCAGAAGGATTGGGAAGTACTAACTAAGTACGCATACCATGTGTTTTTCGCTGCGTTGTAGTGCAGGTTGGCAAGGAGGATACAGTCGCATCACAGAGCCATCCCTCTATCCTGAAGTTGCAGAAAAACATGATTTGAAGAGCCTCTCGTGGAGATGCACTTGCAGATTAAAAGCGTTCTTCGGGAGGTAATTGCAAATCTGCATGACAACTGTGGGATGGGGACGTTTTTGCTCAGGATATCTCCAACGTCCAAACGGTCGGGCAGAAGACAAACAAGTATAAAGAACGTCTTGTTTTTCTTGCTTATTCTCGTTTTCGCATGAGAAATTCCCCCTACTAACTTCTTCCACGCTCGCTATTCCAAGGTCTGCATGAGAATAAACCTCCAATTTTTGAATTCGAAAATGCACCCACAGCTGGCTGCAAAGTTACGAGAACGAGAAGCAGGCGGAGCACCTATTACAATGAAAAATGCCCCCACCCCAGATCTTGGCAGCGTTTGTATTATTGCAAACCTTTCCAATGGTAACACTCCCCGTCTTGCATATCTCAGCATCGCAAATTGGCCATGCTGAATAGCTAAAATTTGTGTTGCAAAGGAGCGCAACAGCAGCCGGATCTGTTATGCGCAAGACACCTTGCTCACCGAGACTCTGCATCAGAAAGGCTCGCAATCCTTCCATGCAGGACAGAAAGCTTTCATTTGGAAACTTTGCATGACAAACCTTGTTTGCAAATTCCGGGTTGGGGGCATTTTTCATTGTCATAGCACCAGAAGAAAATGGAGGAGGATAGAAAGACCACCTTCAATATCACAAGAAATATATCCTGTGCAAAAGTATCGTACTCGTATAAATGCAAGTCCTGCACTACAAATCCTTTTCTCAAGGTAAATCCGCATTGCAAATTTTATTTCTCATGCTGAGGGAATTTGTAATGCATTTATACGAGTGCGATGCTTTTGCAATTCATAAAATAAGAGTGTCAAGAACTACGACCTCAACAGACGTTGTGATGCTCACCAACAAGCGCATCCAGAACCAAGCCCGCAACTGAACGAATTTGTATCCTCCATAGCATAGCATGCATGGTTATCATCATAAGCAAAATTTGTCCTGCCTGACTCGTCCGATGATGATGTGTGAAAACTCAAACTGTTGATCGTCAAACACTTCTTCATTTCTGGTCGATATTCAACAAGCTGGCGAGTCAGTTGCACCACCTGGTCTCCACGCAGAAAATATGAGAGTGCACAATTCCCCCTCGTTCTCATAATTTCTGATGCAAAACAGGAATTCCATTCATTGCCTGTGGTCAGTACTATGCATCACAAGTTGTAGTTCCAGGACCGGAAAGGGAAACAGCGTTGAAAATAGCCGTCAATTTGTCCTCGCATCAAAAGCTGCATATGATTTGCCAGAGCTTGTGTTGCTGTGGATGCTATCCAAATGAGGGGGATGGGGAGAAGTTGTGCACTGTCATAGAAAATACCTGGCGTTTACAACCCGCCGTACTCAGAAGCGTTGCCGACCGCGTTCAATATACCGATAGAGGTAAGATAGCATTTTTGCATAGTATGCAGACCCACGATTTCGATTTCGCATGGCACTTACCGCATTTGAATTCATCATGAGAGACTCAGATTTCTTGTGTTTGTTATGCCGTGAGGACAATAAACGTTGACAGACAGCATAATTATGTTGAAATGAATTACAATTAAAATTATCACTATCAGCAACACCTGCGACTACAATCCACCGCGCGGATGCCAGCGAGTCTGAGGAGACCGAACTTGAATAGATCGATTACCAGCACAGTTAGGCCGCTGAACCACACAGAGAAGGGAACCACAGATGCAGGTATAGGAAGTTTTTTGGAAGTAGTTCTACTTATGCGTGTTATATATACATTGCCCTGTCGTGTAATATCTGTAAAACAAAGCGTGCTGTCTTTACCTGTATGATTTTCAGTTTTGCCACAATGACCATCCATCCTGATCCTGCATGACAGTTTTCTGCATGGTACTTGCGTACTAGTTGTGCATGACAACAAAAACAGCGAAAATCCGTGGTGGCCCACCGCAGCCAGTGGCGAAAAGAGTGCCGCTGGTCAGTCGCACTGCAAACGCCGGGAGAATGCAGGCAATACAAGGGCCATTTAGGACAAAGGACCAAATCGACGTCTCGAACGCAAAAGCCTACGACCAGTATCGATTGTTGATAATAATGTTGCATAGTAGTACAACTATCACGAAGTCGATGCTCCTGTCAGATTTATTTTATGGCTCGCATCGTGACAAAATTGAATTTTGTGGTAGTCGCATGCTTATTGCGATGAAGCAGTGTCGTGTGCATTGATTTTGTTTGCGAAATTGAAAATTTGAATTGCGCACTATCAGGAACCGTTCCGTCCAAGCATCCTCGTACTACCAAGTCGTGTATCAAATGTAAAAATGTCTGGTTCTGGGAACTTGTGATGCTGGGTGGCGTCTCATGATGAGACTACAAATGCTGGCTCAGCATGACAAGTTTCTGGGCTCCTAGGTGTTGCCTATTCTGCATGACAAACTGCGCTTCTGCACCACAGAAAAACGGAGCTCTTGGGTAACGTGCATGACAGATTTAAGACTCATGCCAGACAAGCATGACAAACATGAATTCTTCCAGACCCAGACACTTTTACAGTTGATAGCGTGCAAGACACGAAGCGCATCGAGGGCCGGTTGTCAAAGATCACGAGGTTAGCGCCGGACGAGTTTGTCGCAAAGAGAAAGATCACATACGAGAAGATGAAGCCGACCGTGTCTGCAGAGTCGCGGTACCTCGACCGGCCGGTGGAGTTCTATTACAATGAAAAATGCCCCTTTCCCATACTAAAACGGAAATCTGTGATGCGGGATTTGTGTACACAAATCCAATCTGTCCTGCAGTAGAGGACTGCAGGCAGATGCAGCGCCTGAGTGGGGGCGTTTTGCCGTAGGCGCCTAGCAAGGCAGGCATGTCCTCTGTAGGCGATAAGGCATTACAAAGCGCCTGCGAGACGCGGTCGATTCTCTGGCTTTGCCCTTTTGCAATACAGGGACGATGTGTGGCCACAAATCAGCATCACAAATTTTGGTATGGGGAGGGGGAATTTTTCCTCACAATAAGTTCCGACAGGACTACACGGAGCTGCCCAAGATAAAGGACAAGCCGCCGTTTATCCTCCTGGAAGAACGTCCCTGCTACTTGTGCCCCAGATTTGTCATGCAAATTTGCATGCCAACCAGAGTAGTCCGCCAAAAGTTCTTGTCATGCGCTGCAAGAAAGAGACAAAAGTGCAACTTCTCTGATGCGGCAATGCCGCCATCTTGGCTATGGCTATGGGGTCGTGGGGACGCTTTTTCCGAGGATACCTCTTTTCACCGCTGTGCCGGGGGGTAAGATGCTCGCGGACTACGACGACGAGAAGTACATTCTCGGGGCCTTGCCGGTGTAGCCGGGCGTAGGGTTTTGTCCCGAGAAAGAAAAGGACTTCGCAAAAGTAGTGGAAAAAAAATCTGAATAGCAGAAAGAATTCTCAAATTCAAAGCCATTTTAATATCACTAGAAATCACAAAATCTGAATAGCAAATCAACTTCTTATCACAATGTTAATCTGAATAGCAAACAAATTTTTGTCTGATTTAGTCTTCAAATTCTACTATGAGACAGCACGGGAGGTGGTGGTATTTACAACGGTAATTGGCAAAGAGATACAAGAACTTACGGCCAAGAACCACTCCAAATCCCCTATGTGTCTGATTTAAGTCTTCAAATTCTACGAGCTTTTTGAGCGTTCGTCGAAAAAGCTGTTGCGTAAGTGCGTTGTCAACATCGGTCTTGCGCGTGGCCTTTCGACGACATCTTCTGTATTGCGAGTTTAGAGTAAAAAATCGAGGTAGTCGCGACAGCGACATTGAGAGATGAAAATGCTTTGTATATTAAAGTGAAAATAAGAATGCCGGGACGAGTTGATCTAGGAAGAGAAGGAGTAGATGGTCGTGTGGTACGAAGGAGCTGGCACCCGCTTGTGTCAACAGGAATTTTCATGCGACTGTCCCTTAACGGCAAAAGCAAATTTGTTATCAAAAATATACACTTGTACATACAGCTGACGATGTAGTTCTAGTTCGAAATTCTGCTGCTCGGCAGCACAAAAGAAAAATCGCACCGAGAAGAGGAAGATCATCAGTCATGGCTGTTGGAACCTTCACTGAGGTTTCTCACCACTACGTTGCAGCTGTTCTGCTTCCGGATCCGGGCACAAAGGGTTGATGTCGTGCTGATGAGAGGGGTGTAAGAGTAGCGAACTGTTGGGAACTTTTCCTTTGTAATGTTGCAGTTCTGTTGAAATAAGCAAGTAAGTACAAGTAGACTAGTAAAAAACACCTACAACCGCGCTCCTACCCGCCGTCGTCCGGCGCTCGTCACAACATGAAAGCTGCTTGTTGTCCGCGAGAGTGCATTTCCAGTCGAGAAAATAAAACTGTTGTCTTGGTGCAGTTGCTGGAGAGATGAAGTTTTGATTTGATTTATGCATAGATACAGTTGATGTTGAATACGTTTCATTTTCGAAGATCCAGTGAAGATCAGCATCCAGAGAGAACAGGGTCCACAAGAAAGCCTATGCCGGCAAGAGATGTTGTTGGTCTTGGTTTTGCTCGCACGAAGATGGGCGCCGGGTGGATCAGGTCTGGACTCCGTTTAGATCTTCTAGGACTCATAGAGGACAATCTCGTTTATAGAACTACGCAATGATCTTTTTATCACAGGCACAGACAGTAATTCATAGTAAACCACAACGACAAAGTTTCGTTTCGTAGCGACATAGTTTTAATGTTTTCGATAAAGTTCCTTTTTTGCAGCTTTCAGCGCGATTGTAGGTTGATATTTTTACGCTTTTCTTATTTTTTCTTGCACACAGCGAGCAGCTTCCGAGCGACATCATGCGCGAGAAGTCTGGCCTGCTCCGCTGACCCTTTCGCGCGGTCGCGTTGCCTGGACGAAAATGTCGCGAGTGGAGGAAGCAGCTTCTTTCGGGAGACCACGACGCGGAGTTGTCACATAATTCCCTCCGGGAAAGGGAATGCTAGCGATTGCGGCCAGCCTTGCAAGATAACGGGATCATGCCAGCTCGCGACCATGGAGAAGCATTTTTACTTTAGCCGTAGTTGTTTCCGAGAACATTACTGAAATTTCAGACAAGTTCCATATCCATTCCATTTGCACTTGATGGTCATCTTTCGCAGCACTGACTGTGGTCCCACTCGGTGTAAAGATGAATTGCAAAAAAGAGCGGTAAAAAAATCACTTGAAACATCGCAAAAGAATGGCTTCGAGCAGAAGTTCGAGGATCACGCCGATGAACGCTGAGAGTATGGTCCAGGACGACCCGAACCCAGAAGTCGCGGCACCGCAGGGTGTGCCGTCGGAGGAACAGCAGCCCGTGCCGCAGAAGCCCGTGCCGCAGCAGCCGGTCCCGCAGCAGCCGGTCCCGCAGCAGCCGGTTTCGCAGTATAATCAAGTCAACGTGCTGCAAAACTCGAACATAGAAGCCCTGGGCGGCAAAACCGACTGCTTCGGCGGCTTGCCGGGGGGACGACACCAAAGTAGCTTGCCGGGGGGACGACACCAAAGTAGCTTGCCGGGGGGACGACACCAAAGTAGCTTGCCGGGGGGACGACACCAAAGTAGCTTGCCGGGGAGACACCAAAATAGCTTGCCATCTGGTTCGAACCTTTTTCCACCAAATGGAATGGTACTCGACATCAACCAGCACGGTTTACTCCAGCCTGCCGGTGGACCGGGAGGTGCTCACACTGGTCCCCAAGTACCGGCACCCCTATTTTTCCCCGGAAATAACAATACCCTCCCACTGCAGCCGCCTCTTCCTGCTCCCGGGGGCGGGCCCCTTCTGTTTCCCCCGCCTGGCGGGCACAACATATTAGGGGGAGCGATGTTTGAATCCTCGTCTCAGCTGTTTCATCCTCCGAATCGCAAGATGAACTACCTCCGCAGCGACGAACATTATTCGCGAGGAAAAAATAAACAGACCGCGGCGATGTCCTCGAGCAGTACTTCTTCTAAAGCCCACCCCCTCCAGTTTTCCGCCGCAAAACGGCGGATGGATGCGATCGTGGGCGAGACCGGCTATGCGTATGGGTCGGTTTTGACCGGAATCACGTCGACGTCGTTCACTTCTGACCTGGACTTGACGTATTGTATCGACTTCGATAGTAAAAATGGAAGTAACAGCACAAGCAACAAGAATAGCAACAGCAATAGCAATAGCAACACAAACACGACGTCTGACCAGCACCATCACGTTGACCCGACGAAGCAGCAGCGACAGGGCGCTTTGGAGTGGTTGAAGCAGGTCGAGCAGAAACTACTCGATTTCAACCAGAAAACGGAGGAACAGTTCAAAAAAAAGCGATTTCAATACCCGATCACGGAGTACCGAAACATCCAGTTTATCGCCGCCCGAGTGCCCTTATCCATTGCAAATATGTCTTGGTCTCCTGGAAGAATGCAAGTTTGTTATGCTTGTCTGGCATGACGCTGAGGTCTGTATTGCGTGGGCACAAAGGGCTCCTCTAGGCTGTCATGCAAAAACGCTGTTTCTCATGCGGAATACGAAACACAGAGCCGCTGAAAAATTTCTCATGCTTGGCGGTGCATATACACTGTGCTTGCTATAATTCACTGACTTGCATCACAAGTTTCCAGACCCAGACATATTTGCAATGCATCGCCCTTACTAAAGTGCGAGGAGGTGCTGCTGTGCCAGAGAAGTAGTAGTAGAGATTACCCAGCAGAAGATGATAATGATTCAGATTCATCATCCCCAGCAGAAGTAGAACATATTTTTGAAACAAGAAGTCCTCCGACTTCTAAACCTTCCGATAAAAAATGTTCCAAATTCGCGTTCACGGAGCTGAAAACCACGGAGATCGAGATCACAGTGAACAACAAGGACGCCGTGAAGAATTCCGTGCTGCTGCAGCAATACGCAACCAGTCCGTTCTGCAAGGCGCTGTGTCTGCGGGTGAAAAAGTGGGCGAAAGAGAACAAGTTGATTCGGGACATGACGAACGGGCTCTTGTCCTCCTACAGCTTCACACTGATTGCGATCGCGTTTATGCAACAGGAAAATTTTCTCCCCAACCTCCAAGAGGAAACTTACACCGAGTTAATTCACCAACTCGGCCACCCGAACTGGCACTGGGACACGGTTGGCCGGGAAAAAATTTACCGGAGAAAGTGCGACGAGCTGCTGGCGCAGGGGAAAATTCTCGAAATGCAGAGGGTGTTGTTTCGCGAAAAGAAGCACGATGAGAAGTTCGCGGAGGAATGCGGGGAGGGCTTGATACATGGTTTGCACGGCGCCGATTACAACGAGCGTTTTGAAAATCAAAATGAAAATTACGCCGAGGACTTCGAATCGTTGAAAGATCCGGGTGCGAAAAGGTGTTTTTCCTACGCGATGCAGGAAATCGAGGAAAGATTCTTCCAGTTTCTGGACGACCGATTTGTCAAAATGGGGTTTGTGCCGAAAATGGTGGACGAGGGAGGTGGTTGTGCCACACTACCGGAGCCGGAGACAAAGGAGGAGCAGGAAATGTTGAAGCGGGAGGAAAATTATAAAGCTGATGATGACCACCTAATCCCGGAGGAGTTGAACGCCAGCACCAACAGTGGGCGAAGCTGCAAAACTATCAAATGCAAATATGTCTGGGTCTGGAAGAATGCAGATTTTTGTCATGCTGTTTGTGCATGATACAGAAGGTCTGGCATGGAAGCCCTAGCATCACAGGTCTCGAGAAGGTTCCGCAATGCCTGACTCGCATGAGAAATCCCCCATTTTGGTGACACGAAATGGGTATCCTTTGCTGCCTATGCATGACAGATTTGTGTGTGCTATGAAATGCGCATCACAAGTTCGAAACCTTCCAGACCCAGACATATTTGCAGTGCATAGAAACACCCTCGCCCTCCAAACAGTCTACGTCGAAGAAATCTTTTCCCTCTGCTACTGAGATGGACCAAAGTGGTCGCGATCAGGAGCTTCCGGATAGTTCTTCATCTCGCTGTGACACGATTTTCAGTGTCCGGAAGGGGGGGTTGTTAAGCTTGACAGAAGAGGAAACCATTCTGCACAGTTCTTTGGATGCCGTATGGGTCGCAAGTATGTCTGGGTCTGGAGGATTCCGAGACTTGTCATGCAGTTTTTCCAGGCTCCGCCAAGGCTGGAATGCAGGGCACAGCATCACAGGTTCTGCAGCCCCTTGGTGAAGATGCCTATTCTGCATGAGAAATGCCCAGGTATTGGCAGAGGCTAAATCTGTTCTAACGCCAACCCGCCAGGAGTCAAATGGTTACTACTGCTACTACAGCATGGCCAGAAGTGGGGACCTTCTGCAAGTCATGCAACACAGATTTTTGTATGATCCGCAACACGCACGACAGGTTCGCAACATCCTTCCAGACCCAGACATTTTTGCAGTTGATATGCCGACACCCGGCACAAAATCGCCACCATCGCGGTCGAGGACCCGTATGCGTTTGAAGATCCCCACGGCCGTATGCATTGCAAATATGTCTGGGTCCTCTCTGGAAGATCTGAAATTTGTATTGCTGATTTCGCATGTTGACCCTGAACTCTGTGATGCATGTTGTGGAAAATAAGCGCCAACCCTGTGTCATGCAGAAACGCGATTTCTAGTACGGGTGGCGCACAACACAACCGCTCAGAAATTTCTCATGCGTGGCTAAGTATTGGAATCAGTTTGTAATGCATGTATTAGCAGTACAAGTTTACTCCACTTCCAGACCCAGACAGAGTTCCACTGGATAGGCCGGCCCGCCGAGCAAAACCCCTCGCCGCGGCGGCAACTGTCGCACAATTTGAAATATGGATTGCAAATATTTCTGGGTCTGGAAGGTTGGAACTTGTAATGCTAGCTTTCCATACCTAGATATCTGTATTGCATAGCCAACAAAACTCGCAGCCTCTTTTGTACATGCAAAAACGCAGTTTCTCATGCGATTGCCTATGAGAGAGCGTTCTCGAAAGTTGTCATGCTGGGTTGCATTCGGAACTGGTTCCATCATCCACATTTTAGCATCACAAGTTTCCAGACCCAGACATTTTTGCATTTGATGTGAAACGGCGAGTGCTGCGGTGCGCGAAAATTTCTGGCGTGGAACTGATTGCGAAGGCGGTGCGGGTGAGGCTGATAGACCTGAAGTTGCAGCGGGAAAGCAGCGGTTGTCATTGGTTCTTGTCGAAGACGAAGAGTGGCGGGACAACTACCACGGATTTACTCAAAACAGACCTGCACGCGTTGGTGAAACACGCGGCGAGGGAGGAGCGGAGAAGGTTTAAGAACCTCCAATCGCTTTTGCTCATGCGGAGTCAACTACAGCTAGTAGAACAGGAGCCGAACAACTTGAATAGTACGATGCTCTTGTCGCCGGCAGAGCAGTTACAGTTTGGCGGCTTGGGAGGATTTGGAGGTGGCCTGCTGGGTAGTACCAATTGTGTCGATCCTAGTTCACTACTCCCGGGGCTGACCAACCTCAACTTGCTGCAAGATCATGGCGGGAGGTGGAGTACCAACAACAATAATGACGGTGACACGATAAGTGCGCCGCCAACATCAAATTCTCCAGCAAGACCATGGGATTTTTTGCTGCAGACGCATCAGACATCCAAGCCAGATGGTGTTCTTCACACGGCTGCACCAGTGCAGTTTCTTCCTGAGCAAGCCACGGAAGCAGGGGGGTCAACGAGTTGTAGTAGTATCAGTGCTGGGACAGGGACCTCCACAGCGCCCAAGAAAAACTACGGCGCATGTGAAGAACAAAAACAACAACCGAAACTCGTCTCGCTGGAATCGACTCTGGGGCTCTTGTCGCCGCGTGGTGGTGTTCCTGCAAAAATAAACGCGGAAAAAATGAAGAACAAGGCATCTTCTTCTTCGCAGGTGAGTACCAGCCGGTACGAACAGGATTTGGCTGTTGCGTCTTCTACTGGAGTTGTTTTCTCCTCTACGACTAGTAGGTCTGGTGCACAGGTTGGCGGCACGGAGGACCATAGTACCAGCGCGCAATCGATTATATCAGCAGGTGTTTTTAACAGGAGCTCGACTTCAATGGAGGTGCCACTGCCATGCGTTCAAATTCAAAATCAGAATCCGGCGAAGAAGATTCCATCGCAAGAACACAAATCTACTTCCGACGACCTGTTTCAGAACCTGCCCTCCGGACTGCGGTGCCAGGGGATGGGAAAATCGGAGCATATGAAATGCAAAAATGTCTGGGTCTGGAAGACTTGTCATGCACATTTTGCATGACCCATGACGCCTGTAATGCATGACCCAGCATCAGAGATTTGGTGAGGGCTTTGTGATGCCTATACTGCATGAGGAATACCCCCTCCGCGTAGCAGAAACTGGAATCCGTTCGCTGCTTACGCAATACAGATCTTTTTTAGAACCCAAAGACAGCATGAGAAGTTGCATCCTTCCAGACCCAGACATTTTTGCATTGGATAGAGCAGAGGAAGTTGCAAAAGTACAACGCGATCTCGGCAAAGTATTACAATGAAAAATGCCTCCTCCCCATATCAAAACGGAAATCTGTGATGCAGATTTGTGGTCACAAATCAGCTTTGTCATGCTAGAAGGCAAAAGATGCGGACTGTAGTGCTGTCTAGCGTAGGAATAAACCTATGCGTCTCCAGCATGACAGGAGGCAACTAGACAAGTGGGAAACAGCATGACAGATTACCTGCAATTTAGGCCGCAGCTTCGTCGCTTGGCCTTCTAGCAATACAAGTCGATTTGTGTACTCAAATACAGCATCACAAATTTGCGCATCTTCCGTTTCCGATATGGGGTGGGGGCTTTTTTCACTTTGATACAAAGTGCAGTACTTTGCAGGAGGACCGGGAACTGCTGAAGCGGCAGTTAAGTCGGGATCTGGCGGAGCTGAAGAGCCGGGCAAGTTCGAATAATAATAATGCCACTACAACAACAGCTGCAACTGTAGTACTCCCCGTCCTTGCAGAAGAAGAAACTTCTACGAGGGGAGTAGAAGAAGCAGAACGACCAAGAAAGGCTTGCACAACTTTTTCCACTATACTGGATGCCAGTTGCGCAACATCTGCCGGTACTACTTCAGCCTTCTTTGCGGAAACGACGAACACCACTGCAGCAGACTTTGCTGCCTCTGCTGGTCTGATGCCACCTCCAGGCACCACTTCAAGTTCAACCGATGAACGCGATGGGCCGCCGCGAGAAGTACTAGAGCAGGCGACAGTAGAAAGCTCTTCTTCTGGTCTAGAAGCAGCTTCAACACCAAGCACGGAAGTTGTTGTAGATGTGGACATTATGTGCAAAGTCAGGGAGAATAATTACGCGCTCATGACTTGTTCCGGAGTTGCAGGTTCTGCAACACAAACAGGCGGCAGTTCTTCCTCCTCCTCTGCCGACGTTTCCGTGGTGCTGCAGCCTGAAGGGGGGCAAAAAACTTGTGAGAAAAAGAAGGAACAACACCAGCAAGAACCTGGGACGGCGGAGGAACAAGAGCGCGTGGGAAAACAACTAAACGAGCAGTCAAGTACTTCAAATAAACTCCAGCCCTCGCAGTCTGTCCCAGGTCGTTGTTCCACTAGCAAGGTCGAGAAAACAGGAACAACTTGCTCCGAGCAGAATCTACTGTATAAAAGTTCATCATCCGGTCCCTATCCTGAGTAAAAACGTCCCCACACCTGAGTCAAGATGGGGATTTTGCAACACAAACCTAGGAGTTTTGGGAGTTACGCATGACAAATTGCACTCCGCAGTGTAGTGCAGGTTAGCAAGGGCAGCCGCATCACAAATTCGTCTGCTCATCCTGTTCACAGCATCACAAATTCCAAAACACGATTGGAAATGGCTCTCATGGGGATGCGCATTACAAGTCTTCCTGTCTTTGCAAATCTGCATTACAACTCTGGCGTGGGTACGTTTTTGCACAGGATGCTCCCCTTGTCCCAATCTACCCCGGGCAGGAGCAACTGCAGGAGAAGTTCCTCTATCCATTGCAAAAGTATCGCACTCGTCGTAATCGCAGATATGCATTACAAAGCTCTCTCTCAAGGCAAATCCGCATTACAAATTCCATTTCTAATGCTGAGCAAATTTGTGATGCGATTTCTATCAATACGATGTTTTTGCAGTTCATATCCTCAACCTGAAAGCAACGATCGAAGCTTTGCAAGAAGAAACGGGAAGTTATTGGCAGAGGAAGCTCGCGGGCAGTAAAATAGGAGCGGATGCTCAAAAAGATGAAGAAATACTACACCTAAACGACCTGCGTGAAAACAGTCCGGGATACAAGGATTACCGGGCAAAAATGAAGGAGCTGAACAGGAAACAAGCAGAGTACCAAACTTGGGTTATCAAATGCAAAAGTGCCTGGGTCTGGAAGATTCTAAACTTGTGATGCTGTCTCTGGATTCGAAAAAAAATTGTATTGCATGACCAGTAGGAGGAGTAGATTTTGTGCTCCGCGGAGATGGCGTTTGTCATGGGGAATAGGCATGAGGAGGCGCTCTAAACATCTGTGATGCTAGGCCATGCATCACAGGCATTATGGATCATGCAAAATATGCATGACAAATCTTGCAATCTCCCAGACCCAGACATTTTTGCATTTGATATGGGTTCAGTACAAGCAAAAGCTCGATAATTTGCGTCTCGTAGGGAAAACAAGCCGTGATGACGCTACTGGTAATGCTGCATTACAAGAACCGCCTCAACAAATTCAAGAAGGAGCAACTCAAGAACCGCAAGCGCATTTACTCCGGACCACCAGCGCCGAGAGTTCTTCGTGCACGAGTACGATTTCCGCTGGCAGATTCCACCTTGGTCAACAGGTTTCTGGTGCCCAACAGAACTTGCAGCAGCAACAGCAGCAGAACGTATCAACTGCAAAAATGTCTGGGTCTGGAAAAGTGTAAACTTGTCATGCAGATTTTCCATGACCCATGAGGCCTGGAATGCGGGACTTAGCATGACAGACTCTGCGAAGTCTCTGCCATGCCTCTTCTGCATGAGAAACTCCCTTCCAACTTGGTCAAAAGTGGACAGCTTTTGGCACTCATGCAACACAGATTTTTGCATGCTTCAGATTTACCATGACAAGTTGCCGCCTTCCAGACCCAGACATATTTGCAACTGATAGAACGCGGCTCTGTACCAGTTGCTGCAGCAGCAGTACCAGCAACATATCCTGTGCAAAAGTATCGTACTCGTATTGCAATCATGCATTACAAATCTGTCTCTTAAGGTAAATCAGCATTACAAATTTTATCTCTCATGCTGAGGAAATTTGTAATGCATTTATACGAGTGCGATACTTTTGCAATGTATACAACAGCAACAGCAGCAAATGGTGTTTAATCAGCAGCGGATCCAGCTGCAACAGCAGCAGCAGCAGTACCACCAGGCAGAGGTCAGTTTGAATTGGAAACACCAGCAATTTTTGGAGCAACAGAAGGTCTTATCCCACGAAAAAACTGTTTGACTGTGATGACTTTGCAAGATCTGCATCACAAGTTTCTTACACATAACGCAGAAAATTTGGCATGCGCGCTTGCAAAGGGAAAACGCCCTTAAAGAGTCAAGCTCTTGCAGGTGTAGCAAGACAAATAGTTCTGTGTTCCATTCTATGCATCACAAGTTCACAGTGAAGCAGTTTTTTCTTGCGATAGGTCTTACTGCAGCAAGAACGGGAGGAGTTGGAAAAGCAAAAGGAGAAGGAGCGGGAGCTACTGGAGGAAAAACTGAAAAGAGAATTCCAGTATCAAATGCACATATGTCTCGGTCTGGAAAGTTGCAATGCTGGGATGTGAAGAACAGTCAATACCCTGCACTGCACAGCAGAGCATGAGAAATATGTGCGCGGCTGTAGTGTTGCGCTTTCCGCATGAGAAGCTGCGTTTTTGCATGACAAGCAACAGAGTCTCTTCTTGGACACGCATCACAAGTTTTTCTGTCATGCCAGACAAGCATGGCACACCTTGCGTCCTTCCAGACCCAGACATATTTGCAATCCATATCCAGGAGGAAAAGACAAAGCTGATGTCCTCCTTTAGCTCCATGCTAAAGGCTATCAAATGCAAAAATGTCTGGGTCTGGAAGAATGCATGTTTGTCATGCTTGTCTGGCATGACTCGAGAATCTGTGTTGCATAGGCACGAAAGAGCCCTGCTAACTGTCATGCGAAAAGGCAGTTTGCCATGCGGAATACGTAAGACATGGCAGCCACTAAATTTGTCATGCATAGCTGCGTACTGCGGCGCGTCTATCATTCACTTTTAGCATTACAAGTGTCCAGACCCAGACATTTTTGCATTTGATAAAGGCAAACGCAGAGAAAAAAAGGAAAGAAAAGAGGAAGAAGGAACAAGAAAATAATTATTCGGTCGTGGATCAAGGACAGCCACAGCCGGGAGAAGTCGTGGGCGACAAGGCGATAGAGACGGTGGTATCCACTCTTGCAAATATGTCTGGGTCTGGATGATTGCGAGGTTTGTCATGCAGTTTTTCCGAGCTCCACAGGGTCGGGAATGCGGGGCTTGGCAATACAGGTTCTAGAGCCCCTCGATGATGCTTATTCTGCATGAGAAATTCCCCACCAGCAGGGCAAGAAGTTGGCAATTTTTGCAAGTCATGCAACACAGATTTATTTCGTGTGAGCCACAAGAGGCATGACAAGTTCACTCTTTCCCAGAGGACCCAGACGTATTTGCAGTTGATAGGTGGGAGTAGAAAGCAAATCGCAGTGCTCTTCAGGTGGAAGTAGGAATGGTCTGGATAACAGTAGCATGCTCGCAGATTCCTCCAATATAATTCGGTCGCCAACCGAAACGGCGACGGCTGCGGATAATTTTACAGGGCTGAATTACAGTTATGTGGAGCAAGAGAGCACTAATTTCCTGAACCTATCTGTCCCGAGCGTGAAACCCGATGCGCTTCTTGACGATTCGTTTTCGTCCACTCGAGGTGAGTTATTTGCTGGTGTTGTTTCTCCTCCACTAGTGCATCACCACGACTACACGAATTTTTACCCTAGAAGTTGTACAACCGCCACCCCGCCGCCGATCGGGGGAAGTAATATCCCGACGAACGACGCCAGCGGTAGTTCCTCGAGTAAGACCAGCGCGACCACTGTTGAAGACCAGGGTGCTACTAGTAGTGCCTCGACATCATCTGCGTGTCCTGCAACCACCACCACCAAACTGCCTCTGCAACAAGGTAGTGAAGCCGTCCGGAATTATCCACCCTACCCGGAGTTTGGGCACGAGGATTTTTCGGTGAGCTACGACACCATCGGGGACTACAGCTACATATGGATTGCAAAAATCTCTGGGTCTGGAAGAATGCAGGAGTTTGTCATGCAGATTTTGCATAACCCATGAGGCCTGTGATGCATGCCCCAGCATCAGAGATTTTGCGAGGGCTTTCTGATGCTCATACCGCATGAGAAATGCCCTCTCCGCGTGGCACAAATTACACCTCTTTTGCTGTTCATGCAATACAGATTTTATGTAGAGTCCAAAGGTAGCATCACAAGTTGCATCCTTCCAGACCCAGACATTTTTGCAGTTGATACTACATGGAGAAGTACCACTACTACGATGCGCGGTACGGGTACGAAACGAGTGAGCAGCAAGAAAAGCGGTATTCTGAACAAAAACGTCGCCACCCTAGAGTCAAGTTGGGAACCCGGCAATACAAGTCCAGGAGTTTTTGGAGTCGCGCATGACAAGTTTTTGTCTGTATTATAGCGCAAGTGACTAGCAAGGACAAGCGCATCATAAATCCATCTGCTCACTCTTTTCACAGCAGTATAAATGCCAAAAAATCAAGACTAGAAATTTATGCCTCTCATGGGGAAGATGCGCAATGCAAGCGTTTTCCTGTAATTGCAAATCCGCATGACAACTTCGGGGTGGGGACGGTTTTCCTCAGGATAAGCGGTCGCAGCAGATCCGGGAGAGTTTGCGGAGGGAGATATCGGAAGGAAAAATCCCCCCTCCCCATAAGAAAGGGAAACTTGCGATGCTGGATTTGTGTACACAAATCAGCCTTGTATTGCAGGAAGGCATTGCGTCCAGATCCCCAGTCTAGGTAGGGGCGTTTGGGTCTAGGTGTTCAGCATTACAAGCGGCTGCCCTGTAGGCCCAACAACATGACAAATCGCTTCAATAATGGGACGCAAGCATCTGCCCTTGTCTTCTTGCAAGACAAATGTGATTTGTGACTACAAATCAGCAACAGAAATTTTCGGAAATATGGGGAGGGGGGATTTTTCCTCACAATAGGAGAAGATGCAGGAGATGGAATCCGCGTCGGGACAAGGGGGTGTTGGTGCAGCTATTTTTATGCATTGCAAATATCCCTGGATGTCTACGAACTTGTGATGCTGAGTGGCGATGAGTGAGCATACTCGTGAGTGGAGCGCAGCATGCCAAATTCTGAGGACGCTTTCTGACGCATAATGCGCATTAGAAACTATGCTTTTGCGTGACAAAACGGGGCTTGTTTTTGTTAGTTATGCAATACAGATTTTAGTTTTACAGGAATCTACGACACACAATAGATACAGGTTCCACTTTTATTCCAGACCCAGACATGTTTGCAATGCATAGCCATGATGCCGAAACAAGATCGAGATGATCCTCACGGTGCGCCTGGATACTTCTACGACTTTTACGCTCAAGAAATTAGCGCGCCGCAGCCTTTGGATGACGAGGATGAATTTGGAAAAGACCACGGTATTAGAAGAAAAACTACGACGAGTTCTTGTTCTTCAGGCGCTTGTGAAGATGATGTTGTTCGTCCGGATATTAATTTTTACCTGCAACACGAATATGAGCGTTTTTATAGAAGTACAACACCTCGTGACCACGACGAGCCATCTTCATCACGCGGGGCGGGCAAAAACAGTGGAGACCACACTACCACACCTAGTACGAAGATATCTTCTGGACGAACATCAGCCGCGCTGGTGTCTAAGAAGGAGAAAAAGGCTGCAAAGGAGAAGAAAAGCAAGAAATGAGAGAACCTCGAGTACCTCCACGCAGCGGTTTCCGGTTTTAGTTTTGACGCTGCTTACTTGTTACAAAGGTTCTTTATGCGAACTTGATGTCTGCCGCACAGGGCCGCAGAAGTGCTGTGCGGGCGGTGTTGCAGATAAATGGCTACGCTGATACGACTTCGCGGGTCCGCGATGGTCGTGCGCAAAGACGGGCTGCCGTGTCGTGGATACACAGGACGACAGTTGTCCGTGGACGAGGACGGAGAAAAGATGTAAGTCTCAACTTTTCTGCGCCGCGCCAGCCATCGGCCTTCTTTCGATTTCTGCAACAGATAAACAGGTGGAAAACCAAGGCGAAACTTTACGTTTGCACCTTATATATAAACGAAGAGTCTACATCTTCTGACATTGCATTCTCATTTCCAAAAAATATCTATACCTGGCGGCAGTGCTACATACCGATGGGCAATTCGCATTTTTTCACTCTGTGCCTTTACTCACATTGTTTCACCTGCATATCATGATGTCGAGACCTTAGTATTACAAGAACTCCACTTTCTCTTCCTGGCGTGCATGTTGTACTCTCCTGCCGCACTTCTTCAAACGTGGTTGCTATATATGTAGCTGATTTTTTTGTAACACTTACTGTTAGTTGTACTGCCTCATCTTCGTGTAAAAATATTCATTGCAAGAATTTTCTGTTTCAAGTGTAGAAGAAGTTCCAACAGAGCTGCTGCTGATAGAGAACAAAATGTAGTTGCGACGTCTATCAGTGGTCCGTCGCGTCAATCGATCCTGCATCTGCTTCACGGTAAGTAGATGGGAAAAAGGAATCACCTTTCTATGCACGCCTAAAGCGACATGGAATTATGATTTTTCCCCTCTGCCATAATTATAGTGCATCTATTAGTTGGCCGCCGCGCATGATGTCGCATTCTTTGTCGAGGAAGTGTCAACATTAAACGGAACTTATCTGTATTATGCATCGATGATCCGCTCTACTCCATGGCTCTCGTTTCGCTTTTGATAGTGCACGATCCGCGGCATGATTATAGAGAGCTTTTTCACAAGGTAGAAGTGCACGACGGGCGGCGGTTAATGGCAACCAAATTTTCGTGTTCTTAAGCTTCACTGTATTTTTGTTCGGTGACGTAATAATTCTTGACCAGCATGTTGGAAAAGCGACGGTCTGCAGCCGACAAAAGGCAATGCCTAGTTCACTTCTTGATCAGAATATTACAGAAAGGCTCACAGGTCAATCATTGAAGACGAAGTGCACCTGTGAGTGGATCATGATGCTCCCAGAATTCAAACAAAAATGACCAAGATCGAAAAGAACGCAACTCAGAAAATTGTCGGTAATTGAAAACCAAAAATGCGGGGGCTGGTGTAAGTACAAGACGAGCAGCTATTCGGTCGTATGTTGTGTACATGTACATGACAATCTCAAATCAATCTGACACTAGTCCTCACGCACGATCGCCTTTATTGTTGACTCAAGTTTCTTGCTGCCGCTGGGCCGTCACATAAATCTCGATCCGACAAATCTAGGTCTGATTGTGTAAAAGTAAAAGGAGAAGGTATGATCACTCCATTCATTTCTCGGGTATTTGTGTAGTTGATGTTGTACCTATGCCTACTAGTATTAACTCGACACAGGAAATAAAATCCGCTTGGATTTATTTTGGTATGATTTTATTCGCTTTTACAACGCAGAACAGATAGGTTACAACGCAGAACAGACTTCACTTTTCAGAAACAACAGCTCCTACGTTGAAGCAACTTTTACTTTTTCAACAAACAAGTTGTACTTTTTGGACTCTGAAAACTTCGACGTCTTAGTAACTTTCGAAAATAAACCTTTCTCTGGTGACGAAAAATAGCTCTCCTGTATCTTTACTTTTTCTTTTTCTCAGGCTTACGAGGCCAAAGCTGCTGTAGCCACCTAGTACTGTATTTTTTTTGAACTAGCAGTAGCATCGTGAGAGGAAGGTAAACCCTTCACACGGAACAAGCCACGACTCCATCCCTAACAAACAAACAAAGCTTGGACGCATATTTTTCCGTGCTGGCTTATTTCGGCTACGAAATAACTGCCCCTCAACATATCACACCAACAGCAAGGTGAAGATGTGGAAGATGAATCTCCTTTACAACAAATCGCCTCGCATCTTCGTCGCCGGCGTCGTATTATTATTTCTTCACACTGCAGCTCTTCTACAACACCACTCCCACTCCGTGAAGATTTTTGCGGATGGGGCCTTGTTGCGCCCGCGGGGGACCAGTGCACCACCTCCCGCGAGGTCTGGAGTTCTTCCACCCCTTCTCGTCGCACCACTTGACGGCGGCCGTCGACGCTCTTCACGGAGCGCGGGGCCCACGACCCGTTATTCTCGCATCGAAAAGGACCACGTAGAAATTTCTGCGAAAAAGAATGTCGCAGACAGCAAGGATCTTCCCCGCCTACAGTTTTTTTCCATGGGCGGAGAAAATGTGGTGAACGCGGTACCTTTCTGGAAATGGCAAAACTGGACGGTGGAAGAACTTTACACCCACGTGGAACGAGAGATCAAGCAAGAAGACAACGGGAGGCGTAGGGAACTTCCCTGTAGAAAGGTGGATCTGGTTCCCCAGGTGCTACATCTTGGCGGGGAAATCCACCTTATCACGGAGCCCTTAGACCGCCGTTCGGTGGGGTCGGAAAATCGCGGAGAGCGGCGCTTGTCGACAGTTCTGCAAGTAGATGAACTGGTGCTCAAGAAGGATAATTCTGTGTCTGTCGTGGCAGGAGAAGCGAGTGCAAGTCGAACTTCTGCGACGCAGCGGGAAGGAGCAGACCACGTCGACGCTGCTTTTAAATCTGACGTGATGTTCCAGGTTCTGTTCCACGCTGCAGGTCGCAAAAAGTCGTTCCCGAACAAATCACGGCTCCGCGAGGCGATTGCGCTCTGGCGGGAAGACGAGGACTTCGAAGCCAACGGAGCGGCGCGGGAGTGGATTGTGAACGAGTTTGGGCCGGTGGCGGAGTGGAACCTCTGTGACGTCAAGAACCTATCCAATTTGTTTAATCCGGCTCTGGTGGGGACCGGGTTCCACTCCTCCTTTCAGATCACGGACTGGTACACCCGGGGCGTCAAGAACATGCACGCTCTCTTCAGTGGCTGGACCGAGTTCGACCAGGACATTAGGCGGTGGGATGTCCGTGACGTGACCAACATGAGCTTCGTGTTTTCGGGCGCGGCGAATTTTAACCAAAACCTTGGCAGCTGGGATGTGAGTGCTGTAACGCTTATGAGGAATATGTTTGAGGGGGCGCGTAGGTTCAACCAAGATCTGAGTGGATGGGATGTCAGCGGGGTAAAAGACTTCTGCTCGATGTTTTACAAAGCCGTGGCTTTCAATCAACCGCTCGACAGCTGGGGGAGCAAGCTGGATAAGATGCCTCAGTCGGTCAACATGCAATACATGCTGGCGGAAGCGACGGCGTTCAACCAAAGCTTGAAAAGCTTCGAACCCCGTATGCTCCGCGATCTGAACCAGGTCGCGCACATGCTCCTTCGCGCAGACAGTTTTCGCTATGGCGTCCTCGACAATTTGAGTTTGCAGCACCTGGACACTTTGGGGCCGATACTCTTACTCTAAAGCACCGGTTGTAAAAATGAGCGATTGAATTTGAAATAAACCGGTAGTACGACAATGACATGGGTAGTAAATCTTTTCGAAGATTCTTTCTGGACCGATGGACTCAATTAACTTGTGCGAAGACGAGATCTTCATGTAGTCAGCTTAAGATTTATTTTTAGATAATGCCTGCTGCATATGCATAAGCAATTCGTAATTAATATAGTACTGTACAACTGCAATACCTAGACTTGCGCCCGTTCGTGAGCCCGGCCGCCTGCACCGCAGCTGCCTGTCTTTTATTCTACAATAATATGCCCGAACAACCCGAAGGCGAACAGCATAGATCTTCGCTGTGGCACGGCTACTGAATAGTGTTGGACTAATTCATTTGATAAAGAACTTTTTACTATGTTTTTGGATCGTACATTCTTGCAACTTCCTTGCGAGTAATCAGATAAGCGGAGAAATTGAAATTCTTTGCAGAAATCAGTATTTTGTGCATGCTTTTATTTTACTCAGCCCCTTTCCGTATTTTTCGGAATTGATTTGATTTTAGTCATTTTGAAATTTAGACATCAAGCAAAGCTGATGTGTATCCAAAGCTGAAGAGAACAAGCAGCGCGACCACGTAGTAAGTCGAAGTTAGAACTTTGAAAAGGAAAAAGCAAGAAGCAAATCCTTGCAAGAAGCATTCTACTCGTGATCATTCCGTGCGAAATGAAAGAGTAGAGGCATAATTCCTCGTACAACCTATTTGTTCTTCTACAAGATTCGACTACAGCTGCACAGCGGAATAGTACAGCCGGTGTTCTAGTACTCTGAAGACGAGAGACGACGCAACAAGTGAAGAGGAATTATGCGACGAGCAGGCTATAGGTGAAAGAACTGAGAGCAGTTGGTGGTCTCCTTTTGCTTGTTCCACGTGGTCAGCGTTAGTTTTTCACAGCGTTGTGCAGCTTCTGGCTTTCAACGACCACACAAGGAGTCTTCAGTTTGGCACGTATAGGACCTTGACTTCTTTGTGGAGGCAGCAGATCTCGTTGTACTGCTCGTGGTGCACTGCTCTTTTATAGTTGTTGGCGCTACAACCGCTTCTTACTGTCACTGTCGGTCCGCGACGTGGCAATATCTGCGCTTCGGCATGAGAAATAAACTGAAGTTCGATTGTTAGATGTAAAGGCTCAACCCTAGTCTGCCACTGTAGCTCTCCTCTACATCTTCAAACGTGTACAACAGAAGTCGATAATCCCTATAATTACCGTCAAGTACTATAGATTAGCTGCGTTCTTTCGGAATACGGTGGAAGACCATCTATATTTTATAGCTAAGACGACGCGTGTTTAGGTTTACTACAGGCTGCTGGTCACTATGATCACCTAAGAAGCACCGGCGTCAACATTGTTCTGAAAACCCCAAGCAGAGCAGCTGCGGAGTCACGAGGCGGCGACTCGCAGGACGGCCTGTGCAGCAGCACCGTTGGACAAATAAACGCCGGGAGCTGGTGCTGCGCGCGAAGAGGACTCCGCGTTGAGGTTTACCAAACGATGGCATCATCGAGGAGCAAGCTTGTCTACTTCCTGTCCGCCGCTTCTGCGGTGGAAGGCTTGTCTGTGTTGCACAAGATCAAGGGGAAGCACGGTGGGCAGAAAACCCACCTGAAAAATAAAGTCGCAGCACATGAGGATTCATCATCTGCGACGGCAAGTAGAAGTGCGCATGAGCATCACATTGGTGTCGGTCACAAGAAGAAAAAACACCAGCACCAAAAGAAAAGCGCGAAAAAACCCGTGGACTTGTCAATAACAAAGAACTATCAAATGCAAAAAATGTCTGGGTCTGGAAGAATGGCAGGCTTGTCATGCAGGTTTTCCATGGTCCATAATGTGTGTAATGCATGAGCTAGCGTCACAGATTTTTCGAGGGCTTTGCGATGCCTCTACCGCCTGAGAAATGCCCTCTCCGCGTAGCGCAAACTGGAGCCCTCTTGCTGGTCTTGCAATACAAATTTTTTATAGAATCCAGACACAGCATCAAAAGTGTAGAACCTTCCAGACCCAGACATAGTTGCATTTGATAAGAGCCGTCCGGCGGTAGATATTGACCCACGACTGAAGCCCTTGCGACCTCCGCAGGGTGACAGAACAGCCGATGCTGGCGTGGTCCCGGGAACAAAAGGGATGGAAGGCGGAAAAGTCGTCGGTAAAACCATAAGTTGTTTTTGTTGCAGATGACAAATAAAGGATCATAAACTTGTAATGCGATGAAGCAGACAGCAGATATTTTTTTTTTCAGTTCCAACCAATGAGCCCGAACTTTGTCGTGGACCAATAAAACAAATGAAAATCATTAAGGAAATCAAAAGCAAAAATACGCTACAACAGCCCACTTTCCGCACGCCTACCACCCCGAAGCGCATTCGCACAACGGGATTCTGCCGGACAGCAGTGCGCCCAAATACACCGGTATCGCACGAAAAAACTGTCTCAGTCTCAAACCCTTGCGGAGTCAGCGTTGCAAATTTGCGAAGCGAGAAACAACAAGGACAAATCTCTGATGCGTTCAAACAGCAAGAGAAAACACGTACGAGAGACGACTTTCTTGGATCTCCAGCATGAAAAAAAACTTTCTCAAGGAAGTTGCGCATTACAAGTTGAGACTGAGACAGTTTTTTCTCACGATAACCGCTGACCAGGAGGAGCTAGAGTACGGTGATCCGCAACTGAGTCTATGCATTGCAAATGTGTCCTCTGGGCGGTCAGTCTGGAAAGTTGTGATGCTACTGCGCGGATGATGCGTAACCCCCCTTACGGGGCCGACCATGACAAATTTCTGAGCGAGGACTACGTTTAGCGTAAATCGCATGGCAACTCGCATTTCTGCATGAGAACTACAATATGGTGCTATAGCGCAACACGCATGACAGACTTCTCTCTCTTTTGTTAGACAAGCATGACAAAGATCATCCAGACCCAGACAGATTTGCATTTGATAGAGTCACAAGCACCGCAATGGCAAGCATAATAGCAAGCACGCAAAGCACAAGTCGCAAATCCAGCGGCGGTACACAATCAACAGCAAAACCGGACTAGAGACACACGAGCCAGACCAGTGTGCGGATATCAAGAAGTATGCAAAGAAAAAAGTTCTACAGTTGCACGTTGCGTTGCAAAACATGCAAGACAAACAACCTCTGTCATGCGCAAGATGCTTGTGAGCCTCGTTTCATGCGTGTTTTGCCTTCTGATCTCTGCATTTACAAGCTTTCTCTGTGGTCATGCAAGGCAGATTTGTCATGCTGAATCCGCTTGCAACGTGTAAGTATAGCACTTTTTTCCTTGGATAAGAAGGAGTTCCCAACCGATGAGGAAAAGCACACGACTATCCTGAGTAAAAGAACCGGCGTTATTTCTCATGAGAAGCATTGTCTATATTGTAATTACGTTTATCGATTTCTTGCCATGCAGCCCTTGGTAAAAATCCGGGTCAGACAGGAACTACAGCGCTGTAGAAGGTACTGTCATGAGCAACTACGACCCTGGCCGCCCCATGACTTGTCTACTACACTTTCCTTCCTGAGGACTCTGGCGTGTGAGCAACAAGAGAGTTCCCGTAGTTTTTTTTACACAGGATAGCGCCCTGCTGTCTGGAGCATGCGAACCCACTTCTGGCGCATCAGAAAACATTATCAGAGTGCACAACTCCCCCTCTCCCTCATTTGCGTAGCATGAACTACGGCAATGTAAGCATCAGCAAGAGTGCCGGTTTTGCATGACAAATTTGCGCTGGAGTGTAGTGCTATTTGGGCTACCAGAACTTGTCATGCATAATAGTGACAAGAGGGAAGGCGTGGAGTTAATATTTTGCATGAGAAATGAGAACGAGGGGGAGTTGTACACTCTCATAAACATACACGGTCGAGTTGAAGAATTTTCAGAACGTGCAGTACTTCGGGGACATCGGGATTGGTAGTATGATGTAAAGAACACGCCCCCGGTGGCCCGTATCTCCGAGTGGAGGATAGAAAAGGTCAAGAAATGAGAAAGAGTTTATTTCGGGTTGCATTTTTGTTGCGTGGTTCTGGGCCCTGTGATGATCCACCACGTGATCATGATGGTTATTTGGTCTCGAAATCAGCACCGACGTGGCCATGGAAAAGAATTTCTTAACGCGACCCGCTAGAGGCAATGCATGGCTGTGTGCTACTACTTTATTTTCACCTCTACAGCTGCACTCCTCCCACCAGGGTCGTGTTTTTTCCCTCGGATACCCGGCAAAGGCGCGGCTGGCGCTGCGTTTGCCCTGGCTGACCAAACTGGAACTGGCGAGAGTGTAGCGGAAGGTGACCAAGATGCTGGAATGAGCGCATTACAAGTTTCCTCTTCTTCCAAACAAGAACCAGGAGCGGACAGCACGGCTTTAGCGTCCGCCGGTGGGGAGATGGCGTACTTTCCGGCGATTTACGACACCGGATCGTTTGAGATCCTGGTTTTGTCTGCGGAGTGCGAACAGTGCAAGGGGCCGGGGTACAATCCGCAAGACACACCGCTGTACGACTCGAAAAGCTCGAACACCTTCGCTCTCTTCGCCACAGAGGAGGAAAACAAAGATATCGTACGAAAAAATTGTTTCACTGTGGACCTGTGATGCAGAAAATGGAACACAGAAACATTTGTCTTGCTAGACCTGCAAGAAAGTGGATTTTCAAGCGTGTTTTCCCTTGGGAAGCGCGCATGACAAATTTTCTGTGTCATGTGTAACAAACTTGTGATGCAGATCTTGCAAAATCATCACAGTGAAACAGTTTTTTCGTGGGATAAAAGAAGCAGAAGATGCGATGAAGGCCTGCGAAAAGGAAAAATCCGGGGATGAAGTGTGTGAGTACAGGGTATAAAAGTTGGTTTATGTTCTTGTTCGGAAATTTGTGATGCAGAAATTATCCACTTGATAGAAGAAGTTTGTCATGCCGTGAGTACCTACCTGAAAAAGCGAAGAAGTCTTTGGAAATAATCCAAATGCGACGAGATAAATCCACCTGCAAACATAAGTAACATTATACACAGCGCGTGTCCGCGCAGCACATGTTCGGATCCGGGTATCAAATGTAAAAATGTCTGGGTCTGGAAGAATGCAACTTGTGATGCTGCATTTGGATTCCAGAAAAATCTGTATTGCATGAGCATCAAAAGGAATGTAATTTTTGCTACGCGGAGAGGGCATTTGTCATGCGGAATAGGCATCAAGAAGCTCTCAAAAAATCTGTGATGCTAGGGCATGCATCACAGACATCAGGGCTCATGCAAAACGTGCATGACAAGTGTCAGAATCTTCCAGACCCAGACATTTTTGCAGTTCATACTGGGCCGACGCAGTCCATTCGCGGGTACGAAAACGTGAAAATGGGTCGGGATGAAGATTTATGCTGTGCAAAAGTATCGTACTCGTATAAATGCATTACAAATTTCCTCAGCATGAGAACTGGATTTTGTCATGCTGTTTTACCTTAAGGACAAGATTTGTCATGCATAAACGCAATTGGTACGAGAACGAGTGCGATACTCTTGCAATTCATAAGATTCGCCGGTTTTGGAATACTTTCCCTTTTGGCAGGTGGTGCAGCATCAGATCGCCGCCTGGGAATCCGGGGCGAAATTTTCCGCGATTGTCGGTCTGGGACCCCGGGACCACGTGCCGGGAATGAGCGACACTAGTATTGATTTGTTTCTGTTAGTAGTTTGTCATGCGTTTGCAAATGCAATCATAGTACTCACTTGAATTATGCCGACAGTAGTTCTTGTGAACAACAGTTGCAGTCCTCTACTCTGGTTTTTATGGAGCGCAAGTTAGTCCCTGTGATGAGTAAAAAGTTAAAAGCGATCCAAAACCGACGTTTCGGAAGCTGCATTGTGCAGAAGGAATGAGTATGGTCTACTATGGTTTATGCAGTATGATTAAGAAAGAAGTAGTCTATTCGGGGACTACCTTGCGCTTTATATCTTTCGGAACTTTTGCAATCCACAGATGAAGACTCTATGCGAGTGTGAGACAAATCCAGACAAAGCGCGCGCGCTTGCTCGAGGCAATCACTCAGAGGCTTTTTTCTGGAACTGCGGGCCGCCAAGCTGCAGACGCAGGTCTCTTGTCATTTTCCCGGGCGCTTCGTGCTCTCGCCCATGCCGGCCAACCCCCGCCATGACTCTGCGAACGGAACCCAGCAGGAGCCGCCAGAGTCTCTGTGAGGGTGGGGGCGCCGGCCTTGGGTACTTTCTGCAGCAAAGCATACGCCGCGGCCTTTTTTTTCAACTCGGAGTCGCCAAAGTACAGGGAAAAGCCTTTTTTGTTGTTCAAAAAAGCAGAATGTGGCGCAAAAGAGACAGCCGAGCTCGGGAATAGAGGGAGCGGGATGATGGCGGCGCGCTGTTGGCGCGCCTCTTTCTCGTCGCCCTGAGTCTGCGCGCGCCTTGTTACACGTCCCTTGTGCTTGCCCAAGGCGGTACGGTGCCGCGCGCAGCCGCAGGCAGTTCGTGTGCCCCCCTTCTTACCTTCTTCTCTCTCCGTTGTCCAGTTCGAACCCCTCCAGGGGAAAGAAGCTTACTTTTCTCGTCAGTTCGAACCCCGCCAGGGGAAAGAAGCTTACTTTTCTCGTCAGTTCGAACCCCTCCAGGGGAAAGAAGCTTAGTTTCCCACTCAGTTCGTTCTCTCTTTATTCATCTTCTCTGTTTTCAGTTCGTTGTTCGTTTACTAAAGTTGTAAAACTCGAAAACTAGAACCACATATCTTTCGGAACTTTTGCAATCCACAGATGAAGACTCTATGCGAGTGTGAAGATGGCTTGGTGGGAAGATGGCTGATGCGCGGCTCTTACAGTGCAAAGAGTTCGCGTGCTTCAGCTGTTTTTCAGGCTATCTTCGGGTGGTGGTTTGAAGAAGTGGATTTGCCTTTTTACATTTGGAGCGCCAATGCTGGCGTCTCAGACAGGTCGCAGCGCGATGTGCTGCGTCCGCTAGATCACGACATACCCGCGGGAACTTCCCGGAACTTAGTCACGATTGGGAGCAAGACCCCGCAGCGCCGCCCGGGTTCCGGGCTCCACCGCGGGGCCCTACCCCGGCGCGTTTCCCACGTGCTCGCTACCTAGCTACAACACAGCCCCGCGCGCCTGGATCTCTGCACCGACAGAGCCAGGCTGCCCCGTTGAGTCACATTTGGGGAAGATGTTCGGCGGGCCATGTCGTGTTCCACGGCTTGGCCCACCTTCACGTCCGGGGCGTGGCTCTGTGGGGTTTGAGAGCTTGGCTTGCGCGGCTTGCTACTTGTAGCTTGCTGTGCCGGCCGGGTTCTCTTCTTGCTGGCCAGTGTGACCGTCGCAGGGCGTCCCGCGACGAGGACTGCAGCGCGCGTCAGCACTGCCTTCGATTATCATCGTTTCCGCGCGCTTTCGCTCGTTGGGTGAATTGCGCTAGGAATGTGAATTTATATGTCGTGCGTAGCAGTTATATCAATTTACATGATCAAGCAAGAGGGTTGCACACTCCGACATCGGGCTGGCTGCCCGATGTCGACCAGCTTCCGCTGGTTCTCTGTCCTCTATCTAGAATCTCCGCTTCGTCTGGGCTTGCCTGGACTCGGCGTTTTTTCCCCGCCCTCCCACCCAGCTGCTGCATCTTCATTGCGAGAGACTCCACATTTTTTCACTTTTGCAATCCACAGATGAAGACTCTATGCGAGTGTGAAAGCGAGTTGTAGGCTGTCTTTTTAGTTTTACGCCTACTGGCATTGATGGAACGAATCGCGACGCAAAGTTATTCTGTTGTCATGCTTACATACAATGCCACCTATCTATGTCGTGGCGGCAAGAAAGCGGTATGTCGTTATTTCTCGTTGACGGAAAAACTATGCGATGCCAGCAAAACTAGAAAAGGACAGCATACCATATCGTTCGCTCCCATACCTCGTGGGTGCGACAGCAATCCGCACAGGACGATAGACTACAATCTGATATGGCTTGCTCAGATGTTACAATCTCAAACGTGAGGACGATGAAGTCTGGAATTTGTGTTGCATGAACAGCATGGGCACCATACAGAGACTTGCGCTTTTCGCATTACAAATAAAGAAGTAGTCTATTCGGGGACTACCTTGCGCTTCATACCTTTCGGAACTTTTGCAATCCACAGATGAAGACTCTATGCGAGTGTGAAGATGGCTTGGTGGGAAGATGGCTGATGCGCGGCTCTTACAGTGCAAAGAGTTCGCGTGCTTCAGCTGTTTTTCAGGCTATCTTCGGGTGGTGGTTTGAAGAAGTGGATTTGCCTTTTTACATTTGGAGCGCCAATGCTGGCGTCTCAGACAGGTCGCAGCGCGATGTGCTGCGTCCGCTAGATCACGACATACCCGCGGGAACTTCCCGGAACTTAGTCACGATTGGGAGCAAGACCCCGCAGCGCCGCCCGGGTTCCGGGCTCCACCGCGGGGCCCTACCCCGGCGCGTTTCCCACGTGCTCGCTACCTAGCTACAACACAGCCCCGCGCGCCTGGATCTCTGCACCGACAGAGCCAGGCTGCCCCGTTGAGTCACATTTGGGGAAGATGTTCGGCGGGCCATGTCGTGTTCCACGGCTTGGCCCACCTTCACGTCCGGGGCGTGGCTCTGTGGGGTTTGAGAGCTTGGCTTGCGCGGCTTGCTACTTGTAGCTTGCTGTGCCGGCCGGGTTCTCTTCTTGCTGGCCAGTGTGACCGTCGCAGGGCGTCCCGCGACGAGGACTGCAGCGCGCGTCAGCACTGCCTTCGATTATCATCGTTTCCGCGCGCTTTCGCTCGTTGGGTGAATTGCGCTAGGAATGTGAATTTATATGTCGTGCGTAGCAGTTATATCAATTTACATGATCAAGCAAGAGGGTTGCACACTCCGACTTCGGGCTGGCTGCCCGATGTCGACCAGCTTCCGCTGGTTCTCTGTCCTCTATCTAGAATCTCCGCTTCGTCTGGGCTTGCCTGGACTCGGCGTTTTTTCCCCGCCCTCCCACCCAGCTGCTGCATCTTCATTGCGAGAGACTCCACATTTTTTCACTTTTGCAATCCACAGATGAAGACTCTATGCGAGTGTGAAAGCGAGTTGTAGGGTGTCTTTTTACAATTACTGGCATAGAAGTAGGAAACCGGACGACGGAGGATTCATTTTTGCACACTGTTGCCATGCATGTTGCCGTGCTCAGTATGCCGCAATTATCCCCTGTCTCAGTCTCGTTGGCAGAAAAATAAACATTGCTTTATGCCAGTAAAAGACAAAGCACAGCATACCACATCGTTCGCTCCCATACCTCGTGGGTGCGACAGCAATCCGCACAGGACGATAGACTACAATCTGAAAGTTCGCTTTTTTTTCCTGGCCTACAAAAATGGGAAAAGACCTCCAGGTGAGCACCCCAGTGAGCAGAACAACACGGAAACGCTGCTGGAACGCGGAGACGTGAACAAATTTTCCATCTGTTATGCAAGAAAAAAACTGTGTAAGTGTAAGTCTGTGATGCAGGAAATGCTAAACTGTTACACTTGTCATGCTAGAGGTGCGTCATAGGCCACTTTCATGGGTGTTTCCACGTACTAGCTGCGCACGACAGGTTTTCCCTGTAATGCAAAGCGAATTATTGTGATGCTGATCTTCCTACAAAGTATACACTTACACAGTTTTTTTCCTGGATATCTGTCTCAGTCGGGGCAACACGGCGGACCAGGCAATTGCAGAGTCGCAACAGGAGCAGCAGGCGCAAAACTGGCCGCCGGGCTACCTCACCTTCAACGCGAACTCTGATCAGGGCGAAACGCAGGTCGAGGTCGTCGGAAAGGTGCACTGGGCGGTCCACATGACAAAGTTCGGCATCAAGCACGGAAACGACTATGAGAGTGCACAACTCGTCGTCTCCCTCCCTCTCATGCAAAACACCAACGCCACCCTTTGCCCTTTGCCACTACTATGCATGACAGATTCCGAAAGGTGCCGAAACAGCACTAGAATCTTCGATCACCAGGCTCCTGTCATGCAAAAACTGCATCTTTGCCAAAGCTTGTCTTGCTGTCGATGCTATCCAAATTATGGGGGAAATAAGTTGTGCACGCGCATAAAGGCACCAGTACTTTCATCAACTTCTGCGACAACGAATTTTCGGAGGGTGCTGGCTGCGCTGCCATTATCGACTCCGGCACTTCCCTGCTCGCCGCCCCGTCCGCCGTCATCGACGCGCTCCAACAGAAATTGCAGATCAAGGAGGACTGCTCGAATTTGGACACCTTACCCGATTTGGAGTTCACGTTTGGCAAGGGGACGCAGTTTGTCGAGCAGTTTAAACTGCCGCCGAGTGCGTACTATGCATTGCAAATATCTACTCTGGACGACGTCTGGAAGGATGCAAACCTGTGATGCGCGTTTCGGATCACACAAAAATCTGTGATGCGTGGACAACATAAGCAAAAGCGGGCCAATTCTTGTCATCGAAATGATCGGGGATTTGTCATGCGCATAATAGGCATTGGGAACCTTGTAAAAACTTGTGATGCTATTGCTAGCGCTAGAGGTTCTCGCATGCCAGACCATCTCAGCCATGCAAAAACAGCATGACAATAAACATCTGCCCGCATGATCCAGAGGACCACCCGGGGATATTTGCAGGGGATACGTACGTGATGAAGATTCAGCACTCCGAAGACACGACCTCCGTGCAGGACTGGTTTTTCGGGCAAAGGAAGTCCACGCAGTCGGTCGCCTATCCTGCTGTAAAAGTTGTATTATCCGATCGCACTTCAATGTCCACCTAATTGCAAGAATACTACCTAGCATGACAGATCTGTTCTCTACAGGGAAAATAGCATGGCAAATTCTTGTTCTATTTTTCATTGCCGAAACAAAAATTTTGCAATGCAATTTCAGTACATCACTACTGATGCGATCGCGATGCTTTTCTGCACCTGCATAGTGCCTGCATCCCGGCCTTCATGCCCATGGACAAGCAGGACGCCAGGCTGGGGAACGTGTTCATCATGGGCATGCTATACAAAGAAAAAAGTGTTACAACAGCGACACGTTGTATTATTGCGTATTAAGCAAGACAGACGCGATCTCTTATGCCGGATGTGCATAGGAGAATGGTTCCCATATGTGTTTTTCCTTCTGATCTCTGCATCGCAGGTTTATTTTTCTGTCATGCGGAGATGACAATTTGTGTTGCTAAATGGAGACCACAGGAGGTGTTGTCACTGAAACGCTTTTTCCTGTGATACATGTCGTTCCTCCGCCACTACCGCACCACCTACGTCCGCGCGGTGGGCTCGTGTCTATGAGGGTGCACAACTCCCCCTCCCCCTCATTTGTATGGCATGAACAGCATCACAAACACCAACACAAGTGGAGCCTGTGCATGACAAGTTTACGCACCGAATGTAGAAGTCGTGTTTTGGCTTCCGGAATTTGTCATGCAAACACTGCCACAATACATCAACGGCATTTATTGGGGTTTTGCATTACAAATGAGGGGGAGGGGGGGTTGTGCACTCTCATAGTGTCCACCGAAGATGTACTTCGACGAGGTGGATAACAACTGCAACAAGTATCGCAAGAAAAAACTGTTTCACTGTAAACTTGTGATGCATAAAATGGAACACAGAAGCATTTGTCTTGCTAAACATGCGAGAAAGTGGATTTTTAGCTGTGTTTTAGATCTCTTGGTGCTTCGGCACTTCGAGGTTTAGGGTCGGAACGTTCTCAGCACTGCTGAAGCTTAAGAAGAAAGGGGCGTGCACGCCCTGGCCTTCAGTTTGCTCCGCCATTATCTTTTTGACGATCGCTTTACAAATCCTCCTTTTTTGCTCTGCCTCTTGTTCCCCGGGCCCAACTGGCACCAAGCAGTTTTTTTCCGGGCTTTTTTTCCGGTCTAGGTTTAGGTAGGGCCCCACCGCCGCCGGCACGGGATGGCTGTCGTCGCGACCGTCTCACCTACGATCTACGCCTTCTCCTGCTGCACAAGTTCGATCCGGAAAGGGTTTAGGTTAGGTTTCAGGGTTTAGGATATCCACTTTTAGCTGTGTTTTCCCTTAGGAAGCTCGCATGGTAAATTTTCTCTGTCATGCGGAACAAACTTGTGATGCAAAAGTTGCAAAATCCTTACAGTGAAACACTTTTTTCCTGTGATAACAAGGTCGGGGGGAGTGGTAGCGGTGCCGCGGGTGAAAATAAAAGTGAGACTACGGGACTCAACAGCGAAGACACCGACATGGCGTTGCTCCACTCGTTATGGATTGCAAATATGTCTGGGTCTGGAAGGTTGCAACTTGTGACGCTGTTTTTGGATTCTAAAAAGATGTGTATTGCATGAGCAGCAAGAGGAGCCCAGTTTGTGCGACACGGAGAGGACATTTCTCATGCGGAATAGGCATGAGAAAGCCCTCGGAAAATCTGTGATGCTGAGTCATGCATCAGAGGCATCAGGGGTCATTCAAAATATGCATGGCAAGCCTAGCAATCTTCCAGACCCAGATATATTGGCATTCGATACTCGTCATCAGAAGTGGAGTCCCGCAGTGACCAGGCAAACAGTGCGGAGCTGCGGCTGAAGAAGATCCAGCGGGAAGTGGTGCACATCGATCCGAAGAAAATCCGGATTCCGAATTGGGCGAAAGGGGACGCGAAGGGGATTGTGCTGTGATGAACCACACGATTGTTCGGAACAGAAATTTGTGTTGCGTTTCCTGAACTACAGGCGAGGACAGCAGGCGTAACTACGATTTTTACTGGTTAAATTGAATGAGGAGGTGGCGCTGGCGACACGGAATGGCGCGCTCCACTTCCCAGAATTACCGGTACCTACAGCGGTATCCTGAGCAAAAATGTACCCACCCCAGAGTTGTCATGCAGATTTGCAGCTACAGGGAGATTTGTAATGCGCATCCACATGAGAGGCGTTTCCAATCGCGTTTTGCGCTTTGTAATGCTGTCGACAGGATGAGAAGATGGATTTGTGTTGCGGCTGTACTTGCTAAACTGCACTACAATACAGAGACGAACTTGTCATGCTGGACCCCCAAAACTTCTCGATTTGTGTTGCGAGATCCCCAGCTTGACTCTGGTGTGGGGACGTTTTTACATAGAATAAGCGGCGGGAGAATTTTGTGTCAACGACACGTGTCCCGTCGAATGAATGACAAACTCAAAGTAAGTTGAAGAAGTGCCTGCAAGTTTCCTCGTCTTGCAGGCAGGAGCACCACAGCTTTTTGAATGATTTGAATTCCTCAACGATAGAGAACTTTTTTGACGACCCGAATGATAGCGAGTTAGTAGCGAAACTTCTAATCTTGCTGGTATAAAAATTGAAAAGTTGGTACGGATTCAGAATTGCTCTTTCAGAATGGACTTTTTTTTCCTAGCGTTAAAATGTTTTTTCAAAATAATCTTTTTTCGACATGCAGTTTTGTTTTTTCAACAAACCACAGCCAATGCCGATTCGGAAGTCTATCCCTACTGGTAGCAAAGAGTTGTGCCCCCGCGGATAATATTTCCTTCGGTGCAGTAGAAGTCGGCTGTGTGGTAGTCAAGACAAAAATGCTCCACCCTTACGTTTCTTGAATGCATTTGTTTCAAAAGAATTTCAAAAATCACTCATGAATGTCACTGTATCTATCTTTCTTCTATTGATGAGGTCCTGTTTTGAAGGAAGTAAAATGAACTCTTCAATCAGCACTAGTTAGGTACGATCCATCGTTCTTTCTCGACGACTCAGAGATCGTAATCGTCTAGAAGAGCGGGAGGTTTTATTTGATGAAGCCTCGTCTGCAGTTCGTCTTTGTTTCCAACACTTTCCTCGATTTGTGTAAAGAAATTCGCTCCATTCGTTCTTATGATCGTCCTGATTATAGAGGGTCGGTATCAGTTGCAGATAAGTGCTTCGATTTTCTGCCAGCGCCAGTGCCTCTTTCCAGGAGGTGGTGAGATGGATTCTCCACTTCTCGAGAGATCGAGCGCGCAGCGGAGACGGACAGAACGCGAGGGAGTTTAGAAGTTTCCGAGCGATTTATTGTCGTGGAATTAGAATTAACTTCCCAGGTTGATTCGCTCATGCCGTGCGTATCGTCCGTGCCACCACGAGTGGTGGGGCGTAGCATTGATTCTTCAGGAGCATTGTGTTGTACTACGGCGAACAAGACTGAGGGAAAAGGACTCAGGAGCGGGTGGTCATTATTTAATGGGATCTATGATTAGATGAAGTTGATGTTGAAGATGTAAATAAGCTTGAGGGGAGGACGGAGAAGAACGAATAGCACGAAAAACTTGGAAAAAAAATGTCGTCCTTCTTCATCACCGAGCAAGAGCCTAATTCCGCCGACGAGGCGCACACCGCCGGCGGACACGAAGGCGGCAATTCTACTCCAGAAGACTACGAAGACCATGCACGGCAAGACCTCTCCACGCCAGAAGAAATAAATCCGAGAAATAACCAGAACAACAAGCAGCTCGCGACCATAAATCAACCGACCAAACCGAAGACCAACAAGAACAAGCTCCCCGCCGAGCACGCCAATGTGAAACAGGGCACTTCGTTCTGGGTCGCCGAGCCGTCGCTGATTTGCCGCGCCGGGCCGGAGTTGGAAACCCCCGAAACCTCGGATCCATGTGGGCGAAACCGGATCGTGTACTGCGCGGGGAAGTTGGTGCAACTCCCGAACGGCATCGTCCGAATGCCGATCACGAAAACGGACGACAGGCTCCACGAGAAGTTGTCGAATTTGCAGCGGCAGAAGTTGGTCCACTGGGTGACGTTGGACGCTTCGTCTGTCGACTATGAACAGGAAGAACCCATTCCCATCCATTTTTTGCATGACAAACAAAGGATTTTGATACGTGTTTTGCATGACAAATTGGATGGGGACGGGTTTTTTTCTGTGGATATCGATTGGCGGAAAAAGCACATGCTGGTTATCAAAGTGAAAAAAGCCCCCACCCCATATCGGAAACGGAAGATGCGCGAATTTGTGATGCTGTATTTGAGTACTTACACAAATCGACTTGTATTGCTAGAAGGCCAAGAGCCAAAGCTGTAGCCTAAATTGCAGGTAATCTTCTGTCATGCTGTTTCCCACTTCCAGTTGCCTCCTGTCATCCTGGAGCTGCAAGGCTTTCCCACGCTAGACAGCGCTACAGTCTGCATCTTTTGCCTTCTAGCATTACAGAGCTGATTTGTGACCACAAATCTGCATCACAGATTTCCGTTTTGATATGGGGAGGGGGCATTTTTAATTGTAATACTGGTCGAAGTGGGAGACGAGTTGCTGTTCTTCAAGGTCTTTCTCATGCAGAAGTACGCAGCAAAAGATACAGCAGCTTCCAACGCGGGCACACCTTATCCAAGGAAAAAAGTGTGTAAGTGTAACTTTTTTGCAGGAACAGCATCACAGATTTGTTTTGCATGACAGAGAAAACCTGCCATGCGTAGCTAGTACGCGAAAACACGTATGAAAATAGCCTGTGATGCACATCCAGCATGACAAGTGTAGCTGTATTGCAACATCTGCAACACAAAGTTACACTTACACAGTTTTTTTCTTGCATACACCTGCGGGCGGGTTCAGTGCGGACGGGGGAGCTGAGCAGGATCTAGATCTGTTGAAGCAGTCCTCTTTGTCCACCTCTGCATGGTACGCGTTTTATCGGGATATGGACCGGAATAACAACAACCTCGTCTCCATGATCGAATTCGAAGCGGTATTGTGAGGAAAAATCTTTCCTCCCCATATTGAAAGCGCATCCATCTTCTGGAAACTTGTGATGCAGATTTGTGAACACAAGTCGCGTCTGTCTTGCAAGAGGGCAAGTGCAGGCTGTCCGGCACGTTATGCAGGCGATTTGTAATGCTGCAAGCCCTACAGGGCAGCCGTCTGCCATGCTAGGCGCCTACACCAAAAGGCCCCGCCCTAGGGTTGCGATCTGACTGCGTGCAGTGCTCTACTGCAACACGGATTTGATTTGTGTACTCAAATACAGCATCACAAATTTCTTTGTCGATATGGGGAGGGGGGATCTTTCCTTCTGATAAGCGGGGTTGCTTTCTTTAAAATACCCCGACGAATCCACGGACGCGTCGAGTCGGAAGAATATCCTGTGCAAAAGTACCGTACGCGTAGTAATTGCAAGCATGGATGACAGGGTAAATCCGCGCTACAAATTGTTCCATGTGTCATGCTGAGCCAAGTTGTATATGCAATTTCTAGTATTATTACCTAGGTAGTGCGATGCTTTTGCAATGCATAAAGAGAAGGAAGAAGCTACTCCAGTTGTTAGATAAGGACGGCTCCGGCGAGCTGACATTTGAGGAATTCGGGCAGGTCCTCGGGTTCAGCGAAAAGGAAATCTACAAGGCAAAGGATGACTACCAGAAGAAAAACCTCGGGAAAGACGTATGCAATGTAAAAGCATCGTACTAGTATGAATTGCATTACAAATTAGCCCAGCATTACAAATTGAATTTGTAATGCTGATTCACCTTGAGAAAGAAATTTGTAATGCATGCATGCAATTACTACGAATACGATGTTGCTTTTGCTCAGGATAAGACGGGGTGAATCGCAATATCCGGTGGAGCGCGACGGAAGAATTTGATTTCCACGCGAGAATCAAAGAGTACGGCAGGAGGTCCCGGAGCACCACGCCGTCGCAGCGGCACTTATCCTGAGTAAAAGCCCCACACCCCATAGTCAAGTTGGGAAACCTGCAATACAAATCAACAAGCTTTGGCTGTTGCCCATCACAGGTTTTGGCTTGCAATGTGATCGCGTTTAGCTAGCGCAGCTGCGTCACAAATCTAGCATCTTATGCTGATACGAGCATCACAAATTTCAAAACAGCACTAGAGATGAATGCGTCCTCTCATGGGGCTCCTCCGCATGAGAAACATTTTAAGCATGCAGATTTGCATGACAAGAACTAAGTAAGTATGGGGTGTGACGTTTTTCCTCAGGATAGCACTCGAAGAAGATCTACACGGACGAATCCGTGCGGAAAAATATTACAGTGAAAAATGCCCCCACACGTCCGAAAGTTGCAATAATTTGTGATGCGAAGTTTCCAAATGAAAACTTTTTGTCATGCGTGAAAGAACTATGAGTCTTACCTTTCTGATGCAGAGTCTAGTCGTATACAGCATCGCTTGCACCATCACAAGAGCTGCTCTTGCTGGGATCTTTTGCAATGCAAATCTTTGCTATTCACGATTGAAGATCTGTGATGCTGATACATGCAAGAGAGCGAGTGTTTCCTTTGGAAAGGTTTGCAATACAAATGCTTGAAGTTCATCTGGGGTGGGGGCATCTTTCATTGTCATAAAAAAGCACATGCGCATGATCTCTGCCAGCGACATGTCGCCGGTGCCGCTGTATTGTGAGGAAAAATCCCCCCTCCCCACAGTGCTCAAAACGGAAATCTGTATTGCTGATTTGTGACCACAGATCGTCTCTCTCTTGCAAGAAGGCAACTACGTCAGAGGTGTCCGTCGCACTGCGCGGCGGATTTCTGATGCTGTTGGACCTTCATGGCAGCCGTCTAGCATGCGAAACAGAGACTATACGCAAACAGCCCCAGCACAACTCAGGCTTGCAACCTGCCTGCGATTCCATCCTGCAAGACAAAGCGAATTCGTGGACACCAATCCAGCAACAGAAATTTCCGTTTCAAGATGGGGACGAGGGATTTTTCATTTTCATAGGCTCCTGCCGGGTGGTCGGGTGTCGAAATCAGCTTCTTCAAGTAGGTCGAGAACGAATTTGAGCTCCGCGGGAACGGGAACAAACAAGTCCATGACGAACCAGTCCTTGACAGACGAATCAACGCAGCAGGGCGGTGGAACGACGTTGCAAGACCACGCTTTTCCCGAAATGGAGCAGCAAGACGGGCGGGGAACGAACTATATATGCAATGCAAAAGCATCGTGCTCGTATAAATGCATTACAAATTTCCTCTGCGTGGTGAGAAATAAAATCTGTAATGCGGATTTACCTTGCCAAAGAAATTTGTAACGCATGATTGCAATTACTACGACTACGAGTACGAGTACGATAGTTTTGCACAGCATACTACAATCGGTTTAGCAACGACAACATGCAACAGGGGCAGCAAAGTGCTGGACAGCATAGTCTATCAAATGTAAAAATGTCTGGGTCTGGAAGAATGCATGTTTGTCATGCTTGTCTGGCATGACTCTTGAATCTGTCATGCAAGTTACCCAAGAGCCCCATTTTTCTGTGATGCAGAAGCGCACTTTGTCATGCAGAATAGGCAACACCTGGAAGCTCAGAAACTTGTGATGCTGAGCCAGCATTTCTGGCCTCATCATGAGACGCCACCCAGCATCACAAGTTTCCAGACCCAGACATTTTTACATTTGATATAGTCAACATATGAAGAAATCCAGCTCTGCAGGGACCACAAATTCAGCTCCTATCAAACGCAAAAATGTCTGGGTCTGGAAGGATGCGAACTTGTGATGCATACTTGGATCACACAAAAATCTGTCATGCTTAGACAGCAAAGGGAGCTTGCTCCTTTTCCTGTCGCCGAAAGAAGATGCTTGTCATGCGGATTAAGCATTGCGAAACTGTCTCAAAACCTGCGATGCTAGGCCTTGCATGGCACACCTTCTGTGTCAAGCAGACACAGCATCACAAACCTCAGCAACCTTCCAGACCCGGATATTTTTGCAATGTATAGCTCCTTCGACGAGACAACAACAGCTGAGTTCCGCTGGCGGCGGAGCGAACAGTGCAACTACCGGGAATAATGCGATGGAGCTCATTCCCTTGCAGGAAGACCAGCAGATGACAATGATCTCCGAGACAACGACAATTATCAACCGGTCCGCAACTATGGAACTGTCAGGATCGAAATCAACAAAATCGAAATAATTTGTGATGCATAAAATAGATACCAGTTGGAGCCTCAGTTTCCAAGTGGCGCATGACAAATTTCAGGAGCTGCACCAAAATCCAGTCTGTCATGCTGTTTGGGCAAAGAAGGCTGCTCCTGTCGTGCTACTCTGGCAGCACATCGCCTTCCCCTAAACAGGCTTGCATCGGTCTCATTTGCCTGCTCCCCAACACAGGCCTTACTTGCCCAACATTTTATGCATTACAAAACTTTTCGAATTTATCGCTTTCGATCCTGACACATCCATAGCAACCGCACCGACCAAAACTACTGCCGAAGAGCCGCCAAAGGAATTCGACTACGCCGCTTTTGTATCGCAAGAAAAAACTGTTCCACTGTGAACTTGTGATGCATAAAATGGAAGATTGAACTATTTGTCTTGCTACTTCTGCAAGGCATCGGATTTTTAAGCGTGTTTTCCCTATGGGAAATGCGCGCACGGCATGTGTAACAAACTTGTGATGCAGATCTTGCAAAATGAAAATTATCACAGTGAAGCAGTTTTTTCGTGGGATAGTTTAAGAAGAAGCAGCAAGCACCAAGCACTGCGCCAACAACGCTAACCGACACGAAAAACCAGAACAATCCAGGGTTCAGTCGGAAGTCCCACATTGTTGACCACCCATATCGTACGAAAAAAGTGTTTCACTGAAAGGATTTTGCAAGTTTTGCATCACAAGTTTGTTCTGCATGACAGAGAAAATTTGCCCTGCGAGATTTCCAAGGGAAAGCACCGCTAAAGATCCATTGTCTTGCATGTGTGGCAAGACAAACACTTCTGAGATACATTTTCTGCATTACAAGTTCACAGTGAAACAGTTTTTTCTTGCGATAACCCGAAACGGTGGACCAATCGGTACGGGCACGTGGATCCGAAAACGCCGAAGCAGTTTCGCGACTCGTTTGACGGATTCGGGTTGTTTTCTACGGAGCATTTGATCATGCAACAGGAGTGGAAGATCCCGCCCGGTACGGGGGAGGACGACTTTTCCCAATCGAAATGGCGATCGTCCGGTGCACCGCCCAATTGGGTCGACCCGAAGAAGGCGCTGCAGAAGAAGAAGGACAACATGATCATCGAAATGAAACTGTTCCGGGATTTATCAACTTCAAATATGTCTGGGTCTGGAAACTTGTAATGCTGAGCTGTGAGAAGCAAGTAGTGAATTCTCTGTAATGCACAGCCAAGCATGAGAAATCTTTGCGCTGCTTAGTGTTACGCTTTCCGCATGACAAAGTGCGTTTTGCATGACAAGCAAGAAGGTCTCTTCTTGGACACGCATCACAAACTCTTCCGTCATGCCAAGCAAGCATGACAAACCTTGCATCCATCCCGACCCAGACATATTTGCAATGCATAGGATTTTCTGGAGTCCAAATACGGGGCGTACGGCTATGAAGGGATGGAGCGGATTATCCTGAGGCAAAACGATCCCACCCCATAGTCAAGATGGGAAATCTGCTACACAAATCCCTAAGCTTTGGCTGTCGCGCATGACAAATTTGGGCTTGCAATGTACTTTCGTGTTTAGCTTGTGCAGCAGCGTACCAGATCCAGTTTGTCATGCTGATTCGAGCATGACAAATCTCACAGCACCACCGGGAAACGCCTCTCATCCTCATGGGTCTCCGCAAGAGAAACACTTCAAGCATGCAGATTTGCATTACAACTCTGGGGTGGGGACGTTTTCGCACAGGATACGGATCTTCAAAATGATGGACACGAACAGCTCTGTATCAAATGCAAATATGTCTGGGTCTGGAAGGATGCAACTTGTGATGCTGCCTTTGGACTCTACATAAAATCTGTATTGCGTGAACAGCACAAGAGGTGTAATTTGTGCTACGCGTATGGCGGACGCAGAAACTTTTCTTCAAGAAACTTTTTTTTTTTACCCATGACCTCGGCCTGTGCATGATAGGCCTTGCAACTTTATATAACGGGTTTACGAAGGGAGTAGCAAGCCCTGCCACGGCTCATGCCAAGCCAATCGCGTAAGCACTTGCGAAGACGCTTCAGCAGCAACAGGTGCTGCGGGCTTTTGGTGTTCCGCTAGTCTTGGTCCCGTGTCCCTTTCATTCCCGCACGCCAGCGCCCGTCTTAATCGGGCTTGATGCTACCGGGGCACGCGCCTTCTTGCGCAGCACACGCTGTGCGGAGGCCACCTTCTGTGTTTCACCGAAGGAGCTGACAAGTGCGCCGCCTGAGGTCGCCATCCCCCTTCGAACGTATTCTGGCGACCCTTAGGGAGGGTAAAATACGGCCCAAATAGCGTTCTCAAGTGCGGGAAGGCTTCTGCGCCGTTTCCGGAAGCAACGTCGCGGAGAAGGGCGCTGCCGGCCCTTGGCCAATCTGCCAGAACCCAGCGCGACGCCGGCGACCGTGCGCATAGACAAACCAACCCGCACGAACGGCGCCTCTTGCGCAGAGTTGCCTCGTAGCTCGAAGATGTCCGACCTCGTCTTGAGGAGACACGCCGAAAACACCAGAGGGGGGCCCCTCGGAGGGGGGTTGGGGGGGTGGGTTGCGCGACCCCCCCTGCGTCCATCATACCATGCGGGCTAGCAAAAAAAGGGGGTCCCGAAGGGGGGGGGGTTTACTCCCCCCCTCCGGGGCCCCTCGAGCCGGCATTTTTGCGCTGCCCAAAAGGATTTCCCGTTGTCTGCGTTGCCGCCAGGCCGGGCGAAAGACCTGGGGGCTTAGGGCAGTGTGGGGAAGCCCGGCGGAAGAAAGCCCACTGCGCGCGGGGCTCTGCGAGGTTTTTCTCGTTCTAAGCTAGAGCGCCTCCACGCCGCTAAACCTCGGCGGGGCCCCGCAGAACAGCAGCAGAGAAGATTCAAAGCAACGCCCGTCCTTTCCTCTGTTTCGGGGGTAGTGAGGTGATGCGCCCAAGCCATGACAGCCCGTCGGCACCTCTCACACTGCTAACGCGTAGCTTTGGTGGCACGAGGAGCCGGCGATAGTGCCTGCTCTCACAGTAGCCATCACCCCCTGCGGCAGGACCCTCGCCGCACGCACAGACCCTGAGAGGCCGCTTTCCAATTGGTCGCCGAATGCCTGAGCGGCTCAGACTGTTCGTCCTGGGTTCTCTTTCTAAGCCGGAGTCAAGGAATGGCTGCGCTAGCGGTTAAGCCGTCCTATCAAGAGGGGGCCGGCGGCAGGCGAGCAAAAATCGACGGTAGGGCCCGCGCTTGGTATTAGGATGCACAGCTATGGGCAAAAAAAAAAGTTTTTTGAAAAAAAGTTTCTGCGTCCGCCATAACGTGGAGAGGAGATTTCTCAAGCGTTATGAGCATCAGAAAGCCCTCGCAAAATCTCTGATGCTGGGGCATGCATCACAGACCTCATGGGTCATGCAAAATCTGCATGACAAACAACTGCACTCGCCCAGACCCAGACATTTTTGCAATCCATAGTCCGACCGGTTGGGCGTTTCCGCGTTTACCGCGGCCTTGCAATCGACTCTGAAGTACCCCGACGATGGCTCGATTTCCTTCAACGCACAGAGAAGACGGGTGAATCTGTTTCTCATCATGGATTTGGACGGAATGGGGAGCTTGGATCGGTACAGAGTTGTACTACAGTTTTGTTTCAGTATCTTGTTGTGATCATGTAGTTGTCATTCTGCAACGCAAATCGCTTTTCGTTTGCGTTTCCCGCATGACAAATTCATCTAGCCTCGATGATTAAAAAAAAGGTACGAATTCTGCCGTGGTTTGACCCAGCAGCTGGACGCCGGAGTGAATCTGGACGAGAAATTATTGCAATGAAAAATGCCCCCACCCCGGAACTTGGGAGCATTTGTATTGCAAACCTTTCCAAAGGAAACACTCGCCCTCTTGCATGTATCAGCGTCGCAGATTTTCAATCGTGAATAGCAAAAATTTGTATTGCAAAAGATCCCAGCAAGAGCGGCGCTTGTCATGCAAGCGGCGCTTTATACGACAAGACTCTGCATCATGAGAAAGATTCATAGTGCTTTCATGCATGGCAAAAAGTTTTCATTTGGAAACTTCGCGTCACAAACTACTGCAAAATTCGGGGTGGGGGCATTTTTCACTGTGATAGAAATTCACCCGCCGCCTCCAGCGGTGGGGTAACGAGAAATCGAAGTGGGTTTTGCTGGCGAAGGGGGCGAAAAATTTGAAAAAACCACCGCGGAAAACGTGGCACGATTCTTTGTCCATCGTGAAGCCCGAGAACCTATTGAGAGGAAAAATCCCCCTTCCCCATATTGAAGAGGCATCTTTTCGAAAATTGATGTTGCTGATTTGAGGTCACAAATCACATTTGTTTTGCAAGAAGACCAGGGCAGAAGCTTCCGCCCCATTACGGAAGCGATTTGTCATGCTGTTGGGCCTAAAGGGGAGCCGTTTGCCATGCTGAGCAACTAGACGCATACGCCCCTACCTAGCCTGGCGATCTGGCCGCAGTGCTTCCCTGCAATACAAATCTGATTTGTGTACGCAAATCCAGCATCACAGATCTCTTTTTCGATATGGGGAGGGGGGATTTTTCCTTTTGATAGAACCCGGTGTCCTATCTAGCAAACGTCGGACTGTCCGGGGGAAACTCCACGTCGGTGCAGGCGAACAGCGAGGAATTAGCCCGGGCGCAACGGTATCAAATGCAAATATGTCTTGGTCTGGAACAAACTTGTGATGCAAGGACGGGAATAGTGAGCACACTGTAATACGCTACACAGCATGACAAGTTTTTCCGTGGTTCAGAGTTGCGCACCGCGCATGAGAAACTGCGTTTTTGCATGACAGACGCGAGGACCTCCTCGCGGGCACGCAATACAGAGTTCAGAGTCATGCCAGACTAACATGACAAATCTCGCAATCTCCCAGACCCAGACATATTTGCAGTTCATAAAAGGGCGAACGCGTTTATCAACGTGAGGAAGAAGCTAGAGCCGATCTATTCCCGGCCGGGCACGATGGGAAACAGCTATGCATTGCAAATATGTCTGGGTCTGGATGGTTGCAACTTGTGATGCTGCCTTTGGATTCTACACAGAATCTGTCTTGCATGATCAGCAAAAGAGGCCCATTTTTTGCTACCCGGAGAGGGCTCTCATGCAGTATAGGCATCAGAAAGCCCTCAAAAAATTTGTGATGTTAGGGCATGCATCACAGACACCATGGGGCACGCAAAATGTGCATGACAAGCGCTGCACTCTTCCAGACCCAGACACATTTGCATTTGATAACAGCGGGTGCGCGACCAGTTTCGGGCCCCCAAGACCGACTACCAGTCCGGATCTGTCGCAGCTGTTTAACATCCTATATCAAAAGGAAAAATCCCCCCTCCCCATATCGAAAAGGCATCCGTTCGAAAATCTGTGATGCTGATTTGTGGCCACAAATCAGGTCTGTCTTGCACGAGAGCAACGCCAGAGCTTTCGCCGCTTTACGCAGGCGATTTGTAATGCTGCTGCACCAACAGGGCAGACGTCTGCCATGCTGAGCGCCCACCTCTAGCCAGCCCCTTCCAGGCTTTTTATCTGCCTGCACTCCTATACTGCAAGACAAAGCTGAAGCTGATTTGTGTACACAAATCCCGCAACACAGATTGCCACTTTGATATGGGGAGGGGGGTTTTTTTCTTTCGATATCCTGCCCAAATCGAGCAAGGATTCCTCCGGGGACAGTAACCGCGGCGTTTTGTCCGCACTAATGAACGCTTCGAAACCAAAAATGAGTGAGAAATCTTTCCTAGCGGATGAGCACAGCCTCTATGCATTGCAAATATACCTGGGAGGTCGGGAGGAATGCAAGTTTGTCATGCTCGGCTGGTATGACTCTTAACTCTGTGATGCATGAGCAGGAAAAAAGCCTGCCCCTCGCCTGTCAACATGCAAAAACGCAGTTCTTTGTCATGCGCAAAGCGAAACACATAGCAGCTCGACAACTTGTCATGCTTGGCCGCGTATTGCAGTGCTTACCCATCAATCACAACTTTGCATCACAACTTTCCAGACATCCTGGGCTATTTGCAGTGCATAGCCTCATGCCGGCAACTACGGGGGATGCGGAGGATGATGATGAAGTGTCGGACATGCTTATCAAATGCAAAAATGTCTGGGTCTGGAAGATTTGTAGACTTGTCATGCATATTTTCCAGAAGCCACGATGTCTGTGATGCATGCCGTAGCATCACAGATGTGTATCGGGCTTTGTGATACCTCTACCGCATGAGAAATACCCTCTCCACGTAGGACAAACCCGACCCCTCTTGCTGGTCATGCAATACAATTTTTTTTAGAATCCACAGACAGCATCACAAGTTGTGAGCTTCCAGACCCAGACATTTTTGCATTTGATAATGCTGAAAAACCTGCAAAAGCGGTTTTTGCAACAGGAGCACGTGCGGGAAGAGCGGAAATCACGGGCCTTGTCCGAAACGGTTGACTTTGCGGAAATGATGTGCAGGATATGCAATGCAAAAGCATCGTACTAGTATAAATTGCATTACAAATTAGCCAGCATTACAAATTGAATTTGTAATGCTGATTTGCCTTGAGAAAGAGATTAGTAAATGCATGGCTGCGATTACTACGAGTGCGATACTTTTGCAGTGCATACAGGAGTGCGAACAGCAACGCGATCGCGCAGATGAGCAGCGTCGCGAACTTTGGAGTACAGATTTCGTCGTGAGGAGATCAAGGGGGTACTAGGGGGAAGAGTGGTCTTTCTCACAGTGTAGTGATGAAGATATGGGTAATATCAACAATGCCAAGAATGCGAAAAAAAATGAAAACTGTCATAACCAAGCAGAAGAATTCCTATGTGAACAAAAGGAAAAGCGAAACGAAGTGAAGTACTCATCGATTTTTCGTTTATCAATTTCTTAACTCATTACGTTTAAATTTAATGCCACTTGCTGTCATTCTTAAACCTTGTTTGTATAATGGCTAGAACTTCTTTCATCTGATCTCTAGTGCAAGACTTCAGTTGTGCCAGACCACGTATCATCTAAAATTGAACCTAATGCTTACTACCCTCGAACAAGATCCAGCCGCGAAAGCAACTAATGTCTATTAATACCACTTTAGGAGAATATTGGAAATCGAATGAACCTGCCACAAAGTCGTGATCTAGTACTTTGTGCACTGGGGCGCTAGCGAGAAGTCCCTCACATAGGAGTGCACGAGGACGAGTAACGTGCAATCGTGGTTGAGGCTTTATCGCTTCGGTCACGCTTTCTTGACCGAATCTGAAATGAATTATGTACAGGCCTCTCCCACCTATTGAAATTGAAGAGAATCGGACGATGAACAAATGCACGATGGCGCGACGGTACAGCAGGCGAGCTCGGGGCTGCGAAGCGGAAAGAGCCCTATGTGTTTTCGTTTTGTTTTGTGTCAGCGTGATATATTTGTAGTCACACCATTATAGCGTTTTTTTTGCCTCCATTTTCTGACCGGCAGAGAGAGACATTTTAGCTCGACAGATGCTACTTTTCGCCCCTCAATTGTAGATGAAGATTTTGTTTTAGTAGCTTGAAGCAGATATGCAAAAGATCTAGATTTAGACAGAAGTGCTAGTGCACTTATTTCAGGATCTGGATCAATTTGCTTGTGCATCACGAAACAGAACAAGTGCCGTGAGATCTTCTATAGCATCCGTGGTACTATCATAGTTCTACAGTGTGCCTGGTGTGAAGATGTCCGCATATTACAAAACGCAAGCGCTCTACTTTTAGTTTTTACCTCCAGGATCGCGGATGCTGCATCGGAGTTATTTGGCAGAGGGCAAGATCTAGGTTTTACTAGTAAATCCAAGAGGTGGATTTGTACGTGACGGGAACAAAGCCTGAACAAAGGATCTATTTGGTGTAGTAAGTAGTCGAGGCGTTGTACTATCGCAAAACTACGTGGCGGTGCTAGGATACTTTATTTCATCTTCAGTAGGTGGTGCTACTGCTAGCTGTAGTGACGAGGCGGTTTTTTCACTCAGTGCGCAAGCTGTGCCGTTTTCCCCCCCCCTTTAGAGATGAGTTCAAGTAATTTCCGGACAGCAATAGATAAACAAGTCATAGCACAATTACCTGTACTCCGAGATGAACAATGCCACTACCTCCAGGTTCGAAAAAAAGACGAAACTTTTTACAACTACGCCTTTTTGTGTGTATAGTGATTTCAATATCTGAACGGAAAGCTCGAAGGAGCTGTATCGATTTTGAGAAGCATTTATTAGCTGCTTGGAATCCATCAGACGACAGCAATAAGCCAGACTGTACTTCTCTCATCTTCATGTATGTTCTCGACGCAACATCAGAGCTGTTCTTGTGTAACATAAAGTTACCTGTAAAAATAGTACCAATACATAGTGGTGTCTGTGTGTGCTACTAACTAGTGCTCAATCGATTTTTGAGCCATCAATCAGGACAAAAAAATGTTCGAATGAGGGGGCATCAATAGCACTTGACCTGTCCACACGGAATAAAATCCGCGCCGGCCGCCCTCGGGACAAAAAAACTGTAGTACGCATAGACTGTGCGCAAGTAGACGATCGCTCGGCGGGAAATTTGTAGAAGCCTAGAATTGATGTCGTTGATACTAGCACGACCATCTTCAAGCAACGAAGAATGGTTTTTTTTGGAGGAGAGCAAACAGTAATTTTTTTTGGTGATCATCTTCAGAGCCGATCGCAAAACTTTATTTCCACTCCTGCGTTTGTTATTTTTCTAAGAATCTTCACAGAGCGTTCCCTTGTTGCAGGGTTAGAACCTACTCTGTGATATGCTACTCACTTGACAGCGAAATCGAATCGATTGTCGTGGGACGATAGCAAGAATATTAAAGCCGGTCGGCAGGAGCTGTAGAAAAAAGAACGAAAATTATTGAGACCAGGGCGTTGTTGTAGTAGTCGTGCGAGTTTAATACTTTTTACAACTAGTACAACGCGTCTATCAAATAAAGCACTCGTCATCACAAGAACTCTCTTAGGAGGGCAGCACTTGTTATCACAATTCACGACGGAGGAATGAAGCTAGAAAAAGTGTTAAAAGCTTGTACTATTACCAAATTGTGCCTGCGTTTACATGTTAAATTTCTTTAACTTTCTAGAAGATTTTTCATCCGAAATCGAACATCATAACAGAGAAAAACCAAAGCAACTTATTCGACGAAACATAGTTTACCACACTTCTGCCTATGTTGAATAAAAAAAAACTGTTCATGAAATCGAAACTACACTTTGCTTTTTTTGAAATTTTTCACTATTTCTTATTCTTGCCCAAAAGTGGTCTAGGAGGTGGAGGTGGTAGACTTGTAGGTACTTATCGAAAAAGTTGAAAATAAAGCCAGACTTGAAAAGCCAAAGTCAGTTTTCTTCAACAGTAGTACCTGATAGCTGGAAATTTGGATATCTGAACACTTTGTCGTTTCAGTATTCAAGTTGTGTACGTAGCTACATTTTTTATCTTCGACGACTTTCTTAGAAACTTTTTCTTTTTCACGTAGCTTGCTGCTGACAGACAAGCAGGTGATGTGACAAGAGCTAGTCGCGACGTCGACACAGATCATCTTTGGAATAAGATTTAAATACTTTTTGTCGGTCCCGATACTAACTTGACGACGAGGGGGGCCTCCGGTTTAGTAACCCTCCTGCGGATATCTACTTGATGTACTCGCGCGCTTAGCCGTGGAGCTGGAGATTACTTCAATATAGCAGGAGAGCGGAGTAGAGGACATCGTCGATCAAGAAGAACCCTTGGCGCTAATAGTCGTCTGTTTTTAGCCGGAAGACGCGCTGACGGGGGCAGAAGCGACAGCGGCAAAATATTAAATCTCGGGGAAAAAAGATTGTTCCCGAAGAAGACGACCAACTCCGAAGATGCAGGTCTTTTATTACACCTTCCTGCTATCAAATGCAAGAATGTCTGGGTCTGGAAGAATGCAAGATTTGTCATGCATATTTCTCATGACCCATGATGCCTGTAATGCATGACCTAGCATCGCAGACTTTTAGAGGGCTTCCTGATGAACCTTCCGCGTGAGAAATGCCCTGTTCGTGTAGCACAAATTGCACCCCTCTTGCTGGTCATGCAATACCAATTTTTTTGGAGTCCAAAAACAGCATGACAAGTTGCAATCTTCCAGACCCAGACACTTTTGCAGTTGATGCCTGCTATCATTTCTCAACATCGCCCACGTAGTTTGGGCTCGGGGTGGTTTGCACCACCAGACGGCGGTCGATACTTTTCCGACTGGAGCAAGGGGAGAATCTTCATCCCACGAGGAACTACCAGGTTCGTTGCAACATGCAATCGGTCCTCGCCAAGATAACAATGGAAGAAGTGAAACCGAAGAACTACGTGGCGAAGAAGTAGGACCCTCCTCATTCGCTGCTCATCTACTTATTTCCAAGAAGGATGCGCAAGGCAACCCGGAGGTACCCAAGAAGGATGCGCAAGGCAACCCGGAGGTGGAGGAGGTACTAGGGAGTGGCGCGGGCAGCTCGCAGCTTGGAGTTTCCGGTGCTGCTGCTGGCGAAGATGAAGAGAGGGGTTATGATCATGACCTCGATCATATTAGAGCAGCAGAGACCAGCACAGCCACTGCGTCCTCTCGACGTCCGGGGGTCGTCGTGTCGACCCCGCCCTTCGATATAAGCAGGACCTCTGATGCTAAACAAGATCCTCACACTTCTATAACCCCTGCTGAGGACGAGGACGACGCCATAGAAGGGCTCGAGCGGGCCCCCGCGGGTTGGTCACGCACCATTTCTGCTTCGACAATCTCGAGCGCCCAGGACAACGAAGGAGAGGTGGACAAGAGTGTCTACTATTTTCCTTCCAGTGTCACTAAAGCCTTCAGTACGCCGAATATAGTATCGAAAACTCCGGATGAACCGACGTCCTTTCCCGGCACACCAGTCAGAAGTACTACCCCGAAACAGAGTCCATTTCGCGATGAAGCTGCAGCAGTTCCTGGTGTAGAAGTCGGAGGGATAGTTAGCGCGGCCGGAGTTGTGGGTTCGTCTTCGTTTTTGTCTTTTGATGATCTTCCCATGGGCCGCGGGTCGACACCAGCGGCTAAGAAGCAGGACAAGGAAATACAGCAACTAGTATCACAGGGCTTATCCTTATTTTTTCCACCGGGATCGTTTAGCTCAACATTCAGAGCTGGTGGTGCAACTAGTACAACAACTACGAAAAAAGCCAGCCGAAGGAGAATCAAAAACCTGCCTTTGTGGCAGGTTGAGACTAAAAATCCGGAACAACAAGAGCCAGCCATCGTGCGCATGTTCAAACAGCGCAGAAGGGAACGGCTGGAACAGAAACGACGGAAACGACAGGAAGAGCAGGAGAGATTTATTTCCTTTGAGGGTCCGAATTCCTCAGATTTTGCGGCACCAAAAGATGGAGGTTTGTTTTCGGGAAGTAGACCACCGGAAAGTGTAAGTGATCAAGACGTTGACTCCAATGCGGGCAGCTCTACTGGCAGAAGTTCCTTCGGCCGCGAAAGAACTACGCCAGGAAAACAAGAACGTCGTGAAGGCCAAGGCCACCAGCGTGTCGGAGGACAGCAGACCAGCTCTATGGCTCAACGTGTCATGCAAGATTCAGGACTCAACTCTATCATTGGCCGGTTTCTGCCGACCAACCTGAATTTTGCCAAAAACGGGTTCTACAACGAAACGGAATTTGACAACGACAGTGATGTGGATGAGTCTTCACGAAAAAGTAGAAGTACTAGTGCTAAGAACAAGCGGGGGAAGAAGAATAAATTTAGCAGCAACGGTATGGAAGCGTCAGGATCGAAATCGTCAAAGTTGAAATAGTATTGCGATGCATAAAATGCAACGCAAAAACTGCCTCTATTGCAGAGGACGCAAGGGATGCAGATTGTAAGCCGTGTGAGCGGTAGAAACTGAGCTGCTAAGGTACTAGCATGACAAATAAAGGCGTCTTCCTTCCTCAAACAGCATTACAATTCGGATTTCAGTTGTCTACCCAAATTTGTCATGCGCCACTTGAAAAGTAGCCGCCAACTGGTATCCGTTTCGTGCATCACAAATTGTTTCAACTATGACGATTTCGGTCCTGACACTCCCATAAACGGACTGGTGGATCTCGACACCGCGTTTCAGTTATGAGAGTGCACAAGAACAAGTCCCCGTGGAGGTCCCCCGCATTTGCAATGCAAAAAACCAAGCACACGTCTTATTGTATAGCTTTATTTAGCGCTGTCTGCATGACAAATTTATTTGGGACGACCTCAAGCACCACTACAATCCGGTTGTGCAGTAGATTTGTGATGCTGAAGGCACATTACTGCGCTGTTTTTTATTGTGTTGCTGTGTATAATGCCCTACAAATAATGAGGGCGGGGGGGGGATGGACTTGGACAAGAACTTGTGCACGGTCATATCAGTTGTCTCAAGTGTCGAGAGACATTCTTTTCACCAAGAAGGAGCACGCTTTCGAAATATCAACTGCGAATACGTCTGGGTCTAGTAGAGCGCAAGTTTGTCATGCTCGGCTAGCATGACTCTCAAGTCTGTCATGCGCGTTACCCAAAAGCCCCACTTTTCTGTCATGCAACAACGCAGCTTGTGCTTGTCATGCTGAGTAGACAACACCTAGCAAGAACTCAGAATCTTGTCATGCTGAGCGATCACTTGTGGCATCCTCATGATTCGCCACTCAGCATCACACGTTGCCAAGCGCAGACATATTTGCAATGCATACGAAACCTGCTTAGCCTATTTGAAGAAGCTGGACAAAATTGAGAGCAGCGAAGACGATATTAAATGCAAATATTCACCCTGGAGGACGTCTGGAAAGTTGTGATGCTGGACTGTGGATGTTGGAAACACTTCCGAATGCAGCCAAGCAGGACAAGTTTGCAGAGCCAACGCTTTCTCATACGCAGCCCGCATGCGAAGCTGTGTTTTTGTCTGACAAATCAAAAGAGGGCGCGACCTTTGTTGGTCCAGGAATGGACAGATTGCACAGGAATGGAAGACCAGCATTACAAGTTCCCACTTTCCAGACCATTAGACATTTTTGCAATGGATAGACGATGCGTGGGTGGCGTTGATGACGGAGCTGTCGAAGACCCTGCACACGACCGGTGGGAGCGTGAATTATCGGAAATTCCTCGGAGCTCACGAGTTGAAGGAGCACGATAAATTGCTAGACCACTGGCGGACCTACGACAAGATGGCGATCCAGGAAGAAAGACAGGCAGCAGGTCTGGAGGGAGAAGTAGTTATAAATGCGTCCGATCTATGGATTGCAAAAGTATCGTACTCGTACAAATGCATTACAAATTTCCTCAGCATGAGAAATAAAATTTGTAATGCGGATCTGACTTAACAAAATCATTTGTAATGCATGATTGCAATACGAATGCGATGCTTTTGCACAGGATACGATCAGGACAAGTACCTGATTGCGAAATTGGTAGAAGTTTTCGACGCAGTATCGCAAGAAAAAACTGTCTCACTGTGAACTTGTGACGCAGAAAATGGAACACAGAACTCTTCGTCTTGCATTGCAAGACCTTGTATTTCCAAGCGTGTTTTATTCCCTTGGGAAGCGCGGGTGACAAATTTTCAGTGTCATGTTGCGCAAACTTGTGATGCAGATCTTGCATCAAAATCATCACAGTGAAACAGTTTTTTCGTGGGATACGCAGACAGCGCAGATGGAGCTGATGCGAAAAGTAGAAGTCCGCCATCGTATAATTCGCCGCACAGGACGAGTACGACAACGTCTACAAAAACTACTTCCAAGCGAAACACCAAAGTTTTCGAGTTTGAAAACGGGGCGGATGAACTCACCTACGCTTTCTTGAAACAATCCTCCTGCATTGAGTACTTGCAATATGACAGTGCACAACTCCCCTCGTCTGTATGGTATGAATAGCAATACACACACCAGCGCACATGGAGCCTATGCATGACAAATCTATGTACCTAATCTAGTGCTGTTTAACGGGCTTCCAGAATTTGTCATGCATAATAGTGATACAAGGGAACAACTGGAATATTGGATTTTGCATGAGAAATGAGAACGAGGGAGAGTTGTGCACTTCCATATGCAACTCGAGTCGCAAAACACGGTTTCGGAAACAAACAAGTTCAAACGGCTCATCTATTACAATGAAAAATGCCCCCACCCCAGAATTTGCAAAAGTTTCTCATGCATAAGGTTTTCAAATGCAGAGCTTTTTATCTATGCATGACAGGACTACGAGCCTTTCTGATGCAGAATCTAGTCATGTCGTGCGAGGCATCTTTTGCATAACAGACCCGGCTGCTGTTGGGCTCCTTTGCAACACAAATTTGAGCTATTCAGCATGAAAAATTTGTGATGCTAAGATATGCAAGACGACGAATGTTTCATTTGGAAAGGTTTGCAATACAAATGTTCCCAAGTTCTGGGGGGGGGCATTTTTCATGGTAATATCATCACCGAGGCCGGGGTGTTATGAACTGCAAAAGTATAAGTATCGTATTCGTATAAATGCATTACAAATTTCCTCAGCATGAGAAATAAAATTTGTAATGCAAATTTACCTTAACAAAAGGATTTGTAATGCATGATTGCAAAACGAGTACGATACTTTTGCACAGAATAGGTGTGCACGACTTCGGAAACTTGGACCAGGAGCGAAGATATGAATTGCAAAAGTGTCGTACTAGAAGTAGTAGTTGCAATATAAATTCGCTTAGCATGACAAATGGAATTTGTCATGCTGATTTGCCTTGGGAACCAGATTTGTAATGCATGACTGCGATTACTTTTACTACGAGTACGATACTTTTGCACAGGATAGAAGAGGAGGGGCTGCAGGTGGCTCACATGGCGTACAACCGGTTCTTGTTTTACAAGTATGAGAGTGCTGCACAACTCCCCCTCCCCCTCATTTGTATTGCATGGACAGCAATACAAACACCCGCACCTGTGGGGCCTGTGCATGAGAAGTCTTCCATGCGCGTACTGTAGTACTGTCAGGGCAGCTTCCGGAATCTGTCATGCAAACAGTACCACAGAGCAGCAAGTGGATTTGGCATTTTGCATGACAAATCAGGGGGAGGGGGAGTTGTGCACTGTCACAACAAGCGGGACCAGGACGAGAAAGAGAAACTCAAACTGCAAGAAGAACTACAAAGGGAGAAATTACGGAAGCGACTGGAACATCAAAGCGCAGCCGAGAAAAATCCTCCTTGGAAGGAGCACCAGCATAAAAACCATAATACTATGCCGAATCTGTTAGAAAAAGATGAGCCATTTACATTTTCGCTGCATCAAGATGTCCGTCGTGAAGTGGTAGAGCCAGAACAGCAGAGGAAGCCCAGTATCAAATGCAAAAATGTCTGGGTCTGGAAGAATGCAGCTTGTGATGCTGCATTTGGATTCCAAAAAGATCGGTATCGCATGAGCAGCAAAGGGAACGCATTTTTTGCTACGCGGAGAAGGCATTTGTCATGCCGAATAGGCATCAAGAAGCCCTCAAAAAATCTGTGATGCTAGGGCATGCATCACAGACATCATGGCTCATGCAACACGTGCGTGACTTGTCTCAGAATCTTCCAGACCCAGACATTTTTACAGTTGATACCCAGTAAAGAAGTGCGATTTTTTACTGAACCAGCAATGGACCACCACCTTCACATCGTGCAAGAACCACCGCAGCAACTGCTTGCAAGAGGTGAAGACGGCTTTAATACTGTTTCGTGCGTCGAGGGCAGCAAGAAGCTCGATTGTGGTGCTGTAATTATTCCGGGTAGTACGACGTCGACAAGTACTAGCTATTACAGCGCCGCTGATCCTCCACCAGGCGCAGCAGGCCCGCTTTTACTACACGAGGAGCACAAGTCTTTGCATCAGAATTGTCACAACAAGGTTGATGACCTTATGGCCGACCTCAAGTCCATCTCAAAACGGAATGAAACACTTCACCTAACACCTTCAGAGGAGATGGATGCAGAATCATGTCTCCTTGACCTGCAGCTTCCGTTCCCGCGCCAAATTACCGGCTCCACGGCCGCGCCAGCGAGCTCGATCGCGACTTTCAGGTCGACAAATATCCTATGTAAAAACGTCCCCACACCATAGTCAAGATGGGAAGTCTGCAACACAAATCCCCAAGTTTTGGGGGTTCTGCATGACAAGTTTCCATCTGCAGTGTAGTACTGGCTGGCAAGGAAAGCCGCATGACAAAGCCATTTTCTCGTCCTGTTTACAGCATTACAAATTCCAAAACACGACTGGAAATGCCTCTCATGGAAGTGCGCATTACAAATCTTCCTGTCATTGCACATTTGCATGACAACTCTGGGGTGGGGACGTTTTTACACAGGATAACAAATGCCCATAATTCATCTCCTCATGATCCCGGAGGTCCCCCTTGTAGTTCCACGTCGCGCGACCCCCGCTATCAAATGTAAAAATGTCTGGGTCTGGAAGGATGCAGAGGTTTGTGATGCAGCTGTGGCATGACCCAGAAGGGCTACCATGCACGCCCCAGCATCACAAGTTTTTAGAAGGTTTCTTAATGCGTAATCCGCATGACAAGGCCCTTCTTTCGGTGGCCAGAAATGTGCAGCTTTTGGCTTCCATGCATGACAGATTTTTGAGTCATGTGAAATGCGGATCGCAAGTTCGCATCCTTCCAGACCCAGACACTTTTTCAGTTCAGACCCGCGTAGGTGGAGCGACGAGGACTCTGCGGCGTACAAGCACAAGCGACAACTTCCTGGCTGCGGAGGATGATGAATCAGGCAGGAACGGTGGAGGTTTCGGTCACCGTGGTCCTCCGATGTTGCAGTCCACCTGCTCTGGAGGTGCTCTAGTACTGCACGACGATAGTTTTAAAAATAGCGAGGAGCCTGACCCAGCAGAAGTAGAACGTCGAGAAGTGCTGTCGCCCACAACATGGCCCTCGTCTTCAGCCCTGGGCAGGAGCCGTAGCAGCTGCAGTTCTCGCGGCCGCGGCCCCCGGTCTTGTTCATCTGCCGTCGGGTTTTTATCCCCGATCGGAGATCATGATCAACAACGCGTTCAACATAGTTGTACCAGCGACGACAGAAATAATGCAGACGAGGATGAAGATAGAAGCGCCGAAGCCGATCATACTATTGAAGATTCAGGTAAAGAGGACGAGGACCTTGAACATCTCCCGGAGATGCTGGGAGAACGGTCTTTTTGGACCCGGTCGATGTCACCCGAAGGAAGCGTCAGGTCTGCTAGCGCATCGAACCACACAGCAGCGCCAAACACTTCGTACAGCTTCTCGGCTCCTCGTCCGGTGGAACAAGCGACCATTGCTTGTTCGCCGGCTTTATGAATTGCAAAAGTATAATCCGATACTCGTATAAATGCATTACAAAATTCCTCAGCACGAGAAATGAAATTTGTAATGCGGATTTACCTTAAGAAAAAGTAAAAGATTTGTAATGCATGACTGTAATCACGACGTCGAGTGCGATACTTTTGCAGTTGATAGGCTTTATCTTCTGGCGCTGCTTCCTCCCCCTATTTGATGTCTTCGAGAACTTCCGTACTGGCCGCGACTCCGGAATTGCACCCCATGTCGTGGAGTGAAGATGTATTTTATACACCTGGCGCAGATCATGATACAGTAGATGTTCACGGGGACTCGTCTCCGGTGCTGTCCTCAGAACACCACCCCGATCATATTCTGAGTAAAAACGTTCCCACCCCAGAGTTGTCATGCAAATCTGCATGCCAAAAAAGTTTCTGATGCGGAGCGCCATGAGAGGGATTTTCTAGTCGTGTTTTGGAATTTGTGATGCTAGAATCAGCATGATATGCAAGATCTGTGATGCTGCTGAACGACCTAAACACGACAATTACACCACGAGGACAAACTTGTCATGCGAAACAACCAAAGCTGGCTGATTTGTCTAGCAGATTTTCCATGTTTACTCTGGTGTGGGGTCGTTTTTCCTCAGGATAGATCAGTCGTGCAGGTGGAGCGAAGATCAGTCCTCTCTCGGTGTTGAGCAGCTGCACGGGGGGGCCACAGAACCGCGGAAGGTCTCTAGTACTGTCTCTTGCAGCAAGGGCCGCCACATCAAGACCTTTTCGTGCACGCGCGACGACGAAATCCCGCAGCTCGTCCTGGGGCCGAGTTTTGATAGTCCTACTCCGATGGAACAAGAAGAAGCGCGCGACGACGAAAGTCCGCAACTGGTCCTGGGGCCGCGTGGCTCGGACGATGTTGAGCTAGATGGTGACAGGGAACAAGTACAGGAAACTTCTTCATCCCCTGCTCGCCGACGTCCCCCACCCAGCATCTGGCTAGTTCGCGAATTGAAAATCGGGCTTTGCACCGAGTTCGTCCCCTACAATGCGCGGTCCAATGCGAAATTTTTGCTGGAACTTTTAAGGACGACGGAAAGTTATAAGAGCGAACATGTTCTTGCGGGCTCGCAAAGGAAAAGTGATGAACCAGCTGCACAAGTGTCTCGTCGTGAACATCTCGCTGCGGCAGGAGCACCATCTTCAGGCCAACATCTACAACTTCCCCTATTGAGGAAAGAACCCGGCTGGGCAGCACCAGCGACACAAGTTCTTGTGCGGGAAAAGTCGGAGTTTTTGAAGTACAAAAAGGGCATTTTGTATGAACTGCAAAAGTATCGTACTCGTATAAATGCATCACAAATTTTCTCAGCATGAGAAATAAAATTTGTAATGCTGATTTGCCTTAAGAGAGAGATTTGTAATGCATGATTGCAATTACTACGAGTACGGTACTTTTGCACAGGATATTTTGGTGGCGGTCTTGGCGATTGCGCAGGACCTGCAGGAGAATCAGGTTTATGCATTGCAAATATCGTCCCTGGATCGATCTGGAACAGTGCAACTTGTGATGCTGCATTTGGATGCTACAAAAAATCTGTATTGCATGAGCAGCAACACCAGCAGTCAAAGAAATTTGGCTACGCAGTAGATCGGGCATGTGTCATGCGGGATGTTGCGCATCGATGAGCGCTGAAAATAAAATCTGTGATGCTAGGGCATACATAACAGACATCGTGGATCGTGGACAATGTGCATGACAAACTTGTTCTCTTCCAGACCCAGACGTATTTGCAGTTGATAAGGTTTCCATCGTGAAGCGGCGGAGCTGGCTGCAGGAGCAAAAACTGGCGGTAGAGGGGCGGATATGACAGTGCACAACTCCCCTTCGTTCCCATTTCTCATGCAAAATACCAAATCCACGCTTTCCCTCCTGTCACTATTATGCATGACAAGTTTATGATCTGGTAGCCCAAATAGCACTACACTCCAGTCGTGCAAAAAAAATGTCATGCAAAACCGGCACTGTTGCTGATGCTTGTATTGCCGAGTTCATGCTATACAAATGAGGGGGAGCAGGGGGAGCTGTGCACTGTCATAGCGGAGGGCGAGAGAACAGAAAGTAGAAGATCTAGAGCTTCATCGTCCATGGGGTACTAATGATTATACAGGTCGTTCCTCGACGTGGGAAGAAGCTGCGACAGGAGTTCTTAGTGCGGGTGCAGGTGCAGGTGCAGGAACAACGGGTCCTTTCGGAATCTACCGCGGCGGAGCGCACGACGCGGTCAGCGACCTTCCGCGGCAGCAATTGGGTTCTTCACCTGCTGCGCCGCATACTGCGACCCCCGCTCCTGCAGTCGCTGCACTAGCATCGTCTTCTTTATTCCTGTCTCAACATGAAAGACAAGTCACCGGCGAAAGTTCCGGCAAGATTTCTTCCGGTTCGCAGCAAAGCACAATCAGTGATAGTACGAGCGTATCAAATGCAAATATGTCTGGGTCTGGAATGTTGTGATGCAAGTCACTGAATGATAAGCACACTGTAAAAATGCGCCACCAAGCATGACAATTTTTTTCATGGTTCTGTGTTGCGTATTCCGCATGAGAAACTGTGTGTTTGCATGAGAGTCAAGAGGAGCTCTTGGTTGCCACGCAGTACAGATCCCAGAGTCATGCCAGACTAGCATGACAAGTCTCGCAATCTCCCAGACATCCAGGGATATTTGCAATCCATAAGGCGACCATAATTTCGATGCAGGTGCTGCTCAACATCATCAAACCGGTGGTGAACCGGAGCAGAGTGGCGGTGGTACAACGACCCCTGGAGCAGCAGGAGGTCCTGCTTCCTCTACTATGAAAAAAACCCCCTCCCACTTTTTCCTCGAGATACGCCCGGATTATAATGACTATGCATTGCAAATATGTCTGGGTCTGGAAGGTTGGAACTTGTGATGCTCACTTTGCACTCTAAAAAAATCTGTATTGCATGACCAGCAAGAGGAGCCCAGTTTGTGCTACGCGGGGAGGGCATTTGTCATGCGGGATAGGCATCAGGAAGGCCTCTAAAAATATGTGATGCTAGATCATGCATTACAGACATCCTGGGTCATGCAAAATATGCATGACAAACCTGGTAACCTTCCAGACCCAGACATTTTTGCATTTGATAATGACCAAGAGGAAACTCAAACTACTACCGGTACCACGCGAGCGCTAAAATTCAACACGAAAACGGGCACCTTGCGCACTGTGCCCGCGGCCACTGTACAACATCAACCTGCGGGAACTACATTAACAGCGGAAGGAGGTTCTGCAGCAGCAGGAGCAGCACAACAAGTCCTCTGGGCGCCGCGACGCTCGGCGTATTCCAGTCGTACGCGCGAAGCACTGTTCGGGGAGCAAAGATTTGCGGGGCAGCAGCGACGGCAGGAAGGGGAAAACGGTTTTTTACAAGTAGCGCAGGAAGTAGAGAATCAAGGTCAAGAAATAAGCTCACCCACAGCGCTCCTCGATGACCTGTCACAGCAAAGTCTGGTGAACACGCCCGTGGAGCGTATCCAGAGCAAATATGTCTGGACGTCTGGAAACTTGTGATGCTCAGTTGTGGATCATGGAAACTACACTTCCGAATGCAGCAAAGCATGACAACTTTCCAGAACGCTTTCTCATGCGCAGCCCGCATGAGAGGCTGCGTTTTTTTATGACAAAAGAGGCTGCCGCTGCGGCTGCGCCTTGTGTTGGTCATGCAATACAGATTGCACAGGAATGGAAAACCAGCATTGTTTCGTCCAGACCTCCCAGACATCTTTGCAATGTCGATAGAGCAGCAGTTGCAACGAAAGGCTATGCTGCCAGTCTGGATCTACTACCTAGCTCTGAAACTGGAGACAGATGTAGAGACTGCGGAGTTGAATGAGTTTATTGAGAAACGGTACGCAGTTCCAGCATCGGTCGATGAACAAGACGAGGAGGGGGCCGCAGATTCGCGCGACCTTGTGCGACGACGAGGAGCAGTAGAGCAACTAGACAAGGAAAAAGAAAAATTGCAGAAAAACCACACTTATGCATTGCAAAAATGTCTGGGTCTGGAAGAGTACAAACTTGTATATGCGCATTTCAGAACACAGAAAAATCTCTCATGCATAGGCAGCAAAAGTTGCCCTCTTTCTGTCACCAAAATTCAGGGATTTGTCATGCGGATTCGGCATTGCAAACGCTTCTCGAAACCTGTGATGCTAGAGCTTCCATGCCAGCCCTTCTGTGTCATGCAAAAGCAGCATGACTCTTCCAGACCCAGACATTTTTGCAGTTGATAACACGGGTAACGACGTTGATCTCGGGTACGTTCTTAGTGTCATGTTGCGGGAGCGGCTGACCGCGCCGCGGTATTACGACATCGTCGCAAAATTGCACTTCCAACTTGGGTATCAAATGCAAATATGTCTGGGTCTGGAAGATTCCAAGATTTGTGATGCAGTAGTTCCAAGCTCCACCACGTTTGCAATGCAGGGCATAGCGTCACAGGTTCTGCAGCCCCTTGGTGATGCCTATTCCACCGCATGAGAAATGCTCTCTCAGTATGGCCAGCAATGCACAGCTTTTGCAAGTCATGCAACACAGATTTCTGTATGATTCGCAACATGCATCTTCACAAGTTCGCAGCCTTCCAGACCCAGACATATTTGCACTTGATCTTGGGCAAGAGCGGACCTGGATGCGGCAACAAGAAGAGCGCGAACTAGCGGCCGCCAACGCAGCTGCTATCCTAAGTAAAAAACGTTCCCACCCCCGAGTCAAGATGGGCGACATCTCGCAACACAAGCCGGGAAGTTTTGGGAGTCACGCATGACATACTATTCTAGTGCAGTTTAGCAAGTGTAGCCGCATCACAAAGCCATCCTCTCGTGCTGTTTACAGCATTACAAAGTCCAAAACACGATGAGAAATGCTTCTCATGGGGATGCGCATTGCAAATCGTTCTGTGACTGCAAATCTGCATGACAACTATGGGGCGGGGACGTTTTTCTTCAGGATAGCCGCTGCAGCAGGTTCATCATTTCCATCTTCCACTCGTCGCTCCTACGCCTCGGTTATGCACTGCAAAAGTATCGTACTAGTATAAATTGCATTACAAATTAGCCCAGCATTACAAATGAAATTTGTAGTGCAGATTTACCTTGCGAGAGAGATTTGATGCATAAATGCAATTACTACGAATACGATACTTTTGCACGGGATATCGGTCTCTTCCCTTCGCCGCCGGAAAAGGTACAAAGAGAAACTGGAGCTGTTATCCTGAGTAAAAACGTCCCCACACGACTAGAGTTGTCACGCAGGTTCAATGGCAGGAAGATTTGTGATGCGTATCCCCATGGTAGGCATTTCCGATTGTATGTTTTGGAATTTGTAAAAATGCGGTAAGCAGGACAAGCAGATGGGTTTTTAATGCGGCTACCCGCCTTGCCGACCTGCACTACACTACGGGCTGCAGCTTGTCATGCGTGACGCCCAAAACTTGTCGCTTTGTGTTGCGAATACTCCCCATCTTGACTCTGGGGTAGGGACGCTTTTACTCAGGAGAGCTGTTTCGTAAATACCTCGAGCAGGAGAAAAACAGGCAAGACAGTGAGCAAGTTATGGTCGAGCTTCCTCTGCCGAACTTTCTTGCGGTCTACATCGCGGCTGTGCAATGTCGAGTCTCGAAGACTTCTTGTCAGACCGATTTAGAAGCATTAATGTCAACTACCGACACCGAGACGGAGCAGGAGGTCCTTGGACAGGACCACAGGAGCGTCGCCGTTAGTGCGCCGCGGTGCTCTGGCGGAGTTGATCAAAAGATTGTTCATCCTCTTGACCCTAGCCTCAGCAGCGCCAGCACTTTTGTGGCCGGAATGCTGAAGCAGTACGCTGTAACGCGTGTGTATGGGAGTGTCAGGATTGAAATCGACAAAGTTGAAGTGATTTGCCATGCATAAAATCGATACCAGTTGGAAGCCCAATTTCCAAGCGGCGCATGAGAAATTTTCGGAGCACTGGGATCCAATTTGTCACGCTGCTTAGGCACAGAAGACTGCTTTTGTCATGCTACTTTAGCAGCTCTATTTCAAAGAGCCCTAAACAGGCTAAGAACAAGCGGCCTCACTTGCCATCCCGGCAAGACAGGCACTTCATGCCTTGCATTTTATGCATGACAAATCATTTCAAGTTTGTCGATTTCAAACCTGACGCTTCCATAGTGTGCCGGAAGTGTATACGCCCGCAATTGGCGGGCACGAGTATGCTCACGGACGGAGCTCTTACCGGCATGATGCTGAGCTGTTTTACCGAAGAATATGCATTGCAAATATCGATCTGGGTCTGGGTCACCGGAATGTAGTACCTTGTCATGCGCAATCTCGATTACAAAAAAATCTGTGTTGCATGAACGCCAAAAGCTGCCCACTTCTTGCTAGGCAGAAGGCGGATTTGTCAAGCGGAATGGGCATGAGGAAGGTCTCGCGATGAAATCTGTGATGCTTCTGTACGCATTCCACACGCCATGTGCGTGGTCCGCCGCGGAGATGCATGACAAGTTGCGTACTGTTCTTCCAGACCCAGATCGATATTTGCAATGGATAGAGAATTGAGTCGTTCTATTTCGGGTTCACAATCACGGTGAGATCCCTTTCCGTTCGTGACATCGCCGATAACGTGCCAACGTTTTCCGCGGCCTGGGAAAAGCTGCAGCGGGAGTCCTTTCTTGTGGAAATTCAGGAGCAGACAACCGGTAGAAGTTCCGGACGAGGTGGACCCCATGGAGGCACGACAGATGCCGATCATGTGTTTTTTGACCAAGAGCACAGCTTCCCCAGAAAGACAACCCTCTTTCCTGTAGACATTGAACATCGGGAGCGCGAAGCGACGAAAACCTGGTGGCATCCCGTTCACGCATATGGATTGCAATTATGTCTGGGTCTGGAAGGTTGCAACTTGTGATGCTGCATTTGGATACTACAAAAATCTGTATTGCGTGAACAGCAAAAGAGGTCCAGTTTTTGTCACGGCGAGAGGGCATTTCTCATGCGGTATAGGCATGAGGAGGCCCGCACAAAATCTGTGATGCTAGGACATGCATCACAGACGTTAGGAGTCATGTAAACTGTGCATGAGGGACCCAGACATATTTGCAATGCATAACGCATTGACGGGGCACCTGCCAAAACTACTCCACGTGGAGGCGGCCGTGCCTGGCTTTCTAAGAACCTTCTCCAAGATGAAAAATGCCGCAGGACAAGAAGTAGACCAGGGCGGACAGCAACAAGAACCACGTATCGATTATCCCGCCCTCCTGACCCGGCTCTTTGCGCAAATGAGCGCGCTTTTGCAAGAAGCGAGAAGGGCTACAACTACCGGGCTGGAAGGAACTAGATCAAACGACGATGAGCCACCGGGTGGTCCGGAACAGAACCAAGCGATTAAGCCAGGAAAGACAAACATGATGGCCACGGTCTTGGCGTTTAAGAAGAAGTGCGCGAGGAATTTTCTGCTGCAGGAGCAAATCCTGCAAGTGAGACGGGTCATTTTGACGCTCTGTTTAGAAGAAGCGAAACAAATCGGGTTTCTCGGCGGGGCACCGCCCGGGCGCCGGGTGCAGCTGCAGAGAATGGATGACTTTGTAGACGAGGTCGTGCCGAAATTGCATATCAAATATGTCTGGGTCTGGGTCTGGAAAATAAGTGTAAACTTGTCATGCAGGTTTTCCATGACCCATGAGGTCTGGAATGCGGGACCTAGCGTGACAGACTCTCTGAGGTCTCTGTCATGCCTATCCCGCATGAGAAACTCCCGTTCAACTTGCGGTCGAAAGTGGACAGCTTTTGGCACTCATGCAACACAGATTTTTGCATGATTCGGATTTAGCATGACAAGTTGCCATCTTCCAGACCCCCAGACTACATATTTGCAATCCATATCGAATCCGGTAAAACTAAAGTTCCTTTCTTTGGAGGAGGTGACGCTGAAAGTGTTCCGCCGATCGGAGAGGGGATTCGTGATGTCTGACTTCAAGCAGCGGGCTTCTGTCTTGAAGCAAAACCTCAGGCTTGACCGGAACTCTCCCACTGCTTTCCTGAGCGACGTTTTTGCCGAGAGCAAGGAGATGCTTTTGGACCAACAACAAAGCAGAGCAGGAGATGACCAAAGATTAAACGAGGATGCAAACGCCTTGTGGCTGCGAATTGAAGTGGTAAACAAGGTCGATGTTCCGGAGTTTGCTCTTGCGGACGAAGACAATGTAGTGCGGCATGCCGCTTCCTCACCGGCTGAAAACTACAACTACCTTGCCAGCAGCAGCTCTGCCAGCACTACTACACGAATGGCAGACCACATGCATGACAACAGCCTCCGTCGCCTACCGCAGCGGCACAACACCATCTCCGGTACAACTGCTAGCGGCTCTGGTAGCAGTCACCCGCTGCTGACCGAGCTAGCAGTCAATATACCGCGTCGCGACCATCGGGCTAATACCGATTTTTTCGGGGCGGGGACCAATTTCGGAAAAAGTTCCGCTGCAGGAGGCGGTGCATCATCCTTCTCTCGTGCGCAGATGCAACATATCAACCGCAAATATGTCTGGGTCTGGAAACTTGTGATGCTGGGTGGCGTCTCATGATGAGGCCACAAGTGCTGGCTCAGCGTGACAAGTTTCTGAGCTTCCAGGTGTTGCCTATTCTGCATGACACACTACGCTTCTGCATCACAGAAAAATGGAGCTCTTGGGTACCGTGCATGACAGATTTAAGAGTCATGCCAGACAAGCATGACAAACATGCATTCTTCCAGACCCAGACGTTTTTTTTTGCACTTGATACAACAACTTGTGAACGAAAAAGAACAGCAGCAGAGGGACATCAGGAATTGGCAAAAGGAAAAGAAAAAACAGCTGCAGTTCGAATGGACGCTTTTAGGGATGCTCTTTGACTACGCATTGCAAATACTATGTCTGGGTCTGGAAGATTGCAACTTGTGATGCGGATTATGGAATAGGCAAAAATTTGTATTGCACGAGCGCCAAAACGAGCCGCCCATTTCTTGCTACGCAGATAGGGAAGTTCTCATGCAGGATGGGCATCAGAAGGCCTGCGCAAAACCTGTAATGCTTTTGCCTGCATGACAGGCCATTTGCATAATCCAAAACATGCATGACAAACAAGGGCGTTCTTCCAGACCCAGACATGCTTGCATTTGATATTGACTTTGACATAGACGATGAGGTCACGCTGAACGCGATGGGCTTGGACATTCGGCGGAAAAGGGAAATGCTGGAGGAACGAATGGAAAGAGAAGCAGCAGAGGAACAGCAAAGGGAATGGGAATTACAACAGGAAAGAGAATCGCAGCGTGGTCGGCAAGATGAAGATCGTGAAAATCATACACCTGCTCGGCCTGGTCAAGAAGATGGTGCAACGAGCGATATAGAAGATGCAGTAAGCGTAGATCCTGAAGAACACGACCAGCAGCAGTCCTCTCGTCGGCAAGAATCTGGCAAAAAAAATCCGCTCAAAGGGTTTTCGCAAACGTATCAACTGCAAATATGTGATCTGGATCCATCTGGAGATGACTTGTGTTGCTGAACAAGCTTGTATTGCAGAGTACTAGCCACTTCTTGTATGGCATAACGGCATCAGAAATTTTGTGAGGTTTATAATTGCAGATTGAGATTCAATCGTAAAACGCATGACAAACTGGCACCATCCAGCACCACAAAAAAGTTGCTCAGATGAAATCGCATTCACTCATTATGTCCTTCCAAATACGGAAGAAAAATCTAGACCCAGATCGATATTTGGAATGCATAAAACGCTCGAACGCGACATTTTAACGCTTTTCATGCTCCAGGAGAGTTTCGCAATGAAGCTTGTGGACTTCACCAGAGACACGCAGCACCTGTGCTTTGGCCTTCTGTTAGACGTGCTGTTCCGTGTGTTTGCGGGGAGTAGTTCTTCGCCGGGTCGTTCTTGTAGCAGTGAGACAGCAGCAACAAGAGCGGGTCCTCTGGGAACAAGAAGAACTTCTTCTACCAGTAAAAATAAACCTGACGAAGAACAATCGCTCCTGGAACTGTCCCAGGCTTTACGCAAGATGGCTCTAGGGGAGGGCGGGGGCGCCGTGGTCTTTAATAGAAGTACTTCCACAGGAGGTGGACCACAATTATCCAGGAAAAAAACTGTGTAAGTGTAACTCGTCTCTAGGAAGAGCAGCATCACAAATTCGTTTTGCATTACAGGGAAAACCTGTCATGCGCAGCTAGTACGTGAAAACGCGTATGAAAGTAGCCTGTGACGCAGATCCAGCATGACAAGTGTAACAGTTTTGCACTTTCTGCGTCACATCAGACTTACACTCACATAGTTTTTTTCTTGCATAATATCAGCCGCCGCAGTATTGCTCCATGTCCCCGGAAATGAGCTTCATTGAGGGCAAGCGGATCCTTCAGCAGACCGCGGACCTGTGTATGGATCTGAATCCCATGCTGGGCGTATTACAGTGAAAAGTGCCCCCCACCCCCAAAGTTGCAAAATTTTGTGATGCGAAGTTTCCAAATGAAAACTTTTTGTCATGCATGAAAGGAGTGCGAATCTTTCTGATGCAGAGTCTAGTCGTGTTTCGCATCGCTTGCTTGACAAGCGCCGCTCTTGCTGGGATCTTTTGCAATACAAATTTTTGCTATTCACCATCGGAAATCTGTGATGCTGATACATGCAAGAGGGCGAATGTTTCATTTGGAAAGGTTTGCAATACAAATGCTTTCAAGTTCGGGGGTGGGGGCATTTTTCATTGTAATAGGGCGTGCTCGGGACGACGACGACGACCACGGCTGCGAAGGTATCCTAAGGAAAAACGTCCCCATCCCAGAGCCAGAACGGGGATTTTGCAACACAAACCTTGAAGTTTTGGGAGCCCCGCATGACAAATTGCAGGCTGTAGTGTATTGCAGTTTAGCAAGGGAAGTCGCATGACAAATCCATTTGCTTATCCTGTTTACAGCATTACAAGTTCTTCCAAAACACGATCGGAAATGCCTATTATGGGGATGCGCATTACAAATGCTCTTGTGCTTGCAGATCTGCATGACAACTCTGGGGTCGGGATGTTTTTACACAGGATAGAAGGTGGTCGGGTTATTTGGCGAAGCAGCATCGTCAAATAAAGTTTCCGCAAACTACCCAGGTGCAGCTGTGTCACCACCAGCTTCGTCTTCACAACCCGCAGTTAATAATCTGCTGTCGATGCAGGAAAAACTGGATCAGCTGTTACTTTTGTTTGAGCAAAATTTCCCGGATTTTTTCGGCACGTCGAACGGAAGTAGTAGAGCACAGGGCGGTACTAGTACCACCTCGTCGGGTGGTGCTGCCAGTAGTGTGCCTTCTAGCTTCGTCGGGCACGTGCGGTTCCTTCCGCAAAGTCGGGCTGAGTAAAGAACAAGGACGGGTTGATAAGAAGTAACAACAGGAGGTGGAGGGAAGAAGCGGAAGATGAGAATCATCCTGAGGTCTACTTCCTCGTGGGACCAATCGAAGAGACGGTTTTTATCGAACCCTGACAAAGCGAACAAATTGTAAACAGCGAACGAAATAAAATGATCGAATCAAGATACTTATCAACTTTCAGTACAAGAACAACCACCGTGAAGATCTCAACCGTGACGTATGTATCTACTTACATCAAACCTTTTTTCAACAAATAAAACAAGACTTCATTTCATCTATTCACTAACAAAATCTTCTGTCCGATACATTGCCTTGTATATTCCCTTCCTGCTACAAGAAGTAAGAACAGTGCAGGAGCAGGGCGGAGTGCATGATGTCTAGAATTTTACAACCCACACTTTGCTGGTGATGCGACAGGTACTTTTTGGCGACACTACCGAAGGACTTAGTTTGATACAGCGATACCGATTTTTCCACATAATAAAGTCAAATAGTCCTACTCCTATCAACGAAAATGAGGAGTCAGAGTGGTCATGGTGATTGAGTCTACCATATAAAAATCTTTCATACGAACGGTCTGATCGGTCTCAAACTTCGAATGAGATCAATCAGCGTTAATATTTTGAGTGGCGTTTCAAATTCTTGCCCGATAGATAATTCACTATCGTTTTTATGTCGATCTACACATGCGTAATTTAAGATTTTTATACAAACCTGTTTGTTTCATGTTTGCAAGGTCACTTGTACTATCGCAGACACTGCTGCAATGGAAATTTCTACATACGGCGCATAGCAGTAACCTAACACCGCCGGCGGGCTCGTTTCCATGCCACGGGGGTTAGTTTAGGTTTGACTATGACTATGTTGAAGATTTGATAATATTTCTTCGCCGTTTTTGTTTTCTTCTTCAAGCGACCATTATTTTTTATTTTTTTCAGACGAGCACGAAAAGGAAAAGATAAAGATAAAGTTAAAGAATACAACGTAAGAATATCTTGTACACACTGATTAATGTGGACGAGGAAATCTGGATCCTCAAATTCTGTGTATTGTATCTTTTTTGCAGATCTTCTATATGATTGATATTGATGTGTTTCGCCCCTTGTACCATCTAGGAGAAGCAGGGCGGTCAAGTCTGTACCTCTGATGGCATCGGGGCATTGAAGAGAAGCATATTTTTTTTTCAACAAAATCTATCGAAACGTGCATCCGGCTGAAAAATCGAGGGTCGTGGTGACATCAACGCGATAAGAAGAGGAACGCGGAAATAAAGCATGAGGACCGTGAGCGGTAGCGTGTGGAGAATTCATTTTGTGAATACGCTTTCGATGTAGAGGCCATTTTGCTTATTTTCGAGTTTTATTGGGGTTTTGGGATTTTACTCTCCAATGTAACACCAATTTTTATAACTTGCTATTTGCAATTTTATCACTTGTTTTCGAAAAAAATTTTATATAAAGATAGCTCGCTTGTTTTTATGCTGGAGGCCTAGTCGTCAGCGGGTTTGTGTACTTATTTACCAAATAAATGATCTTCCGGACGATTCTGCTCCTGTAATCTAAATTTTATGAAGAAATTGTAGCGCTGACATCGTACGCTGTAGTTGTAGCAGGGCCAGGGCAGAGTCAGAGCTCTGCTTGTCGCACAACTTTGATTTCTCCTCGTGGCCCTCCGGGCAGCTACATTAGTAAAAATAATGACGCACTGTTGGATAGTATCGAGTTGTTTAAAAACGGCAGAGGAGAAGGATCGCACTTACGAGTTGTTTCAAAGAAACGGTAGAGGAGAAGGACCGCACTAGCAGCTCACAAGCGGAGCACTCAAACTCTACTTGTGCAGAGAACGCAATTTTTTTCAGAAAATACAGAAGAAAGGGAACAAGGCTGCTCGTGGTGCCTTCGCTATTAAATAAGGGATTGATAGAAAAATTATGCTCAGCAAGTAGCGGGAGCGTGATTTAATATCACGGCAGACTCGTCCATATGGAAAACTCTCACGGCGCTACTTTTGGAAACGTAACAACTGTTGCACTGACACTAGGACTACCACAGGCCTACCAGATATAAAGAAAAGCCAGCATAGATACTTCCTGGATGTTGAAAAGAAATACGCCGCGTCGTTGTAACGTAAAAAATTTTGTTACGATAGAGAAGCAATATTTCCGTGGTAAGAAGAAGGGCGACCATGGGCGGACTAAAACTGCTACTGCAAGGGGAGGTGTACAGTCGCAATCAACAACAGAAAGCAGCAGATAGGCATAGGCGTTGGTACTGTGAGGCATATTACGGGGTGGAGAAATAAACAAGAAACACAAACAACTGTCTATGAAATACTGTCCTGTATTTGATGTGAAAACATCGGAAAGCCGATCAAAAGAAAACTTCTTGCCTTCTCTATCCGACGGCCGTATTGGGCGAATGTGAAAGTGTTCGTTCGTTTTCGAAATGGCTCAGCTGGCGGCTTGGTGGCGGATCTCTTTTTCGCAGTGGATCATAGGTTGGTCGGAGAAAGAGCAGCTTCTATGGGCCCTGCTATAGTTCGTTTTTTGTGAAGAGTCAATAGGATTTGGATCTCAACTGCTTGTGCAGGCATGGCAAGATGCAGACCGCATAACAGGATCAAAGTAAGTAGTACCTTCAGTCGCAACAGGACAAGGCGGGATCTAGCTTGGCCACGACCACGGTGGACCACAATAAAGAGAAACAAGCGAAGGTCTCACGACATTACTACAACAGCGTGCTTCTGTAGCTGTAGGTGTAGTTGACAGCGTATGGCTCTTGCTCAAGGATGGAAAAGTTGTGAAGAGATTCTTTTGGTGTAGAAGTAGATGTTCAACACAAAAGTAGATCCTGAGGCTGATGCTGAACACGAGAAGGTCAGGCAGAGATCTAGGCGTATTCTATTAGGTTTCACAGTGGAAGATCTGATCTCGTTATTTCAACACTTCAATTGGGGCACGTCAGGAGGTGTTCTAGTTTGAGTAGTGAGGGTAGAAGTCGTGCTTTATTTTTTCCATTGGTGCCCCCCTGCTCAGGGATTCTTTTACAACTAGCATGCCGCGCAGGATCTGGATCTCACTTAATAAACAGTGATGGGGTGCTGGAGATGCGATCAGATTAAGAATAGTGTATCGATAAAACAATATTTGTATCGACAGGCTGCAGATAGTAGCAAGCCGTGTAAGAGCTGCGGGCGGCACTCGCATTTATTTTTCCTACTGAAGATTCACGACCAGTATAATAATAATTGCTTTTAGATTTGAAGGTGTAATAAAACAAGTTTACATTCGACAATCACGACGTCCAAAAATAAACGCCAGGTCAACGACAGTTCAGGAGTGACTTTTCGTTGAATGATATCAAAAGGAAAAATCCCCCCTCCCCATATCGAAACCGAAACTTGTGATGCTGTATTTGAGTACACAAATCGACTTGGATTGCTAGAAGGCCAAGAGACGCAGCTGTGGCCTCGGTTGCAGGCAATTTGTCATGCTGTTTCCCACTTTTAGTTGTTTTTTGTTATGTTGAAGACGCAAAGGTTTATTCCCACGCCAACCAGCACTACAGTCCGCATCTTTTCCCTTCTAGCATGACAAAGCTGATTTGTGGCCACAAATCTGCATCACAAATTTCTAGTGTGAGTATGGGGTGGGGGGATCTTTCATTTTGATAAAATGATTGAGAGAAAAAACTACGTCAAGAAAGCTAGAAGAACGAACAGCAGAAAAAATAGAAAACACGTACTAAAATTCATCAGAACAACTCACTGCTCACTACACTTACGGAAAAAAGATTTGATGTATCGAAAACTATAGCACTCGAACTCCACTAAGGCTGCTCGAAATAATACAAAAAATTCGAGCACAAATAATAAGCCGGTTACTAGACAATTATCGATTTGTAAAAATATCTTTCTGAAAACTAATACGCTACTAGCGAATTTTATTTTGCTCTATCTCTTTCACTCGTACGAACGACACTCGGCACAGGATAATTTACCAAATAGGGCAAAAGCGAGAAACTAAAATATCTGTCATTTCTTTTGGCCTTTTTTATTGCGCCGTGCTGATTATCCGTTGTATTTTTTCCAAAATATATTGATTACACCGAGGTTTTCCTTTCTCTCAGCAAGGCTGGCACTGACTCCTTCGTGTGTAGTTCCCATTGATAGGAAAATTACTCGTCACCTCTTTATCTCCAGTATTGCCGCGGGTTCTTTGCCTCGCGTATATCGGAGAAAAGTTGTTGTTTCGGGCGACGCAACTATCATAAGTACCTGGGAACAATAATAATAAATTCTGCTTGCTCTTCACAACATACAACGTACTTGATATTCGTTCCTCGGAATAAATCGCTGAAAAAACCAGAAAGAATCGGCAAAATAAAGAAAAGACCCGATTGGCGGAAGGTTTTTTTTTTTCCCACTATCGCAAGAAAAAAGTGTTACAGTTACACATTGTGTTGCAAAACACGCATGGCAGACAGCCTCTGTCATGCACGAAATGCTTTCAAACCTTGTTTCATACGTGTTTTCCCGTAGGATTTCAGCAATGCAAGTTTTCTCTCTCATGCAGAGAAATTTGTGTTGCTGAATTGACAACAAATGTGTAACTGTAACACTTTTTTCTTGGGATACCCACGCCGGCCGAATCACTATATCCACTCGACGGTCGTGCGCCGAATCATTTTGGTAGGTTAGAAGCTGTAGTATTGCCATTCGATTTTTGGAACATCAAAGCTGCTCGCTCATTCTTTTCTCACGGGGTATTAAGTCTTTTGCTTTATACCTTATTTCGATAGAGAAACTACACGAAAATAGCGCATGCTGGTAGCCTGTGTTTCTAGCAGATTCTTTTTGAAATCGAGTCTTCTCCAGTAGTCTCGCTACAGAAGTCGACTTGTATTTAAAAAAGTATCTAGAAGTACTTCTTGAGAGGCTAAAATCGCTTGTAGTACTTCTCCCAGAAAGACGTAGGAGCTACAACAACGCGCAAGTAGTACTTATTCCAGAATCAACACGATAGAACCGTTCTTATCAAGGAGAACAATTCATCGCCTCGCAGTCGCAGCGTTTCGTTGTACTGCTTTTTTATCACAAGTGAGAGGCTCTACTTCGCACCGAGAATTTTTACGAGCCCCAGGCCATTTATTACTTCGTCGATAGATCTGCCGATTCGACTAGATCTTCGAACCCGCGAGCCTGTGTGGTCTGTTTATTTTCTTGGGCTGAAAAAATAAAAGTATAAAAATAACGCTGCAAGTAGACCAAGAGTCATAATTACAAACTATGTGAAGACAAGCTGTAGACTTATCGAAAACGACCAGGTTGCAGCGCGTTTTAGAGGACTGTGTCTTGTCGGAGACACAGAGCTCAAGCTGCAGTTTAAATCTGTAGCTCCACTGGCGTATTATTGGGGGGAAAAAAGTAAAAAGATTTTTACTAGGAAGACAGGCTACTTCACGATATTTTTACGATATTAGTGTTGTAAAAAAAAACTAACCTCAAATACAAAACCTAGGAACTACTACGCAGGAAACTCAACACCAAGAAGCCCTAGCATTAAAGATGTCGTTAGAAATCGTACCAAAACACGGCTGCCACGCTGGATTATACACTATCTTTCACAAAAGCAAAAAAGCTGGAGTGAAAGAATAGAGCCTGACACAACTTCAAGCTTTAGTACACCAAAAAGCGTCTTAGACCGAAAGGGACCCAACTTGTGGAAGATTTGTCGCACTCTCCACGACTGCGCGACCATCCCTTGAAGTGGCCTTTTCTACATTTCGATTGTGCAGAATTTTTTCAAAAAGAATTGTAGCCGCCTTTCAGTTTCACTTTTATCGCAGCACGCGGTACTTCCGTTTTTCGAAATTTCCCTTCGAAATCAGGAACAAATCGGACAAAAAATTTACTCCAGACCACTCAAAAAACCCACCTAAGAGTTGTACTCTTTTTCTACCGATTTACTTTCTTCGGGAAAAAGAGGACGCAACCACTACACAATACTAGACCCAGATTCTTTTACAAATAAGAATAGCACGACCCGTTTTTGATACTATTACATTCACTATTTCATCATCTTTTCTTGTTTCTCGCTTTTATAATTCTTAGGCTCTTTTCGCTTTATGACTTTTGTCCTTATCTTCTTTTTTATATCCGCCAAAGGAAAGGTAGAAGACGCTGCTGGCGTCGGAAAACTAAACTTGTGACGTGTTGCTGGTTTGATGCCCTTTCACGGCGTCATCCCACAATAACTAGCACAGAAGTAGTACCTACAGAGGTCAACGTCTTTTGCTTTTCCGCAGTTTTACTTGTTTCATTATTTCAGCTTTTTACAAAAACTCTCTCGGTCGGCTTTTATTGATTAGTGTGCCGACAATTGATTACCAAAACGTTGTTCTGAAATACATATACTTTGAAGTTGTAGAACCCGATAGAATAAATAAACAAGCCAACATGGAGGTCGCCAAAATGAATACATACACCCACTCGACAGCGCAAAAGCGGGCTGCCGCGCGACGATTTTTTGCATTGTCCCGAGCGGCGCAGCTCCTTGTGGCTGCACAGCTGGTGATTTATTCCTGCGATCTGTTGGGCGTCGGAATGGTTTCCAATCTCTTTATTTCCCCGATCGTCTTCGCCGCTGCCGCAGCATCTTCCTCGTCGAACCAGGCTCGTCCTGCAGGGACAACCAGTGCGGGTGAACAAGGACTGCACCATGACGTCGTAGGGCAACAAGTTACAACTACACCGGGTAGTCGTCCTGAGCAGGCCGCAGCCGCTGCAGCTTCCGGCGGTCCACCTCCGTCGGTGCAAGATACGAATTTACACGCGCGCCGGGCCCCCGCGGCTGGACCACCAGGAGTCTTCACGACGGCCGCAGCTAGTCCGATAGAGACACATGAAGTGCCTGACCGTCTTATCCTGAGTAAAAACATCCCCACACCAGAGTCAAGATGGGGATTTTGCAACACAAACCTAGAACTTTTGGGGGTCACGCATCACAAGTTGCAGTCCGTAGTGTAGTGCAGGTTCGCAATGCCAGCTGCATCAGAAATCCATCTGCTCATCCTGTTTACAGCATTACAAATTCCAAAACACGACTAAAAATGCCTCTCCTGGCGATGCGCATTGCAAATGTTCCTGTCATTGCAAATCTGCATGACAACTCTGGTGTGGGGACGTTTTTACTCAGGATGCGTCTGTCGGCCGGCGCTCGCGTGCTCGGAGAGCTTTGTTGCAGTTTCTCCGGGATCGGGCGGGGGAAAGGGTTCATGTTTTCGAACAATAAGCCAGATCGTTTTGACGATCCCCAACTGCAACATCACCAGCAGGCACAAGAACTACATCTTATCCGCCCGAAGCAGGAGGCGCTGCCTCCCTGCTCCTCGCCGGGAATGTCGTTTCAGTCTGAGGACCCTTGTACCTCCATTTCGGATGAAATCATGGAAGCCGTGTCTCGGTGCAACACGCCGCCGCCGTTGTGTGCGGTGATGGGCGGTCCGGGGACGACCCCGACTGGTACTACTACATTGGGGGGTGAGCTACAAGAAGCCCAAGAACTACATCAAGGGGCTGGTGCTGCTCCTTCGGGTCGTGGTCAACAACAGCACTTAGCAGTGCCAACAAATAACCCAGCAGAAGCAGGTGGAATTACACGAGGACCTGGCGGGGGTGGTCCTAGTGCGATGAATGCGGGAGAAGTACTAGGCCACAGCGGAGGAAAACAATCTTTCGTAATTGGAAACAGTGGCGCGGGCACGTGGGATCCCGTGGAAGTTGCAAGCGATAGCGAGCGGCCGGCGGTGGTCCGCTGCATACGGCCAAATAAAGTGCCACAACAGCAAGAACCATCTACTTCCAGCGGGAAGGAGCCTTTCTCCGTGTCGGAAGTGAGTTTGGCGATGGGGTATGCAATACAAATTTCCCGTACATCTACAAAATGCATGACAAATTTCGCGAACTTGCAGTGTCCAACTTGTCATGCTAGACTAGGATTGAAGACAAGTTTTGTAATGCAGTGACAGCATTTGCACATGTACGCGTACGGGAAATTTGCAGTGGATATGGGGCCCCTGCGCCGGCAGATCTACGCGGGTGCCATGAACAACAGCACTGTTGTTTCTACAGCCGCGATTGCAAGAACACCAGATGTAGAACAGCCAGGGTCCTCGTCATCGTCTGGCGCAGCAGCAGCTCCGCATCATGCTGGAAGTGGTGGCCAAGGCGCAGGAGAAGCTCAACATCAGCCGCAGGGGGCAGTAGCTCAAGGAGGTGCAGCTGGTGCGCGGTGGAACCCCGCGCATCGTGGGGACAAAAATCAAGGATTTTCTCTGCGTGGTCAACAAGCCGGTACAACTTCTATGCAGGTGGGCCACGGCCGCTTGGCATCATCATCAGCCGCACAGATGCCATCTGTGCCGAAAGGCCAGAAAGTGGTGAAAAAGCACCTATTCGGGAAGAAACGTGGACCAGCAGCTGCAGCAATTTCTGCGGCCGGAGCAGCTGCAAATATTCACGTGGTGAACAACAGCGGCAGGACTGCAGTTTCTGGCACTGGTAGTGCGACCGCTAGTTCTTCTGCTGCTGCGTCTTCTGGCCACCAGGGTCGTAGCAGTACCTCTTCTACCTTCTTCAATTCCACCCCAAATAAAGGTGGACAACATTCTTCGCAACCCGTGCGACGGGGAAACCACTGCGATGCTATGGACCGATTGTACCGCAAGTACGGAGTGAAGTTCCGGAAAGACCGTGTGATCGTGTCTAATAAGGCGATACCTCCTCCTCTGAAGATGCGGCAGAAACAAGTAGAACAGCTTCGTGGTTGCAACAAGGATGATTCTGCTTTGTTAACAGAACAAACCACCACGACCGGAGGCTCGTTTCTAGTTTTACCGAAGTCCTCGGGGCAGCAAGCACTGGAAGATGTCGTTGTGGATTCGCAAGCACAACCCGTAATAGCTGGGCCCCAGCAAGGCCAAGGGAGCACGACCCCGTCCCCTTTAGATTTGGTTAAGCAGCAGGGCAGCACGTTCACGAGCGGCGCAGGTGAAGAGAACACAAGGATCATCGGTGCCGCGTCATCTGGGCAGCAGCAGGCGGGTGAACAACAAGCAGGAGGTGTACAACAACTTCACCCGCAGGGCGAGCGGACGTCGACCGGTGGGTGTGGTACTTCTATGCGACACGGTGGTACGTGCGACACGCCGAAGGCTCCTTCCGATATGTTGGCCGTCAACACGGACGTGGTAGCTGTTGCACCTCCGGGTAGTAGTAATCTTAGTACCCTGGTCCAGGTAGAACAACACGGGCAACAAGTTCCCCCTGCTTACCAAGAATGCACGACTTCCTTTGGTGGATTTCTGGACGGCCCCGACTGGGATGCGCCCGAAACCAAGGCGGCGCTCGAGAAATTGGAAAAAGATCCGGAGTACCAGTACTACCAGAGATGCCAAAAACAGTACACGAGCAGCATAGAGGCGAAGAACATCGCCCCGCCGTGGGATTTATCAAATGCAAATATCGATCTGGGTCTGGAAGGTTGCAACTTGTCATGCTAAGTCTGCATCCTGTAAAAATCTGTGTTGCATGCTTACCAAAAGCTGTCCACTTTTGACCAAGTTGAGAGGGGGTTTCTCATGCGGGACAGCCATGATAGAGATTTCACAGAATCTACCATGCTAGTTCCTGCATTCCAGACTTCAGGGATCATGGAATATCCGCATGACAAGTCGCGCAATCTCCCAGACCCAGACATATTTGCATTTGATACGTTTTGCGGTGGGTGTCGGGTAGTGGCGGGGAAGATCAGCATGCGGGAACAACTATCAAATGCAAAAATGTCTGGGTCTGGAAAGTTGGAACTTGTGATGCTAACTTTGGACTCTAAAAAAATCTGTATTGCATGACCAGCAAGAGGAGCCACATTTGTGCTACGCGAGGAGGGCATTTGTCATGCGGAAATGGCATAAGGAAGCTTTCCAAAAATCTGTGATGCTGGGTCATGCATTACAAGCATCATGGGTCATGCCAGACAAGCATGACAAGCCTTCCATTCTTCCAGACCCAGACATTTTTACATTTGATAACAACCACTGGGGCAGCTGGAAATAAATACGAGTCTTACTCAACCGCGAACCAGTACGGGGCGAGTACGGGCTGTTTTTACGGAGAAAAATTAATCGAATCTGAAAATGGGGACTTTGTGATGCGAGAAGATGTTGGTGATGGTGGTGGAAGTACTAATGCCTCTTGGCTGAGAAGCCAAATGCTGGCCGACGACGGGTATCGTGACTCGTTAGGTCTGAATAAGCAAATCGGGATGAAAAGTTTGTTATCAAATGCAAAAATGTCTGGGTCTGAAAGAATGCAAGTTTGTCATGCTTGTCCGGCATGACTCGCGAATCTGTGTTGCATAGGCACGAAAATTATGCCCTCTTACCTGTCATGCAAAAACGTAGTTAGCCATGCGGAATACGTAAGACATCGGAGCCAAAAAATTTGTCATGCGTAGCTGCGTATTGCAGTGCGTCTACCATTCACTTTTGGCATTACAAGACCCAGACATATTTCCAATCCATATTTGTGGACCAGATCCGTGATGGACGGGCCGAGTGGAATTGCCGGCACCCTCGTCCAGGACCGCCCGCTGATCGTGCCGCCCCCGCAGCGGAAGCGCACCAGTGAGTCGATGTACGAACCGCGGGTGGATCATTCCCGGGTTCTGAGCGGATATCCCACGAAAAAACTGTAATACAGTTTTAACATTTGTATGTCAATTGAGCAACACAGATTTTCCCTGCATGAGAGGAAAAACTTGCAATGCAGAGATCAACATAAGGGAAAACACGTATGAAATGAGGCTTGAAAGCATTTTGTGCATGACAGAGCTTGCCTGTCTTGCTTGGCCTGCAACACAATGTGTAACTGTAAAATTTTTTTCTTTTGCATAGCGGTGCCAGCTTTTGCAGTACTGGCGCAGCGTCCTCGTGTGGAGGGGTAGTACAACAAGGAGCAGGCGTATGCAAGAAAAAAACTGTGTAAGTGTAAGTCTGTAATGCAAGGGATGCAACACTGTTACACTTGTCATGCTAGCCAACCATGAACTCCTTCATTTGTGTTTTCACTTACTAGCTGCGCATGCCAGGCTTTGTCTGTCATACAGAACAGATTTGTCATGCCGTCACCCCAAGACACCTACACTAACACAGTTTTTTCCTTGGATAAGGCGGGTGCTGCAATTCATCCCACACGACCAGTCCGCTGTCCGGGATGATGCAGCCTGCTCCGGCGAGCAGAAGCAATTCGAAAAGATCCTCGCAATTCGGAGAACAATCTTCGCCCTTGCTGCCGCGGTACCCTATTTAAAAACGTCCCCACCCCATAGTTGTACTGCAATTCTGCATGCTGAAAATGTTTCTCATGCGGAGCCCCAAGATGAGCATTTTATAGTCGTGTTTTGCAATTTGTCATGCTCCAATCAGCATGGTATGCTAGATCTGTGATGCTCCTGAGCTAGCTCAAACAGCACTACACTACGAATCCAAATTTGTCATGCAAAACAGCCAAAACTTGTGGATTTGTCTAGCCGATTCCTCATCTTGACTATGGTGTGGGGATGTTTTTACTCAGGATACTCGGCAACCGAACTTTATGGTTCCGCTGGGCGTGCTGGATGGTATTACGCATCAGCAGGGCGGCTTGGAGACGCCGCGGGGAAACACTAGCGCGGCAACAACGGTCGTGGGGGTGTTTGACTACGAGTCGCTGGCGGAGAGACACGACGGGCAAGGGAAGCAGGTGTTCTATGGAGTTCTCAAATCGGTTACCTTCTCAACTGTTACATGGATTTGCCATGCAGAACTACTACCTTAAGCCACCAGACGATCAAGCTACTTCGCATGACAAATCTCCGAAGGGGTATTAAACAGCCTCTAAATATGTGCCAAACCTGTGATGCGAAAGCAGCAAGCTTGCCCCTTTGCCTGTTGCTGTTCTTGCATTGCAAATTCGTGTTGTAACTGTTGAGAAGGTAACCGATTTGAGAACGCCATAGGTTCCAACTGGACGGACTTACGATGCCGCCGGCACAGATGTCGCCCGACGAGTGCGCTTCGATGGTGTCGGGCACGATGACCCCCCCGCCGCGTCGGCAGGTCAGCGGCCGAGCCTTCACCGAGCCAGACCCATTTTTGAATCGGTTAGAGCACTTGCTGAGCTCGCCGGGACAGCTGACAACAACGTCCAATCGGGACACCCAGTCCCTAGTTGGCAGCGAGTGCGGGGCAGACGTTGGGAGTGACGTTGCTCTCTCACAGCAGCAGCAGCTGGGAGCTGGCCCTTCGTCTACTTCCGGGCCCGCACAAGCTCTGTGCGAGCCAGCGGGCGGAAATGGTAATGGAAGTGCGAATGCGACAGGTGGTCCACTGCATTACGGCTGCGGTTGCCCGCTGGATACCGAGCCGACCCGTTTCACGCCCCCGCGACCCCGGGAGGCGAAGCGAAGCAGAGCTTCGAACGCTTCGGTCGATACGACGGATGAAAGCGGCGTAACGGCCTCGCAGGAACTGCGAAGCGGTTCTTTACTAAGTTCGTCGCAAGACACTGCGTGGACAGCAGCAGGAGCAGGTACGCCAAGTAGTCCGCCGTCGCTCTCTATGCAAAGAAAAAAGTGATGTTACAGTAACACATTGTCCTGCAAGACCAGCAAGACAGACGACCTCTGTCATGCGCAAAATGCTTGCGGGTCTCGTTTCGTGTGTGTTTTGCTTTATGATCTCTGCATTACAAGTTTTCTCCGTCATGTGAGGGGTGTGATGCAGAATTCACTACAAATGTGCTGTAACTGTAACACTTTTTTCCTTGGATTCTCTCCAGACAGTTGTCACCCTCGGACTCGCAATCATCGTCGAGGGTGGCGGGCTATCAAGTGTAAAAATGTCTGGGTCTGGAAACTTGTGATGCTGGGTGGCGTCTCATGATGAGGCCACAAATGCTGGCTCAGCATGACAAGTTTCTGAGCTTCTAGGTGTTGCCTATTCTGCATGACAAACTGCGTTCCTGCATCACAAAAAAATTGAGCTCTTGGGTAACGTGCATGACAGATTTAAGAGTCATGCCAGACAAGCATGACAAACATGAATTCTTCCAGACCCAGACATTTTTACACTTGATATGGCAGGCGGGGGCTTGATGGGACTGTTTTCGGGTTCTCAAGATTCTACGCCGGACACGAGTTTGCAACAACAGAGCTTTGCCGCCATGATGCAGCACGCCGGTATTTTTGGTAGTATTTGTATTTGAGTTATACTTTCGATTCGTCTACTCTACAGTTCTCTTTTCAATATCGTTCTCATCTAGGATCAGTCCCTGGTAGTTGCTTGTTCTGGTGTGCTTTCTATATTCATCAATGGATTGTGCGCCGGCTAGAGCTGCTAGTTCTTCGTCTCTAATGAATAACGGGCAAGTAGTTGTACTAGGCCGAGGGTAGTACTATGTATACTATAAAAATGTGCAGGCACTAAAAATAAACTTGCGGGAAGGTATAAAAATTGCAAAACAGCATTTACTTTTATCGGCATCATCGGCAAAACAGGTTACGGCGCATCTTCCGCGACCGGCGCGGGGGCCAATTCTAGCACGGGGGCTACACTCACGTCTGTTATCCACTATAGATCGAGGAAGTTTCTTGATGATTGTACCGTCATACACGACAACGTGCGTTAAGTTGTGTACGTAGTAATGACAAACCTGCATGTTGAAATGGGTGTATGATTTGTTTTCGTAGCCTGTACTAGCCAGGAGATTAAGCCCCCACCGAGGATCTTCATTCTGATTGAAATTTCCATATGACCAGCACAACATCTGGTACGTCTTTGTTTTCTTGTGCGGTACACGAATCGAAGAGCTTTTGCATTAAACTCTGCATAACGTCACCAAGCGCAAGCGTAAGCAGCAGGATAATCCAAACCGGCGGTACAACAAAACCTTCTGGCAACCACCTGGTTCGCCACGCGCACAGCAAAACGCCCCGCGGTCGCGTTGGCATGATTTCCTCCCCCGCTTCTCCGAGCCGGCCGCTCGGCGCACAGCGCAAATCCAACTCCTGCCCGGACATTGCGGCCATGGGTGGGGCAGCAAGCTCGGAGCAAGAGGACATGCGGCAATTGGGTGGCAACAGCACCTATCAGATGTAAATATGTCTGGGTCTGGAAGATTGCAAGATTTGCCATGTTAATCTGGTATGACTCTGCACTCTGTATTGCGTGGCCACGAATAGCCTCTCTCGCCTGGTGCCATGCAAAAACGCAGTTTCTCATGCGGAATGCGCAGCACAGAGGCACGAAAAAACTTGTCATGCTTGGCTCCGCATTACAGTTCACCTCTTGTGTACTGACTTGCATCACAAGTTTCCAGACCCAGACATATTTGCAATGCATAGCACCAGCGGCCACGCGAGCCAAATGTCTACCGATGGCATGAGCAATGTGGCGGTCGGGTGTCGCTCGAGCATATCCTGTGCAAAAGTATCGTACTCGTAGTAATGGCAGTCATGCATTACAAATCTCCATCCCAAGGCAAAACAGCATGACAAATTGCATTTGTCATGCTGACCGAATTTGTAATGCGATTTGTACTAGTACGATGCTGTTGCAATGCATAGAGCATAGCGGGTGACGATTTAGATGACCAGTTTGAAATCGCTTCGCAGCAAATTGACGCACAGCTTGCTGTATGCATTGCAAATACGCCTGGGTCTGGTTCTGGAAGGTTGCAACTTGTGATGCTGGCTTTGGATTCAGAAAAAATCTGTATTGCGTGACCAGCCAAAGCGGTCCAGTTTGTGCTACGTGGAGAGCTACCGTTTCTCATGCGGAATAGGCATTACCATTATCAGGAAGCCATCTAATAGTGGTCTGTGATGCTAGGTGATGCATTGTAGGCGTCGCGGGTCATGCAAAAGGTGCATGACATACAAACGCTGCACCCTTCGTCCAGACCCAGATCGATATTTGCAGTTGATGATATGCAGCGGGAGGTGACCTGGATCATCCTGTCGCCGGTAGTTCGCGTAGTGGAGGTGGTGACCTGGAGAAACTGCACCAGGGACAAATGCAGGCACCTGGTGCACCTGGAGCTACCGCAGCTGGTTGTTTTGCTTTTGCCGGTGGAGTTCCGCAACAACAGCTTCTCCCTAGCATCTGCGAAACTTTGAACGAAGATATGGCCTCGGATATTACAGTGAAAAAAGCCCCCACGCCCAAAATTGCAATAGTTTGTGATGCGAAGTTTCCAAGTGAAAGCTTTTTGTTATGCATGAAAGGAGTACGAATCTTTCTGATCCTGATGCAGAGTCTAGGCGTATATCGCAGCGCCTGCATGACAAGCGCCGCTCTTGCTGGGATCTTTTGCAATTACAAATTTTTATTTTTGCTATTCACGACTGGGAATCTGTAATGCTGATAGATGCAAGAGGGCGAGTGTTTCCTTTGGAAAGGTTTGCAATACAAATGCTCCCAAGTTCGGGGGTGGGGGCGTTTTTCATTGTAATATCGGAGCTGGGAGCGAAGACGGCATCTTCCCGGGGAAAGATGAGAAATAATGACCGCAGCTCTTCAAGCAAGGAAAGTTGCACGGCCGGCGACCGAGTTGTAGCTGGTGGAACCGCGGCAGCCGCTTCTTCTATGGAGGACCTGCCCCGCGTGCCCAGTAACAATACCATTATCAAATGCAAAGATGTCTGGGTCTCGAAGAGTACAAGACTTCTCATGCGGGTTCAACATGACGCATGAGGTCTGCAATGCAGGAGCTAGCATGACAGATTCTGTGAGATCTCTACCATGCCTATCCTGCATGAGAAACTCACTCCCAACTTGGTCAAAAGTGGTCAGCTTTTGGTAGTCATGCAACACAAATTTTTGCATGATCCAGATTTAGCATGTCAAGCTGCATCCTTCCAGACATCCAGGGATACTTGCAGTGCATAACCATGACGGACGAACAGTTTTCCGAACTGGGCGGCGCGTTCAGCCGGGCGAGTAGCGGAATTATTCGGCAATCCACGAAGGATAGTACCATTACCAGGGCTATCAACTGCAAAAATGTCTGGGTCTGGAAGAATGCAACTTGTGATGCTGCATTTGGATTCCAAAAAGATCTGTATTGCATGAGTACCAAAGGGAATGCAATTTTTGCCACGCTGAGAAGGCATTTTCCATGCGGAATAGGCATCAAGAAGCCCTCAAAAAGTCTGTTATGCTAGGGCATGCATCACAGACATCGTGGCTCATGCAAAACGTGCATGACAAGTCTCAGAGTCTTCCAGACCCAGACATATTTGCAATTCATAAGGGCCGCGGCGTTGAGTAGCGCAGGTTCCTCGCCAATGCAGGGGCCTGTATCAACTACCGCAACAAGCGCGGGAAGATGTGGGCGATCTATCGCGAGAAAAAAGTGTTTACAGTTACACATTTGTTCGAATTTCAGCATCACAAAGAAGACTTGTAATGCGCAGACCACAACATCTTCAAGGGAAAACCCGCACGAAATGAGGCTGGCAAGCATTTTCTGCATGACAGAGGTTGTCTGTCTTGCTGGTCTTGCGTCAGAGTGTGTAACTGTAACACTTTTTCCTTGTGATACGATCCTCTGCTGCTCTACTACAACATGCGGGAGGAGTATGGAAGCGTCAAGTTTGAAATCGACAAAGTTGAAATGATTTGTCATGCATAAATTGCAAGGCATGAAGTGCCTATCTTGCCGGGATGGCAAGCGAGGCCGATTGTGAGCCTGTTTAGGGTTTGAAATAGAGCTACTAAACTAGCATGACAAAAGCAGTCTTCTGTGCCCAAACAGCACGGCAAATTGGATTCCGGTGCTCGGAAGATTTGTCATGCGCCGCTTGATAAGTGGGCTTCCGACTGGTATCGGTTTTATGCGTGACAAACTATTTCAACTTTGACGATTTCGATCCTGACACATCCATAACGATGTGGGAATAGTCATAGCCTTTCTCCGCAACTTCGCGCCGCAGTTCAGGCCCACGGTTGTACTAGTTCGCTCCAGCAGCAGGTCGTACTGGGACAACATGATGATTTCACTGGAGCAGGAGCTCACGTAGGGCACCACCAGCGTCCTGGTGCTTGTAGTACCGCTGGTCGTCTGGAGGAACAACTTGCGGCGAGCAGGCCATCTTGCTCGCACACAACAACCACATATGAGAGTGCACAACTCCCCCTCCCCCTCATTTGTGTTGCATGAACAGCAACACAAGCGCGGGCAAAGATGCAGCTTTTGCATGACAAATTCCTAGGGGACTGTAGTGCTGTTTTGGATTCCGGAATTTGTCATGCAAACAGTGCCACAAGGCAGCGACTGGATTTGGGATTTTGCATGACAAAGGAGGGGGAGGGGGAGTTGTGCACCGTGATACCACACCGGCACAGCACCGGGAAGACGAAGAGCAACTCCAGCTTCACTGCCGTGCTTGGGAGTGGGCGCGCAGCAATAGTGGCGGATCTACTGCTTCCCAAGTGGTGCAACAACGAGTTGCACTATCGGGTGGAAGAGAACAACCGGGTGGGGCGGGTGGGGCAGCCCAGAGCAGTGCTGCACCTAGAGAAGTCGTAGTACCTGCTGCTCAAGTAGGTGAACAAGAGCGAAATGGAGTAGACGAGGAGGTTGTGGTCCCGGAGGGGACGGTTCTGAATCTCCAAAATCTTCTATGACAGTGCACAACTCCCCCTCCCCCTCATTTGTCATGCAAAACCCCAAATCCAAGGGCTTTCCTGTGGCACTGTTGGCATCACAGATTCCGGAAGCCCAAACAGTACTACACTAAGCGCATGAACTTGTCATGCACATGCACCAGGTGTGGCTGTGTTTGTATTGCTGTTCATGCAATACAAATGAGGGGGAGGGGGAGTTGTGCACTCTGATATCTTCAACCACGTGGCCCTAATCATGAAGCGGACGACAATGACGACGCTGCCTCTTCGGGAACGGCCTCGACCAATCTGGACGCGATTGAGGATGGGCAGCAGGACAGATTGAGCGACGCCATGACCAGGCTGAGCTTGTCAAAACGGGGAAGCACTTTCGACTCCTTATCGAAAGGAAAAATCCCCCCTCCCCAAATCAAAATGAAATTTCTGATGCTGGATTTGTGTACACAAATCCGCGCTGTCTTGCTGGAGAGCACTGCAGGCCCATACTAAGTGTGAGTAGAGAGGTTTTGGCCTGGGCACTTAGCATGAAAAACATCCGCGCTGTAGGCCCAACAGCATGACAAACCGCCTGCACAGTGCGGCGGTTGTCTGTGGAGTTGCCTTCTTGCAAGACAGACACGATTTGCGACCACAAATCAGCATCACAAATTTGCAAAAGTTTTCTTTTCAGTATGGGGAGGGGGGATTTTTCCTATTGATACTCCTACGGCAGCAACATGTCGGGTTTGATGAGTGATGATGGGAACAGCCCTATCCTATGTAAAAACATCCCCACCCCAGAGTTGTCATGCAGATTTGCAATGACAAGAACATTTGTGATGCGCATCCCTATGATGGGCCTTTCCAGTCGTGTTTTGGAATTTGTAATGCTGTAAACAGGATACGTATCTCGATTTGTAATGCGGCTGTCCTTGCTAACCTGCACTACACTACGGGCTGCAACTTGTCATGCGTGGCGTCCAAAACTCCTGGATCTGTGTTGCAGAGATCCCAACTTAACTATGGCGTGGGGACGTTTTTACTCAGGATAAACCCCGGTGGTTATCTCGGCAGGAACAAGAAGAGGAGCGAGAAACTGGCCGCCAGGAGAGGTGGCACCACGGGACATGGCGAAGGAGGAGCTGCTATCACCTGCAAAAGTGTCTGGGTCTGGAAAGAATGGGATTTGTGATGCTACCTGTCGACCACACAAAAATCTGTATTGCAAGAGAGGCAAAGAAAAAACACTCAGATGGTTGCCACCAGGAGAGGGCATTTCTCATGCAGTTTAGGCATGAGCAAATCTTTGCGAAAGCTGTGATGCTAGAGAGTGCATCAGAGGCATCGGTGGAAGCCATGTACAATTTGCATGACAAACTCCCAATAAATCTTCCAGACCCAGACATATTTGCATTTGATAGCTGCGTCGTCGTCCATGGACCAGCGGCAAGAAATTACGGTGGTCACCATGAGTGACGATCAGCTCGCCGCCGCCGGCAGGGCCGGGCTTCTGGGCAACTTAGAAGGCATCGACCAAGATCGGCCACCGTCTAAGAGCAGCAGCGGTAAAAAGCCGCTTTCCGGTGCAGGCGGGGGCGCTCGCACCATTACGGATGATACGCTGATGGACACGTATGTGCTGGGCCACGCGAGCAGCCTCGATGGGGGGTCGCAAGACCGAGCGCATGGTGGGTATATCAAATGCAAAAATGTCTGGGTCTGGAATGTTGCCGGGTTTGTCATGCATACTTTGTATGACCCAGGATGTCTGTAATGCACGACCTACCATCACAGACTTTTAGAACCCTTCCTGATGCCTACCCCGCATGACAAATGCCCTCCCCGCGTAGCATAAACTAGACTCCTCTTGCTGGTCATGCAATACAGATTTTTTTAGAGTCCAAAGCCAGCATCACAGGCTCCAACCTTCCAGACCCAGACACTTTTGCATTTGATAGGGTCCTCGCAAGACCGGGCGGGTGCTGGGGCTAACTGTCCGCCCGATCATCGCACCTGCTCCGAGGGAACCCGTTCGGCGCTCGGGGAAGAGGATATGCGGGCGATGCTGGATATGGATGTGTCAGAGTTGAAATCGACAAAGTTGAAATGATTTGTAATGCATAAAAACCATGACCCGAGGCACGTGTGTTGCAGAGCAGGCAAGTGAGGCCGATTGTAATCCTGTTTGGGGTTACAGCTCGAGCTGCTAAAGTAGCATGAGAAAATCGCTCTTCTTTGCCTAAACAGCATGACAAACTGGATTTAGGGACCGCCGAAATTTGTCATGCGCCACTTAGAAACTGGGTTCCAACTGGCATCCATTTTATGCATGACAAATTATTTCAACTTTGTCGATTTCAACTCTGACACATCCATACTGGATGACGGCGAGAGTCGGGCCGCGGGGACCACGACGCGGGGCATCCTGGCCCGCTTGGCCGGGTCCGCGATCGGCTTGATTCCGGGTGTTATCAAATGCAAAAATGTCTGGGTCTGGAAGATTCTGAGACTTGTCATGCACGGTTTGCATGACCCACGATGTCTGTGATGCATGCCCTAGCATCACAATTTTTTAAAGGGATTCTTGATGCCTAGTCCGCATGACAAATGCCCTCTCTGCGTAGCAAAAATTAGACTCCTTTTGCTGCTCATGCAACACAAATCTTTTAGACATCCAAATGCAGCTTCAGTTGCATTCTTCCAGACCCAGACATATTTGCAGTTGATAGGTGTAGGTTTCGCGGCCAGCACCCTGGGTCTCTCGACGATCAAGGAGGCGCAGAGCAAAAAGACAAGCCCGAAGCTGACAGCGGTGGAGGATCAATTTGCCCAGCCAGAAGACCTATCAAATGCAAAATTGTCTGGGTCTGGAGGTCTGGAAGATTTGCGATGCTTGTCTGGCATGACCAAAAGGTTTGCGATGCGTGTCCAAGAAGAGACCCTTTTGCCTGTCAAGCAAAAACGCAGTTTGTCATGCGAAAAACGCAACACAAAGAAGCGCAGATATTTCTCATGCTTGGATGTGCATTACAGAGCATTCACAACTCCCAACGCAGCATGACAAGTTTCCAGACCCAGATCGATATTTGCACTGGATAAGATCACAGCCAGTTGGCACAGATTGCTGCGCACACTGCGACGCACATGCGGCAACAGCGAGAGAAGCGAGAGTTGCAGGAGCAGAAGTTGCTGCTTGCACGATCATCTTCCGAAAGCGTTCAGACTCCTGGTGGAGGTGCAGCGGCGGCGAGTACTTCTATATGGATTGCAAATACGTCTGGGTCTGGAAGAATGCAAGTTTATCATGCTTGTCTCACATGACTCTTGAATTTGTCATGCACATTACCCAAGAGCCCCATTTTTCTGTGATGCAGAAACGCAGTTTGTCATGCAGAATAGGCAACACCTAGTAGAAGCTCAGAAAATTGTCATGCTGAGCGAGCACTTGTGGCCTCCTCATGATACGCCACCCAGCATCACAAGTTTCCAGACCCAGACATATTTGCAATGCATAGCACCAGCGGCCACGCGAGCCAAATGTCTACCGATGGCATGAGCAATGTGGCGGTCGGGTGTCGCTCGAGCATATCCTGTGCAAAAGTATCGTACTCGTAGTAATGGCAGTCATGCATTACAAATCTCCATCCCAAGGCAAAACAGCATGACAAATTGCATTTGTCATGCTGACCGAATTTGTAATGCGATTTGTACTAGTACGATGCTGTTGCAATGCATAGAGCATAGCGGGTGACGATTTAGATGACCAGTTTGAAATCGCTTCGCAGCAAATTGACGCACAGCTTGCTGTATGCATTGCAAATACGCCTGGGTCTGGTTCTGGAAGGTTGCAACTTGTGATGCTGGCTTTGGATTCAGAAAAAATCTGTATTGCGTGACCAGCCAAAGCGGTCCAGTTTGTGCTACGTGGAGAGCTACCGTTTCTCATGCGGAATAGGCATTACCATTATCAGGAAGCCATCTAATAGTGGTCTGTGATGCTAGGTGATGCATTGTAGGCGTCGCGGGTCATGCAAAAGGTGCATGACATACAAACGCTGCACCCTTCGTCCAGACCCAGATCGATATTTGCAGTTGATGATATGCAGCGGGAGGTGACCTGGATCATCCTGTCGCCGGTAGTTCGCGTAGTGGAGGTGGTGACCTGGAGAAACTGCACCAGGGACAAATGCAGGCACCTGGTGCACCTGGAGCTACCGCAGCTGGTTGTTTTGCTTTTGCCGGTGGAGTTCCGCAACAACAGCTTCTCCCTAGCATCTGCGAAACTTTGAACGAAGATATGGCCTCGGATATTACAGTGAAAAAAGCCCCCACGCCCAAAATTGCAATAGTTTGTGATGCGAAGTTTCCAAGTGAAAGCTTTTTGTTATGCATGAAAGGAGTACGAATCTTTCTGATCCTGATGCAGAGTCTAGGCGTATATCGCAGCGCCTGCATGACAAGCGCCGCTCTTGCTGGGATCTTTTGCAATTACAAATTTTTATTTTTGCTATTCACGACTGGGAATCTGTAATGCTGATAGATGCAAGAGGGCGAGTGTTTCCTTTGGAAAGGTTTGCAATACAAATGCTCCCAAGTTCGGGGGTGGGGGCGTTTTTCATTGTAATATCGGAGCTGGGAGCGAAGACGGCATCTTCCCGGGGAAAGATGAGAAATAATGACCGCAGCTCTTCAAGCAAGGAAAGTTGCACGGCCGGCGACCGAGTTGTAGCTGGTGGAACCGCGGCAGCCGCTTCTTCTATGGAGGACCTGCCCCGCGTGCCCAGTAACAATACCATTATCAAATGCAAAGATGTCTGGGTCTCGAAGAGTACAAGACTTCTCATGCGGGTTCAACATGACGCATGAGGTCTGCAATGCAGGAGCTAGCATGACAGATTCTGTGAGATCTCTACCATGCCTATCCTGCATGAGAAACTCACTCCCAACTTGGTCAAAAGTGGTCAGCTTTTGGTAGTCATGCAACACAAATTTTTGCATGATCCAGATTTAGCATGTCAAGCTGCATCCTTCCAGACATCCAGGGATACTTGCAGTGCATAACCATGACGGACGAACAGTTTTCCGAACTGGGCGGCGCGTTCAGCCGGGCGAGTAGCGGAATTATTCGGCAATCCACGAAGGATAGTACCATTACCAGGGCTATCAACTGCAAAAATGTCTGGGTCTGGAAGAATGCAACTTGTGATGCTGCATTTGGATTCCAAAAAGATCTGTATTGCATGAGTACCAAAGGGAATGCAATTTTTGCCACGCTGAGAAGGCATTTTCCATGCGGAATAGGCATCAAGAAGCCCTCAAAAAGTCTGTTATGCTAGGGCATGCATCACAGACATCGTGGCTCATGCAAAACGTGCATGACAAGTCTCAGAGTCTTCCAGACCCAGACATATTTGCAATTCATAAGGGCCGCGGCGTTGAGTAGCGCAGGTTCCTCGCCAATGCAGGGGCCTGTATCAACTACCGCAACAAGCGCGGGAAGATGTGGGCGATCTATCGCGAGAAAAAAGTGTTTACAGTTACACATTTGTTCGAATTTCAGCATCACAAAGAAGACTTGTAATGCGCAGACCACAACATCTTCAAGGGAAAACCCGCACGAAATGAGGCTGGCAAGCATTTTCTGCATGACAGAGGTTGTCTGTCTTGCTGGTCTTGCGTCAGAGTGTGTAACTGTAACACTTTTTCCTTGTGATACGATCCTCTGCTGCTCTACTACAACATGCGGGAGGAGTATGGAAGCGTCAAGTTTGAAATCGACAAAGTTGAAATGATTTGTCATGCATAAATTGCAAGGCATGAAGTGCCTATCTTGCCGGGATGGCAAGCGAGGCCGATTGTGAGCCTGTTTAGGGTTTGAAATAGAGCTACTAAACTAGCATGACAAAAGCAGTCTTCTGTGCCCAAACAGCACGGCAAATTGGATTCCGGTGCTCGGAAGATTTGTCATGCGCCGCTTGATAAGTGGGCTTCCGACTGGTATCGGTTTTATGCGTGACAAACTATTTCAACTTTGACGATTTCGATCCTGACACATCCATAACGATGTGGGAATAGTCATAGCCTTTCTCCGCAACTTCGCGCCGCAGTTCAGGCCCACGGTTGTACTAGTTCGCTCCAGCAGCAGGTCGTACTGGGACAACATGATGATTTCACTGGAGCAGGAGCTCACGTAGGGCACCACCAGCGTCCTGGTGCTTGTAGTACCGCTGGTCGTCTGGAGGAACAACTTGCGGCGAGCAGGCCATCTTGCTCGCACACAACAACCACATATGAGAGTGCACAACTCCCCCTCCCCCTCATTTGTGTTGCATGAACAGCAACACAAGCGCGGGCAAAGATGCAGCTTTTGCATGACAAATTCCTAGGGGACTGTAGTGCTGTTTTGGATTCCGGAATTTGTCATGCAAACAGTGCCACAAGGCAGCGACTGGATTTGGGATTTTGCATGACAAAGGAGGGGGAGGGGGAGTTGTGCACCGTGATACCACACCGGCACAGCACCGGGAAGACGAAGAGCAACTCCAGCTTCACTGCCGTGCTTGGGAGTGGGCGCGCAGCAATAGTGGCGGATCTACTGCTTCCCAAGTGGTGCAACAACGAGTTGCACTATCGGGTGGAAGAGAACAACCGGGTGGGGCGGGTGGGGCAGCCCAGAGCAGTGCTGCACCTAGAGAAGTCGTAGTACCTGCTGCTCAAGTAGGTGAACAAGAGCGAAATGGAGTAGACGAGGAGGTTGTGGTCCCGGAGGGGACGGTTCTGAATCTCCAAAATCTTCTATGACAGTGCACAACTCCCCCTCCCCCTCATTTGTCATGCAAAACCCCAAATCCAAGGGCTTTCCTGTGGCACTGTTGGCATCACAGATTCCGGAAGCCCAAACAGTACTACACTAAGCGCATGAACTTGTCATGCACATGCACCAGGTGTGGCTGTGTTTGTATTGCTGTTCATGCA